CAGGTCTCATGCAACAACACATAATCCCCAAGCCCTCCTGGGTGCCAGGCTCTGGGAGACCAAGCTGGAGGCCCAGAGAATGGCCACACCCCACAACACAACAAACTCCCAGTCCATGCCAGGGAGACTTCCAGGCTGTGCAACCGGGAGGGGCAGTGAGGGGCGGGAGGAGGCCTCACCCCTGGCTGGAGCCGTGGTCGGACTGGAAATCTTATCAAGGAGCGGCAGGGGGACAGACGGCGCAAACGCCGAGCCACTGAGTGGCGTCTTGGGCAGAACTCACCCCATCTCCACGCCACGCGGCGCTGGGGCCTGAGGCCTGCTCCCAGCAGGCGGGAATCCCACTTCCGGGAGGCGAGGGGCGGGGCTAGGCGAGGGGCGGGGCTAGGCGAGGGGCGGGGCTGGGATAGGGGCGAGGCTAGGCGGCCATGGCGGGTTTAAAGCCCAACACGTGCCCGACCTCCCTGCTTGCTCTCTTCACCTTCCCGTCTCTGTCTCCGCCTATACGCGGTGTCTCCGCTCAGGTTGTATTGATGGAAGAACATGTTGGCCAGTTAACCTTTCTCTCTTTTGCCGCTCTCTTCTCACTCCCCTTGTAAATAAACCATTTTTTAAAGATTTATTTATGCATAGAAGAGCTGGGGTATAGGCCAGAGGTGCAGGGGGTGAGAGGATTCACCTGAGACAGAGTGGGGAGCAGACCAGGCGTACTAACTGAAATGCACTGCTGACTGGGAGCAGCAGGCAAGACAGGAGAGGTCTGCTGTGCCATGTGGGTAGCTCCCTGGCCGGGGATCGAACTCATGCTGTAGAGGCTGCCAACAGCTTCACAGTGTTGACACTTTACTCCTTGCACCATCAGGGTGGTCTCCCTTGTAAATAAACCTTTTTAAAATTTCTGTCTCCCTGCCTGTCTTGTTTGGGTCTTGTTTTGGGTCTTGTTTTGGGTCTTGTTTCAAGTTCTTAAGCATGGAGGTGAGGACTCACAACCTGGTCACACCCATTTCCTTCGGGGTTTCCCTGTAACATGGAGAGGAAATAAAGCTGGGGCGAGCCCCCATCCCAACCGAGCGTCTGGAAAAGTGTCTCAAGGGCACTTGGGAGCACAGAAGAGCTGCAAGCACAGGGGAGGTTGGTTCAACTGTGGCTAAAAGACACGCGGACATAATCTCAGGTGACTTGTGCTGTAAAAACAGCAGAGCTCAGGGCGCTCTGGGTAAGACCCCACAGCCAGCCTGCATGTCTGTGTTGAGGTAAGGGTCGGGGGTGGCAAGGAAGGTGTCATCTACGCTCAGGGTTTTGTCTGGTTTGTTTTATTGAGTCCTGGTTGACAGAAATTGTGTGGCGTTTGGTTGTACAGCGTGATTTTTTTAAAAAGATTTATTTATACATACAAGAGCTGGGGTACAGGCCAGATGTGTAGGGGGTGAGAGGATTCACCAGAGAGATTGGAGAGCACAACAGGTAGATCTACTGAAATGCACTGCTGAGAGGAACAGCAGGGAGACAGGAGAGGTCTGCTGCGCCATGCAGGTTGCTCCCTGGCTGGACAGACATCGAACTCGTGCTGCAGTGGCTGCCAATTGCTTGATAGCACTGTCTTTAACCCCTGCGCCACCAGAGAGGCTCACAGCGTGATTTTTTTCATGGTATATGATGGGACGATGGAACATACATGTGTATTGTGAAATGATTACCCACCATAGTCAAGTTGCACCTCGCATACTGAACTCTGTGTGTGTGTGGTGTGCACATGTGTGTGTGGTGTGTGCATGCAAGATCTACGTTTTTAGCGACTTTCAAGTACAGTTAGTCCTCATTTCAGACGGGCCACAGATTCTTGGAAACTAGGACTTTTAGCAAAAAAGATGGATAATGGGGCCTCCCCGGTGGCGCAGAGGTTGAGCGCTGGGTTGCAAAGCTGCCGGCGACCTCTGCGGCGCTGGTTCGATCCCCGGCTGCTCCCCAGCCACCAGAGGAGGGTCCCACATGGCGCGCAGACCTCTCCTGCCACCCGCTGTTCCCCTCAGCAGTGTACTTCGGTCCTTCTGCCTGCTCTGCTCCCCGCTCTGGCTCTGGTGAATTCTCTCACGCTCCCGCGCTTCTGACTGTACCCAGTGCATGTATAAACAAACACAAACAAACAAACAAACAAATAAATAAAAACATGCCTCTATTAAAAAAAAAAAAAGATGGATAATGAAGTCAGATCCTTGGATAACGTTATTTCGCTCAATATCAGCAGGGATTTTTTTTTTCAATTCTCGTTAGGCTTATTACACAATGACAGTGAGGGAAACAACATTTATTTGAGGACAGCTGCCATCTACAATCAATAGCTAACTCTAATCACCATGCTGTCTGATGCACCTTCAGAAACTAGTCTTCTTCTAAATACAAGCCTGATTCTTAGACCAATATCTCCCCACGTCCTGCTCCACCTCCTCAAACCCTGGGAACCACATTCTACTCTCTGGTTCTATGAAATTTGACTTTATTTTGACTTCCAGGGCCTCCCTAGTGGCTCAAGGGATTAAGCACAGTACTATGAAGCTATCCACAGTCTCTGCAGCACGTGTTCGATCCCCAGCCAGCCAGGAAGCTACCCACATTGTGCAGCAGACCTCTCCTGTCTTGCCCGCTGCTCCCACCAACAGTGTATCTCAATCAATCTGCCTGTTCTGTTCCCCACTCTGTCTCTAGTGAATCCTCTCACCGCCCCCCGCACCTCTCGCCTGTACTCCAGTTCTTGTGTGCCTAAATAAATCTTTTTTTTTAAAAAAGAAACTATAAGAATTAAGAAAAAATTCCATGTGGAAGTGAAATCCTGTCATCTTTGTCATTCTGTGGGCCACTTATTTTGCTAAGCGTTATGCCCTCCGGGTTCATTCATGTGGTTGCAAAAAGCAGGATTTCCTTTTGATGGCTGAATAATATTCCATTGTGTGTGTATATCACATCGTATATATACTCACATCATATACATATCTCATATCTTCTTTATCTCTTTTATCCACACTCTCTCTTGTTTTCTCTCTTTTTAATGGAAATCACTCTAAGGGTGGCCTCCCTGGTGGCGCAAGGGGTTGAGCACTGCACTATGAAGGAGTCCGTAGCCTCACAGCACGAGTTCGACCCCGGCTAGCCAGGGAGCAGCCCACATGGCGCAGCAGACCCCGCCTGACTTGCCCGCTGCTCCCCTCAACAATGTATTTCAGTCAGTCTGCCTGTCCTGTTCCCCACTCTGTCCCTGGTGAGTCCTCTCACCCCCTGCCTGTACCCCAGCTCTTGTATGCATAAATAAATAGATCACTGAAAAAAAGAAAAGGAAAGAGAATCATTCTACAGGGTGTGAGGTGATTTCTCTTTGTGGTTTTGGTTTGTACTTCCCTGTTGATTCCTGACTCGAAGGACAAGGACAGTAAGGATGAGATTAAGCAGTTAGGTGGAAAGGCATGCCTGGTGGAGGAGCCACAATGCGCAAAGGCCTGGAGGTGGAAAGCTCCTTGAAGGGATAGAGTAAGTTGAATGGAGACCCCCAAAAGGCAGATTCAGATCCTCACTCCCACAACCCATAAATGTGACCAGATTTAGAAAAATGGTCTGAGAGGTGGGAGGTGCAAACATGGAGAAGATTATCCTGGGCTATCTGAGCGGGCCCCATGGCTAATGGCCAGTGTCAGAAAGCATCTGTCAGAGACAGAACAGAGGACGCAGTGAGAAGAGGAGAAACGCCTCCCCCAGGGGCTGGAGATTGGAGGTCTGGCAAATTCAGCTGATAGCTAAACCCTGCAAGCCCCAACCCTGTGGTCACGTGATCGATTGGTCTTCTGGCCAGAGCAGCCAGCCTCCTGAGTCACCCCATTAGCATAATAAGGTGTGGTCAAGGGGGGGTCCTCCCATGAATAACAGAGACACTCCTATTACTGGGGGAAATTCCTAGGATTTAGAGACCATCTCCCAGGAACCAGGGATTAAAATCAGCCACACACAAGTGACAGCGGAAAAAGGAAAGAAACAGGTTGAACACCTGCTAAGAACCAGGTACAGTTCTAGGTGTTGGAGGTCAGGCAGGGTGAACAGGCCGCCCGCCACAGCCTTCCGGGGCTGAGGTACCAAGGGGAGCAACTGATAATGGAGAAAAGCAAACTACATACAACTGTAAACTGTCGTGGAAGGCGATCACGAGGGAGAGCAGAGCAGGGATGAACTGGGGTAACTGGGATGGGCGCCATTGAACAAGCTGGTCCTGGAAGGCTTTGCTTGAGCTAAGACCTATTGAGATGGGGTGAGTCAAGTGGGTATCTGGGGCAGTGCATTCCTGGCTATGGGGGAGCAGCCAGTGCAAAGGCCCTGGAGCAGGTGTGTGTCTTGGGTCCAGCACAGAAGCTGGGTGGCTGGATGAGAGAAGGGTTGGGAGGTGAGGGCCTCGGGGGACAGGCCAGCTCCTGCAGGTCCTTGTGGGCTGTTGTGCGGACTGGGCTTTGATCCTGAGAGTGGTGGTTAAGTGTTAGGAGCAGAGGAGGGACTGAAGCTGACAGGTCTTCACTGGTGGGTTCCTTCTGGCTGCATACGGGGACCAGGCTGGAGGGGGGCAGAGGGGGCCGGAGGTCTGAAGCAGGAGTTGGAGCAGAAGGTGGCTGGTATTCAGATGGGAGATGGTGGTGCCAGGATGCCAGGACCCTGGTGATGGTGGCCCGAGAGGCGAGAAGGGGTGGGTTGGGTTCTGGAGAACTTTTGACGCGGCGGACAATGTGCGGTGGGCATCTGGAGGGATTGAGCCTCCCCCTACCTTGATGTGGCTGGAGGGGGCTTCAGGGCGAAAACGAAGGGCCAGGAGTGACTTGCTCCCCGCCCCAGGGTGCGTGGTTGGGAGTCAACCCGGCCTCACAGCCGCGTCCCGCGGAGGCGGCGCCGCCAGGTGGCGCCCTCGGCCGCCCCGGTCCGCTCCGTCTCACGCTCTCCCCCAAAATTCCCTTTCGCTTTCGATCTCGGGCTGTCACCGGGCTGCGCCTCCACACCCAGCTGGGGCAAGGCTGGTGCGTGAGGACAAACGCGCTCCTCGACCCGAGGGGCGGGGCCGGGGTCCCCCTCCTGTTGCTGAAGGGGGAGGGATGGAGGTCGGGTTCCTGGGTCCCTGGCCCGGGGAGGGTTCCGGGCACCGGACGTCGGGGTTCTTGGAAGGGGGGATGAGGAGTTTTCACCATAACCGGGGCTCGCGCAGGAAGCCCGAGGGAGTGGGAGGCGGAAACTCAGCCACATCAAGGGGCCGAGGGAGGGGTGTGGAGGTGAAGGGGCGGGCGAGGAAAGGGCTGGGGTGTGGGGGTCCGAGACTTGCTTTTCTGTCCCCTCCAAGATCCGGCCACAGGCATGAGGGGCCCCCGGCCGAGATGACAGTGCAGGCGCCCGCCTGGAGCCAGACTGTGCGTATGCCGGGGACTGGGCGCAGGGGCGCGGCGGGGCGATGCACGGGGCTGCAGGAGGTGGGGTGACGGGGTGGACAGGGCTGGAGGAGACGCCGGGGTGAGGCAGCTGCGGAGCTAGGCGGACGGGACGCAATGGGACAGGCGCGGAATCTCGGGGCGAGCCGGAGCGGAGCGCGCCGCGCCGAGCGCAGGAGGAGGCGCGGAGAGGGGTGGGGCCCCGCCTGGGCCCGGGTGGAGCCGCCTCCGCGTGCCCCGCAGACCTCCCTGCTGCTGCTGCTGCTGCTGCTGCTGCTGCTGAGCCCCGGGCTCCGCGGGACCCCCGACTGCTCCTTCCAGTACAACCCCATCTCCTCCACCTTCGCGGCCGCCATCCGCAGGCTGGTGAGCGCCCGCCCCGTCGCGCTGACCTTTCCGAGGCTGGGGTCTGGCTCCGGTCTCCCCGCCCGCACCCTCTCAGGCTCTCTGTCCCCCTCTCGATGGGCCCCTGCCCCCCTCTCGGGGGCGCCGTCGGGGGTCTCCCGCACTCAGCCGGCCCGGCCCCTCCGCAGGCCGACTACCTGCTGGAAGACTACCCGGTCACCGTGGCCTCCAACCTGCAGGACGTGAGTCACGGGCCTGCGGGCCCGGGTGGAAGCGGGAAGGAGGGACCCCCAGCTCCTGCCCCCAAGGACCAGGCTAGCTTTCTCCCCTCTCCGGTGGGGTGCCCGGGCCCGGCACCCCGCCCCCTGCCCCTCTGCCGCGGGAACCCAGAGCTTGGCTGGCCCCCACCCTGCCCCCAGGACGAGCTCTGCGGGACCTTCTGGCGGCTCCTCCTGGCCCAGCGCTGGATGGGCCGGCTCCAGGCCGTGGCGGGGGCCCAGATGCAGAAGCTGCTGGAGAACGTCAACACCGAGATCCACTTCGTCACCTCATGTGCCTTCCAGGTCAGCCCTGAACTGTGGGGGGGCAAGGAGGGGAGCCACAGTCCCTTCCGGGGATTGGAAGTAAAAGTTCGGCTGGGTCTTTCTGGAGAATTCCTTTGCTGGTAGCACCAAGGGAGGTGGAGCTGGCACCCCAGGCCTCCCCCCAGGTTGTGGGGGAGACCCCGTTACAGAGAATAACTCTGCTCTAGGCACCAGAGCATGGGTGAAGGGTCAAGGCTCAGACCTTGCTGCTCGGCGTTGCTAAGGACGCTGGCCCCTAGCAACCGGGGGGGGGGGGCAGGGGTCTGAAGTCTCCAGAAGACCCAGGCCTGACTGGGCCCTGCTGCTGGGTGTGGCCGGGCTGGGACTGCAGACACAGGGGTGTGATGTGGCCGTGACATCTCCCTCCCCTGCCCCCAGCCCCTCCCCAGCTGCCTTCGCTTCGTCCAGACCAACATCTCCCACCTCCTGCAGGACACCTCCCAGCAGCTGGGGGCCCTGAAGCCCTGGATCACCCGCCGGAATTTCTCCCGGTGCCTGGAGCTGCAGTGTCAGCCAGGTGAGGGCTCCCAGCGCCCGCCCCAGCCTCACGCCCCCTCTGCTCCTGACTTCCCGGCATGTTCCCTGGAGCTCACCCCCTCTGGGCCTCGGTTTACCCACCTCTGAGGCCACCCCTGTCTATTTCTCTCAGGCAGCCCCGTTCCACAAAAACAGAGCCACAGGTTTTGGGTGCACCTTCCAGTAACCATGTATAAAACACATTTAAACGGGGCTTCCCTGGTGGTGCAAGGGGTTAAGTCTCAGCACTATGAAGCTGTCTGCAGCCACTGCGGCACGAGTTCGATCCCCGGCCAGGGAGCTGATCCACAGGGCAAAGCAGACCTCTCCTGTCTCCCCGCTGCTCCCCTCAGCAGTGTGTTTCAGTAGATCTGCCTGTTCTACTCCCCACTCTTTCTCTGGTGGGTCCTCTCACCCCCCACATCTCCGGACTACACCCCAGTTCTTGTATGCACAAATAAAAATAAATCTTTAAAAAAAAAAAGATTATTTAACAATCACAAGGTTGTAGACTCTGGCAGTAAATAAGATGGACCATGTTCTTCTTGCCCACGTGGAGCTCACAGACTGTTAGGGGAGGAAGGGCTAGACCCAAATTGATAATAAGTTCTAGAAACATCCAGTCAAGACTTGCTAGGGGCCTCCCTGGTGGCATCAAGGGTTAGGCACAGCACTGTGAAGCTGTTCGCAGCCTCTGCAGCAGGAGTTCGATCCCCGGCCAGGGAACTACCCACAGGGTACAGCAGACCTCTCCTGTCTCCCCTCAGCAGTGGATTTTAGTAGGTCTGCCTGTTCTGCTCCCCACTCTGTCTCTCGGTGAATCCGCTCATCCCCCACACCTCTGGTCTGTACCCCAGTTCTTGAATGCATAAATAAATCTTTAAAAAAAAAAGAGACAGTTGCTTGACAGGAGACATTCTGAGAAATGTATCTTCAGAGATTTCATCCTGTGAACATCAGAGAGTCGTTACACACAGCTCCACAGGGCCTCCTACGCCCCTGGGCACCGCCTCCTGGACCTGCTGTCCCCCCCTGCTCTGTCCTTGACCCAAACGTCTTTAAGTGGCACATCGCTAGTTTGTCCAGTTATAAAATAAAAGCCAACCCCCCGGTGCCAGACACCCCTTCTCAGCACTTCACACTCCCTTAGGCGGTGGAGGTGCTGCCTCTCCCATTTTACAGGCGAACAGACTGAGGCTCGGAGAGGCCGGCAGCCCGCCCGGGGTCACAAAGCTAGTGCCCTGCAGGCCTGCCTGTCTTGTCCTGGCTGGGCCTTTCTCTTCTGTCACCCAGTCTCCTTTCTCCCCCCAGAGTCCTCCACCCCTCTGTCCCCGAGGAGCCCCAGGGCCTTGGGGGCCACAGCGCTGCCAGCCCCTCACACCCCTCGGCTGCTCCTGCTGCTCCTGCTGCTGGTGGTGCTGGTGATGCTGGTGGTGCTGGTGGTCCGGTGCCTGCGCAGGAGGAAGAGGCGGCGGCGGAAGCACAACTCTGGGCAGCAGGTGAGCCGGTGTGGTGGGGAGGGCCACTCGGCGCCCAGAGGCCCAGCACCCGGTCATGGCTGACCCTGTGGGGTCCACAGGTGGCCCCCGACTTCAGCCCCCAGGATGTGCACTCCCTGAGGTCCATGGAGCACTAACTGGTCTGGGTAAGTCCTTGGCCAAATAGAGGACCCTGGACTTTGAGGGGTCGGGTGGGATGGAGGCCACCCTGGAGGGCTGGGAATTGGGAGGGGCAGGCAGCACCACTTGTGGGCTCAGGAAGAGCTCTCTGGAGCCACGAGCGGCACATCTAGTGCCTCAGGGACTTACCCAGGAAGCCAGGGTAGGCAGAGTCAGGTCAGGGGTGAGGAGGGACAGCACTAGAGAAACTGGCACAGAGAATCCAGGGTCGGCCCTGTGGCTCGTGGGGCTGCTGAGGGAAGAGGGAGGTTAGGGAAAGACAGTGAGCCCAGAGGGGCCCCCAGAGCGCTGGCTGGACAGCCAGGAGACTGGCCTCAGGAAGCAGGCAGAGAACCACCTTGACAAAGCCCTCCAGGTATGGAAGAGCTCTTGGAGGCGGGGGTGGGGGGGTGGGGGGGTAGGATTGGAAAATGCGGTCAGAAAATCCAAGCCTCAAACTCTAGTCAAGGAAGCTGGGACTTCCTGCCCAGGGCAGCAGGGAGCATGGGAGGTGAGGGAGGAAGGGACCTGGGGAGAGGTGTGTAGGGGCTGGAGGAGGGAGGGGGGTCCAGAGGGTTCTACCAAGAAACATCTCGAATAATCGCTCACACATCTAGTGCCTCAGGGACTCAGTCTTGGTGCTGGGGCTTTCTACAAATTAACTCACCTCATCAAGGGGCGGGTGCCATTCTCATCCCTATTTCACAGTGCCTGAAACCAAGCACAGAGAGGAAACTAATTTGGCAAAAGTCACACAGCCTGTAGCAGAGCCAAGATTTAACTCTGGCGCTTGGATTCAGGCATCTGTGCCTTTCACGCTTCTGCCTCAGTTTCCTGCTCTGTACAAAAGACACTATTAATAGTCCTTCTACCACAGAACTGTTGAGAGGTTAAGTGAGGTGACACAGGCACACACTCACACCGAGCCCTCAGAGCAACACGTCCAATGGAAATATAACACAGGCCACCTACAGGACTAAACTTTGCAGTAAGCACCTTGCTTTTTTTTTTAAAGTTCACTTTTTTTTTTTTTTAAGATTTATTTATTTATTTATTTATTTATTTATTTATACAAGCACTGGGTACAGTCAGAAGTGTGGGAGGGTGAGAGAATTCACCAGAGCCAGAGTGGGGAGCAGAGCAGACAGACTGAAGTACACTGCTAAGGGGGGCAGCGGGCGGCAGGAGAGGTCCGCGCGCCATGTGGGACCCTCGCCAGAAGCCGGGGATCGAACCAGCGCTGCGGAGGCTGCGGGCAGCTTCGCAGCCCAGCGCTCAACCGCTGCGCCACTGGGGAGGCCCCTAACACTTTGCTTTTAAAGAAACGCGTTACTTTGTTTTTTTTTAATGTTAGTTATGCTTTCCTTTTTTTTTTCTTTTAAAGATTTATTTATTTATGCATACAAGAACTGGGGTGCTGGGCCTCCCCCAGGTGGCGCAGGCAGTTGAGCACCGTGCTGTGAAGCTGTCCGCAGCCTCTGCAGCACCAGTTCATTTCCGGCTGGCCGGGGAGGGTCCCACATGGTTCTTGTATAAATAAATAAACAAACAAATCTTAAAACTAAATAAATAAATAACTGGGGTGCAGGCCAGAGGCGCAGTGGCGGGGGGGCAGGTAAGAGGATTCACCAGAGACAGAGTGGGGAGCAGACCAGGCGAACTGACTGAAATCCACTGCTGAGGGGAGCAGCGGGGAGTCAGGAGAGGTCTGCTGCACCATGTGGGTAGCTCCCTGGCTGGGGATCAAACTGGCGCTGCAGTGGCTGGGGACAGCTTCATAGTGCTGAGGCTGAGACATTACCCCTGCGCCACCAGGGGGTCCCCTCAGCCTTCATTTTTTAATGGAGGAAACCTTCCTTTGCAGCCTGGTGTCAGCTTAAGGGTACAGTCTCACACCTCACCATCTGCAGAGACCACACCACCCAACCACCAAAGGTCTAGGTCCACCCCCCTCTAACCTTTCCTCCAACCACGTCCTCTCTTCCTCCCCCGCTGGTCACCACCATTCTGTCGCCAGAATCTAAGGGTTTGTTTTGTTTTGTTTTGTTTGTTCATTCGCTTTGATTCTTTATCTTCCACATAAAATCATGGGGTTTTTTGGTGGCTTTTTTCCTTTGACTTACTCTACTTAGCATAACCCCCTCAAGGTCCATCCTGGTTGTCACAAACCTAAAGTCATTTTTATGCAATTTATGTAAAATTGTAAAAAAAAAAAAGAAATTGATGATTTTTTAAAGAAGTACAATGACATTTCCTCTTACTCTAGTCCCTGGCTGGGCTTTTGCCCACCTCTCTCAGTAGCCATATTTTTAAAAATCAGGTAAACTATGGGGCCTCCCTGGTGGCTTAGGGGTTAAAGTCTCAGCGCTATCAAACTGTAGCCTGCCACTGAGGCCAGGGAGCTGACCCACATGGCACAGCAGACCTCTCCTGTCTCCCCGCTGCTCCCCTTAGCAGTGTATTTCAGCCAGTCCACATATTCTGCTCCCTACTGTCTCCGGTGAATCTTCTCACCCTCCCCCACCTCTGGCCTGCACCCCCATTCTTGCATGCATAAATAAAAATAAGTTTTAAAAATTCAGGTAAAATAAAAACTCAGCTGTTGGAGGCTAAAAGCTGGGAAGGGGGTAGACAGTGTGGGGAGGGGCCCCATGGACTAAGATGGTGGATTTTGGGTGCCTTGGTGGTGGATGGGTGTAGTCCTATGCCTCTGAATCACATGTAACATTGTAAACCAGTATTACTTCAAGAAAAAATAATGAATTAGAAAGGTGATATTCTTGTTTGAAAACCAAAACCCCAGCTCCTGGTGGCCCTGGCCACGTGTGGCTGGCAGCCCCAGTAGTGGAAGTGGGAGAACGCTAGGCATTGTGGGTTCTCTAGTCCAACCATGCGCACCAGAAGTACTCGCCAGTCTTCTGACCTCATTGAAATAAAGTTCTGAATATGAAGGTGGCCAGAGAGCACAGATCTAAACATGTTTCCATTGTTCTCTTGCATGGCCATACCCTGACGTATAGTTGAGCCCACATTGCATGGACGGTTTTTTTAAAATATTTATTTATGAATACAAGAACTGGGGTGTAGGCCAGAGGTGTGGAGGGTGAGAGGATTCACCAGAGAGAGTGGGGAGCACAACAGGCAGATCTACTGAAATATACTGCTGAGGGGAGCAGCGGGGGAGGCAGGAGAGGTCTGCTGTGCTATGTGGGTCACCTCCCTGGTCAGCTGGGGATCAAACTCGTGCTTCAGTGGCTGGAGATAGTTTGATAGTATTGTCTTTAACCCCTGCGCCACCAGGGAGGCCCTGAATGGACCTGTTTGGGTGCCCATCCCTGAGCCCCATGCTTTTTTCTGTCCAGAACCCCTAGACAGCCCGGTGACAATCACATCTATTGTCCCATTTTACAGAGGACACAGAGGCCCAGAGAGAGGAGTCACCTGCCAGAGGACACAAAGCGGGGACTCAGAGGAAGTCAACTAGAGACTGGTCCCTTCCTTGGAGGCGCTGCTCCTCCTACCCTCTCCCCAGGATGGAGGCAATTCCAGCACCCAGCGCCAGCTCACGCCTTACCTGCCCCCCTCTGTACAAAGCCCTTGTCCCCAGGAGACTGTATATAAATCATCATTTTCTACCAGCTCTGGCAGGGCCTGTCTGTGGTTAGGATGTGGGGTAGTTTGGATGGAGTCTCGGTTTTTCTGTTAATGCAACATTTCTATTCAATACCAGTTTTCTGAGGCGTCCTGGGGCCTCCTGGCCAGTGCAGGGCGATTCTGGCACCCGGACCAAGTCAGAACCAGCTACCCTCTCCCACTCCTGGGTGGGTGCCAGGGCAGAGCGCCTCTGTAGGACACGGACTCTAGCTAATGGAGATGGCACAGGCACTGGGGGAGTCCAGAGGAGGCACCTGGCCCCGACTGAGCTTCCAGGGAGGCTCTTTGGAGGAAAGTGTCATGGACCTGAACTGGGTGGTTTCGTTCTTCCCTCCAAAATCCAGACTGAACCACTAGAACTTTCTGCAAAGGGAGTTTCTCATTCCGGGTAGCACTAAGCCACCATTTAAAAGAGTACGTAAATGAGAAGCTAAAGGGGCTTGTGCAGTTAACTGACTGTTGTCAATATTTTCGCTCTGGATTTTTCCTTGTTCTTTAGTTGCATCTTACCGGACCCCAGATGGTTTCTAAGAGGCTCAGGTGTTGCCATTACCTGTTCCACCTTTTGAATCACAGTGCTGTGATGGTTACAAAGTGACTCTCGTGCCAACCATCAGCGGGAGGTCAGCGGGTGGTCAGAGCTGGTCAGCGGGAGGTCGGCGGGAGGTCGGCGGGCTGGTGGCGGTGAGGTCTGGGAGGGTGGGGTGGAGAGGAGCGCACCCCAGCAGCGAGGTCTAGCGTCCTGAAGTCAAGAAGCTCCTTTGGGAAACACTGAGGCGCCTGGACGCCACCCCTTTTCACACTCTCAGCCGCGGGAGGGCCGAAGCTAGTCTTCACAGGCGCGGCCACTGAGGCCCAGACTGGGTCTGGGGGTCCGGCAGGTCACACTGATACCGACCCGCCGAGAGCAGCGCTGAAGGCGAGGCTGGCTGCCCCCTGCAGGCCACCGCGTGTCCTGCAGCCGGCGGTCGTTTCTGCGGTAACACGGCTCCCCCCGCAAACCCCGCCCACCGCCAGCATGAGGGAGACCTGCGGTCCTTCCAATATGGCGGCTGAGGCCGGACGGCCCCGCCCCGGCGGAGCAGCCTCCTCACCACGTGATCTCCCGCCCGGCCCTGCTGTGGCCTCCGAGCTCCGCTAGGATCGCTACCCGGATTGGGCAGTCAGAAGAGGTCCCGCCTCCGAGCGGGGCATCTCTGCGCACGCGCCCCACCCTCTGGCCAATGAAAAAACGGAAAGCCTCCCGCGCCGCTCGTGGGGCGTCACTTCCTCCGCCCCTGTTTCAAGGGATAAGAAACCCTGCGCCGACTCTTCCTTCTTTCCCAGGCGGCTGCCGAAGATGGCGGAGGGGCAGGTGGGGCTCCGCGCGGGCCGGGGCGGCGTGGGGCCGGGTGGGTCCCAGGCCGAAACGGGGTTGGGCCCCCTTCTCTCTCGTACGCGTGTTGTGAAGCTTAAAGTCGATACTTGAGCAAAACCGGGAAGCTTTGGGGGTAAGAGGAATCCGTGCCGGGGGGGAGAGGAGTCACTGGGACTCTTTTGTGCCTGGCGCTGGTTGGGACGCAGCATCCCGCCCCGCGGGGCGGCTGTTGGGCGCTTTCAGCATAGGGGGAGTCTCCCTTTTTTAAACTGGGCTCCGTTCACCCCGATCCCGGCCGGGCCCTGGCCGCGTTGGAAGCGTGTGTCCGCGGCGATGTGGAAGCACGCGGAGGGCGGCGCGGCGGCCTCGGGCTGTGGACGCCGAGGGTTGGCCGAAAAGGGGATGTTTCTGCCGTCCCCACGGCGTGGGCTGACCGAACCCCTCGTGGGATCGCTAGTGCACGTTCCCCTGCAGCTCTCGGCAGAAGTCTGAACGCACCAAGTCCTCAGTGCAGGCCAGTCAAGAATGAACTGCTCTAGTGGTCCTCGGGGAAGATAGGCAGAGGCTTGGCTCTAGAAGGGCGCGTCCACGTGATTTTGACATAATGGGTCTGCGCGGTTGAGAGGAAAAGCCGCACGTCCCCTGAGCTTGTGTCCTGCGGTGTCACTGCAGCTTCCGATCTTGCCTAATTAAATCGTTTCAAGTGAGAAGCGGTAGATTATTTTGGCCAAAGTCACGTTGTCAGGAAGCCTAGCTTTATGTCTTAATTTTGCCTCAAAGTAGAAGGCAAAACCCGTAGGTGAAGCTGAGAAAGTTTGTTTCTTTATCCAAGGCGCATGCCTAAAGCTCCACCCACTCAGCCTCAGTTTTCTTTGCTGTGCAATTCATAACAGAATTTACCTTCTGAGGTCAGGAGAGAATTGGATTCTCTCAGAATTCCTGTGATACATGAATTCTGATCCACTGATGATTGACAGTAGTTGCCTGCCTTGATTCAAACCCTGGTTCATATTCTTACCCTCAAGTACAACTGGCCTAAAATGATTGTCCTTAAGCCCAAATTTGAGGCATAGTCTTTGATGTCTTATTCTCTGACCAGGCAACCATTTGCTTTCTAGGCCCTGTCTGTAAGTTGTCTTGGGTCTCAGGTCTGTACCTGTACAGGTGACACCCTGGGGATAAAGTCAAAAGAGAAAGCTACAGCTGCTTGGGGTGGGAAGTTGGAACTGTCACTAAGCCCTTTTCCTGTCCCCAGGTCCTGGTTCTCGATGGCCGAGGCCATCTCCTGGGCCGCCTGGCGGCCATCGTGGCCAAGCAGGTGCTGCTGGGTAAGTGCCCTCTGCCACAGGTCCCCCGACTGTGCTCTGGCCCAGAGGTCGGTGATGAGCAACAATCACCATCTTTCGTTTGAGTCTCACGACCATGAGATCAACTCCATGCACCGCTCTGAGACCTGCCGGCCACTCCCTGGGAGGACCAGATTAGTTTTCTGGGGTGAAAAGCTACTTTCTATCCTTTAACTTTTTTTTCTTTTTTTCTTTTTTATAAAGGTTTATTTATTTATACAAGCACTGGGTACAGTCAGAAGCGTGGGGAGGGTGAGAGAATTCACCAGAGCAGGGAGCAGAGCAGGCAGAAGGACCGAAGTACACTGCTGAGGGGAGCAGTGGGCGGCAGGAGAGGTCTGCGCGCCATGTGGGACCCTCCTCCGGTGGCCGGGGAGCAGCCGGGGATCGAACCGGCACTGCAGAGGCTGTGGGCAGCTTTGCAACCCAGCGCTCAACCGCTGCGCCACCGGGGAGGCCCTCTATCCTTTAACTTTTAAGTGTGGATCTAGCTCTGAGGTAACAGTTATCTGGGTAGGTTCTCCCTGCCAGGGCCTTGGCTTGCTTTGTATTGTCCTTTAAGCCCAGGAAGGTCCCCCCTTCCCTGTGCTGTCCTCGGCTATAACTGGGCAGGTGGAGGTAGCAGCTCAGGTGTACTGGCTTTTGACTTAATGGTTGCATCACTGTCCCTTTCCTCTAGGCCGGAAAGTGGTGGTCGTGCGCTGTGAGGGCATCAACATTTCTGGCAATTTCTACAGGAACAAGTGTAAGTTGGGGCATAGGACTAGAGAAGGTTGGCCTAGGGGATGCTCAGGCTTCCTGGGCTTCCAAAACGACGACCCCCCCCCAGGAGGGGGTGAGAGGGGTCACCTGGACAGTTGTTGGGGTGTGTTGGGAGGGAAAAAAGGTCCTGGGGTGTGATGATCTCACACTCTACTCTCCCCAGTGAAATACCTGGCCTTCCTCCGCAAGCGCATGAACACCAATCCATCCCGCGGCCCCTACCATTTCCGGGCCCCCAGCCGCATCTTTTGGCGGACTGTACGAGGTGAGCTGGGCCTAGAGGCCAGTGTGGGAGGTGGCGGGGTGGCCAGTGATGAGAACTTCTCCCACTCATGTTCGAGTTCCCCAACTATGAGATAACTCCACATGCACTACCATCTGAGGCCACTGTCTGCCAGTTATGGGGGGACAGGAATAGGGGTCCTCGTGAGCCTCGCTCAGCAGGCCTGCCCCTCCTCACAGGCATGCTGCCCCACAAGACCAAGCGAGGCCAGGCTGCCCTGGACCGGCTCAAGGTGTTTGATGGGATCCCGCCACCCTATGACAAGGTGAGCTGGGCCACCCTGACCGGCAACATTCCCCCTCTGGCGTCCATGATGTTCCACGGTTACCTACATTGTTTGAGCCTCATGAGAACAGCACTGGCTGAGACGCCTGCCCCAGCCAAGGGTCTCCTGTCTGTCCCTCGCCGGGTCTCTAAGCCCTTCTCCTTCTCTAACAGAAAAAAAGGATGGTGGTTCCTGCTGCCCTCAAGGTAGTGCGGCTGAAGCCCACCCGGAAGGTGAGTTCCAGGTGATGCTGGCTGGGGGTGGGGAGCCCAGGACCAATGTAGGGGTGGCTGGCTTGTCCTGGAGACTGGCAGATGATGGCTTTTTCTCACGATGGTCTGCGGATGCCGCTGTGGGCAGTGCCGATAATGCCAATGGCTCAGCTGATGCCAGGAACAGAAAGCCTGTCTGGGTGGGGGTGGTCTCGTGCTAATTTACGTTTATTTGGGAAGTGGGACTACTGGGTGTACCCAGAGTCTCCTCTCAGGTCTTAATCCCAGTCCAGCTTCCATGTCCCAAGGTCTCACTGCTCCTCCCTCCCTGCAGTTTGCCTACCTAGGGCGCCTGGCCCATGAGGTTGGCTGGAAGTACCAGGCAGTGACAGCCACCTTGGAGGAGAAGAGGAAGGAGAAGGCCAAGATGCATTACCGCAAGAAGAAACAGCTCATGGTGAGGGCACCCTGTACAGTGTACCCTAGAAGCCTCTGAGGCCTAACCTGGGCTAGGGAGTGGTTGGGGGCCTTGAGATAAAGGAAGACCCCAGGAAGCAGCCCTTGACCACATCTATCTTAATCCCACAGAGGCTACGGAAACAGGCCGAAAAGAACGTGGAGAAGAAAATCGACAAGTTCACAGAGGTCCTCAAGACCCATGGCCTCCTGGTCTGAGCCCAATAAAATTGACTGTTAATTCCTCATGCGTGGCCTGGCCTGCCCTTCCTCCATCGCCGCCCCGGGATGTGGGGGACCCCCAGGGCAGGCAGCCTGGGCCTTTGGAGGCTAGGGACAAGAAAGGGCCTTAGTGCCTGCTGTCTAAAGAAGGGCCCTTGAAAAGTTGGCAGCACTCAGCCGTGCGGGCAGAATCTGCCCACAGCCTCCTTGTTGGAACAACCAGTTCAGTTTCAATATTTGCAAAATAACCTTGAAAACATCCTACCTGGTTGGGGTCTATACTCTGCAGCTGTTAGGTGACCACACTCGGGTGGGTGCGGGGTTGCAATCCAAGCAGCCAGGAGCCTCTGGTGTGGCCCTTGGGCCTTCCCTGTACTCTGTGATGGGAGACAAATAAATTATTTTCAAAGAAATTGGTGTCCTTGCAGTGTCTGTGCAGCAGAGGCAGACCCAGGGGAGCTTGGCAGAAGGTGGGGGGGTGAGGAATAACAGCTGCCTAAGACATGGGGTGGCTGATCATCTGCCCCATGCAGGAGGAGAGCTGTGGGGACACTGAGAGCTGGTTCCTGAGACCATGTGGGTGTTGGTGTAATTAGGGCCCAGTTTGCCTTAAGCTGTCTCTTCAGCTGCAAAGTATGGAGTTGCCCCCAGTCCAGAGCCATTCTCCATGAGGGACCAAGTGGGCTATCAGTGCCACATCAGGATCCACTGGGGAAGTTGGGACAGGACACTGCAAGCAGCAGCAGGCACCTTGGCTGAAACTTAGAGTTGCTGGAAACATGACATACTATTGTTATTTCAAGCAAAAAGTAATGACATCCAGCAATCCACTAGGTGCCTCCCACTGATGGGAGTCCCTGGAAGGGTCAATGGCAGCATTTAGGTGCCTTGCATTGCCCACCCAGTAAGCAGGTGTGACTTACCGAGGTGTGGGTGAAGCACATGGTGGACCAGCCCCTGGATCGCCTGGCAGGACTGAGGCTTGGATTGCTCAGCCCAGCAACCTGATACCCGAGTTGGAGTTGGGTGCCGAGGAAGCTTGTGGTAGATCTTCCCCTGCAGCTCCCCGCTGCCGCTCCCCCAGCCTGTCTCCACATGTCCAGTTGTACCGTGGGTTTTCTGAGTTACAATGTTCCTCCCCACTCATGGGGGGCACCGGGCACCTAGAACTAAATTTTTTTTTTAAGGTTTATTTTTATATCTATTTCCCTGGCCGGCCGAGGATCGAACCCATGCTGCAGAGGCTGTGGACAGCTTCACAGTGCTGCGCTCAACCCGCTGCGCCACTGGGGAGGCCCTAGAACTAAATTTTTTTATTGTTCACCTCATAAGCTACGTGGACTAAGAGGACCATAGGTGTGAGTGTGGCGAGTCACCTGTGGCGGGTGGTCCTGTACAAGTCAAGGTGTTGTAAGCCAGTGTTAACCTCGAGAAAGAAAAAATATCCACAATAAATAAAGCAGTTCTTGCCTAGTGGCACAGGAGTTAAAGGCTAAGCACGATGAAGCTATCCATCGCCACTGTAGCCCAAGTTTGATTCCTGGCCAGGGAGCTGACCCACATTGCGCAGGAGACCTCTCCTGTCTCCCCGCTGCTCCCCTCAGCAGTGTATTTCAGTAGCTCTACCTGTTCAGTTCCCCACTCTGTCTCTGGTGAATCCTCTCACCCTCATACACCTCTGGCCTACCCCAGCTCTTGCATGCATAAATAAATTTACAAAATAAATAAGGCAACAAAACTGACTAGAAATGGAAAGTTTTGCAAAGAGGAGAGCCTGAAAGAGTGCAAAGACAAAAAGTGAGAGGAAGGAGGGGGGAGGTGTCAGTGTAGAACGCAATTCCCGCTGTGGGTTGTGACCAAAAACACTTAAAAGCTAAGCACCTAAATAAATGTCTCGTGGCCCCTCACCCTTACTGTGGAGAAGTGTTTCTTTGCGTTTCCCTTATCATCAAATCTCACCACTCAGCAGCTTGCAACTCTGAAGAAATGGAGAGGAAATCACACCTAATCCCACCACCTGGAGATGCAAAGCACATGGCAATGTCATACATTTCCTTCCAGAGCCTTCTTTCTAGGTAACTTTCCTACGTGGTTAGCACATGTCTCCGAGATACCAACTGTGGGTTCCGCAATTTTTTTTTTTTTTTTACTGACTTATCAGAAGTCCTTTCCAAGTCCTTCTAAAGCTACGTAAGTTACTTTTTTTCTTCAAAAACTAAGTTATAAAGCTACTACCCAGTCACCAGGGAGGAAGACCCAAAAAGGTCTTAAAACAAAAATGCCAAGTCTCTCTTCTCCTTTGAGGATTGCCCCAGAGGAACTGAAACAACTACAATTAAAACATATTATGCATGGGCCTCCCTGGTGGCACAGGGGCTAAGACACAACCTATGAAGCTACCCACAGTCCCTGCAGTACAAGTTCGAGTCCTGGCCAGGGAGATACCCACATGGCGCCACAGACATCTCCTGTCTCATCTGCTGCTGTCCTCAGCAGTGTATTTCATTCAATCCGCCTGTTCTGCTCCCAGCTCTGTCTCTGGTGAATCCTCTCAGCCCCCACACCTTTGGCCTACACCCCAGTTCTTTCACACAAAGAAAAAAATGGTCAGATGGCCCGGGATTGCTTTCCTGACTGCTTGAACTGAATGTGTCACCCTGAGAGGTGAAGCCCCGCTGAGCCTCAGCCTCCTCTCTCTTTTCTATAAAATGGGCTCACAGTAAGTCCTGGCGCGGGGGAGAGGGAAGAGCAGCTGAGGCGGCACAGCGCCCGGCAAAGAAACACTCACATAAATGACACCAACACTTAAAGGTGACGGGACGCCAGGCTGCGCTAAGGTCTGCGTTGCAAGCCCTGCAGGTCCAGGGGAGCGGGGGTGTGGTCAGCTGTCAGGGTTGGCTGGCAGCACCGGGCTGTGCCCCACTGCCCAGCACAGGGCAGGACACACAATGGGTGCTCGTTTAAGCGCGAGCTGAGCAGCAAAAGGCCTCGAGGGCTCCTTCTTTAAAGGTAGAAGATTAACAACTCCGGGGCCTGATGTCCCGGTTAAAATCCCGCCCCTGCCGCTCACTTTCTGAAGAACGTGGAGCTGCAGTGGGCTCATCTCCCCATGGACAAAAGGGGACATGAACCCACCCATCCTCACGCAGGGGCCGCGCAATCCACGGCTTCTTAAGATCTGGCGCTACAGAAATTTAAAAAACAGCCCGTTAGCATCCCGTTATAAAACTGAGGAGAACTGAGCGCTCTCCCCTCACAGAGATGGCGGCCGCGACGCTCCGAATACCTTCCGGTTGCCCGCCCCGCAAAAAGATGGCGGCCGCCGCATCCCGCCTGGACGCTGCACGGACACAACCACGCGGTCCCCAAACTCCACGTGAACCTATACTCCGCAGAAAAATGGCGGCCTCCCTAGGAGTCTCGCGATGACTCGGGCGGGATCAAGGTTCGCCCCACCTCCCCAACGAGAACGGGCAGATGCCGTGTCCGCCATAGCCTAACTCTCGCGAAACAATGTCCTTTTCCCCCCCACACACACCAACCCGCTGCCCTCACCATCATGGCGGCGTGGGTGCAATCCTCGAATCGCGCGCGAGATTAACGCCCGTCAATCAGAGGCGCGCCCGACGAACAGTGCGCTCCAAACCGTGCTGTCCCGCCCCCTCGCCGTCACTTCCGCTCCAGCCCATGTGCGCAGGATAAGGAAACTCGGAAGGCGCCGCGACTTTCTTTTTTTCTGGCGGCCGGAAAGATGGCGGACATTCAGGTGCGGGCTCGGGGCCGGCGCGCAGGCCGCGGGATCCACCGCAGGTCTCAGGGGCGTGTCCTGGCCGGCCGGACCCCGCACCCCAGTTGGGGGCTTCTTCCCGGACATCCTCGCTTTCCTGGGGCTTAATTCGGGCGCAAGGCGCGTGTCTGCGTCTGTCTAGATTTGCGCCGCCCGGGTCCTGGGGCTCCGCACTTGCGGCTTAATGGAGGCCCCAGCGTCTTGTGGCGATCTTAAAAGTCAGGGCTTACGGGTGGTTTCCTCACGACCGTGGTGTTTGGGGTTCAACCTCGGAGAACTTAGTTCTGCAGGCCGTGGGAGAGGTTTCTGAGCGTAGGTGCCTTAGTGACCTAGAGTTGAGTCTGGGTTAGAGGGGAATTTGGGGTGACAGTTCGCGGGCACTCAGTCTTGGAGGCCAGCGTTTGGGGAGTAAAGCTGGCGAGGATGGGATTCGGGGTTTTCGGGGGCGCTTTCCAGGCCGGTGGCGCCTGCTGCGGGCCCAGCAGCTCACCGACTTGTTCCCGCAGACGGAGCGTGCCTACCAAAAGCAGCCGACCATCTTTCAAAATAAGAAGAGAGTCCTGCTTGGGGAAACCGGCAAGGAGAAGCTCCCGAGATATTACAAGAATATCGGTCTGGGCTTCAAGACGCCCAAGGAGGTAAGGGATCCCTCAGAGCAAAGAAGAGACCCCCATGTCCCTGCATGTGTGCCTTGAGTTGCCTTCGCTTGTGACTGGCTGCCCCTGGGCTGCTGGGAGTTGTAGTTTGTGACCCTGAGGCCACGCCCTCTCTGCGGGAGATTCTTGTTCAAGGCTCATTCCCTTTTCTTATTCCTGCAGGCCATTGAGGGCACCTATATTGACAAGAAATGCCCTTTTACCGGTAATGTCTCCATCCGAGGGCGCATCCTGTCCGGTGAGTGAGGACCTCTGGGAACCAGGGTTCAGATTCCAGGGTCGGGGGTGGGGCGTGTAGAGGAGACCCCTGCTTCCAGCGGGCTTCAGCAGATGATGTCTGTTCTCACGATGGTCTTCAGATGCCCGCCACGGGCACTGCTGAGAAAGCCTTTTGGCACAGCTGATGCCAGCAGTAAAGCTTCTAGTGGGGAACCTGCTTGGCAGCTCCCAGGGACCCTGCCAGATGGCCTGTCTCTTCCCTCAGGTGTGGTGACCAAGATGAAGATGCAGAGGACCATTGTCATCCGACGAGACTATCTCCACTACATCCGAAAATACAACCGTTTCGAGAAGCGCCACAAAAACATGTCCGTCCACCTGTCCCCCTGTTTCAGGTGAGTGTGTGGTCCCTGGTTCTCCAGCCCATGTGCACCCCGCCCCCAACCCCTGATGTAGAGGACAGGGCTCTGTAGTGAAGGCTGAATGATGTGGAGCCTCACCTGGGTGTTAACATGATGCCCTGGTTGCCAGGCTGGGGATTGGGGGTGGCATGGGAAGGGGGTCCTTGCTGTCCAGGCAACTGGGAGGGAGCCCTGGCTTCTCTCAAGCAGAGGTGGCAAATGGAGCTTTTCTGCCCCGGGGTCCCAAAAGCTTGCAGCACCCCTTGCCCAGCCTTGAGCTTGGTGCCTTGCTCATAACTCATGTTCAGTAAATAAAACACACAGGGGCAGGTGGAAGCGGAGATGGGGTCTTGGGGTTCGGTGGCATCTAAAGCTGAGAGGCCTTGTTCTGAGGAGAAGCAGGCCTCCCATAATATGGTCACCCCCCCCCCAGGGACGTCCAGATCGGCGACATTGTCACAGTGGGCGAGTGCCGGCCCCTGAGCAAGACGGTGCGCTTCAACGTGCTCAAGGTGACCAAGGCGGCTGGCACCAAGAAGCAGTTCCAGAAGTTCTGAGCTGCACACTTGCCCGCTTACCCCTTCACAATAAAAGCTCTTTCTACCCACAGGCCAGGCTCCAGGTGTCTGCATCCTTACCCCTGAGTGGGGAGAGAAGAGCCTGGGAATTGAGGGGTGGTCGTGCAAAAGATGGAGTTCTTGCACATCTTGTGGGGGCCAAACTCTGCCTACTGCCTTTATTGCTGGGTGAAGATGACTTTGCCTTAAGATGCTGCTCCTTCCCTGGGTCCTTTTGCCTTGTCACCTTCTCATTGTAGGATTAAGTGAGGCCTTCTACCTGGGCTTAAGCACACCCCCCCCCACCACCACCACCCAGGTCTCTGGGGAGGAAGTGAGTGAGGGTGGAGGCCCTGGGTTTGCTAGACTCTGGTCTACTTGGGTGGGGGGAAGCAGCAGCCGCCTTCTAGGCCAGGGGTGGGGGGTGGGGACCTTCGCAACACACTGGGCTCTGGACTGGGAGCTTCTTGGCGAGAACCTGGGCCTACCTATCTCTGGACTAAAGGAACAGCGGGAAAGCCAGGCAGGGTCCCCAGCAGCCCCCTATCCCTCCTAAGTGGCAGTCACCCCATTTTGCACACCAGCAAGGCGATTGGAGAGGGCAGGTTCTCCTAGGTTCCTATCCCCCTCCAGGTCCCTGTCCTGGGCTTGGGTCCATCCTTCATGCCTGAGTCTGCCCCCCATGTCTGGTCTGCCCCCCAGCAAGTAGCTGACTTCCCAGTCTCAAATTCTGGAAACTTGTTCTTAATTCATATCCATAAATAGCAAAAAACCAGGAGGGGACAGGTGGAATCCCACTAGGAGCTTGGTCTGTATTCCTTAAGTCCAAGCTGAGAGGCCCCAGCCTGAAGAGGTTGGCTCACCTCGAGGTGGGACTTGGGGTGGGGGGGCGGTGTGAGGAGAGATTGGAAATGAGAACTGAGGCAGGCGAGTAAGGGGAGACTTAGGACACTGAGAGCTAGAACGGGAAGGGGGGCAGGTAAGTGGTGGTGCTAAATGCTGTAGCGACAGAGAAAAGGGAAAGTGGAGGGGAGCCGAGTGGGTGTCAGACACCACGGAGCCGCGGGGAGGGACAGACAGGTGGGTGGCGCAGGGCAGCCAGGCAGGGGGGCAGCAGGGTCAGGTGCAAGTCGGGAATGGCTGGAGGGAGGCAGGGGCTTGGAGGAGCGCAGGAGAGACCCTCACCCGGACGCAGGTGGGCAGCAAGGGAGATGCTAGTGTCCCCCGCCGACTTCACCCAGGGTTGGCGCTGCTGGGGCCCCCAAGTCCCTGCCCCCCAAACCTGTACCAGGGACTGAGGCACAGCACTGGTACAAGGGTTGGGAGACAGGGCCATGAGGAGAGGAGCTGCCGCTGCCAGGGACGCTGCGCTGGACCGGCCCAGCGGCTCCTTTTCACGCAGACCCAGAGAGGGCGGGGGTTCCTGCCAGAGGAAGTGGGGCCGCATCAAAGAGGGCAGGAAGGGGCAGGGACGGTCAGGAGGGGGCACCGCCCCGGGTTTCAGCCTGCAACTGTGCCCCATCCCCTGCTAGAGGGAGAGACAGACACCCTGAGGGAGGGGGACAAGGGCGAGAGAAGGGTGTCGGACCCAGACACGGGGTACAGAGACCCAGGCGGGAAGGATGGGCCCAAGGCAGGGCTAGGGATCCGGGGAGGGGAACCAGGGAGCCGGAGGGGGATAGGGGCCTGAGAGACTGGGGGTGGGGAGGATGAGGGGGATAAAGAGAGTGGGGGGCCAGGCACCTAAAGGGGGCCACAGGAACCTAGAGGGCCTGCAGGGGACAGAGCCCCGGAGAGGAGGGGGCGGGGATCTAGAGAGAGGACCGAGACCCAGGGCCAGGGCACAGGAACCGGGGGTGAGGCATTGTCCAGGGAGAGGAGGGGCGAAGGCCAACCCCGGTGGGAGGGGGTCAGGGATGGGGGGCTGGAGCAGCGGGTGGGGGTGGGCCGCCACCGCAGGTGTTTCCGTTCGGGGTGGAACCCAAGTGTTTACAACAACAACAGCGCCGCTCTCCTGTTTCCTTCCCACTGTCGCTGGGGCGTCTCCTTGGCACCCCACCGCGTCAGGCTGCGGAGTCACGGGTGCGGCACGTGCCTGGTGCGCGCTGGGGGCGCCTCTCCCGGGCCGGGGAGTTGGTCGCAAAGACCCAGGAGCGGGGCCCCAGCCGGGCCTCTGCCCTCACCCAAGGACCGGGGAGGACCTTGTGCCTCTGGGCGGGGTCCGGCCTCAGGGCCCCCCGCGCCGCGCCGGGCGGAGCCCACCACGCCCGCCCCTCCGAGCCCTCGCACGGCCTGAGCCCTCGGCCTGGAACCCCCAGGCCGGCCCCGCCTCGCCCTGACTAACCCCACCGACCTCTCGCCGCTTGGCCACACTCCTCACCCTCCCCAGGCACCCCTGCTTTCTTGGCCCCCGCAACAGTAAAGCCTATCCCCGAGCCCCGCGGGTCCTTGGATAACGCCCGTCCTGTTACAACGCTCAAGAGGAAACATACCGAGGCGAACCCCGGCGTGGGGGCCGCCGTCCGGGTGGCGTCCGCAGGCTCTCCGCGGGCTGCTGGGTTTTCCCCAGGGACTCAGATTCCCTTCCACATCCCAGACGCTTGCAAGGAGGGTCACTGGGGCGGGGGTGCTGCACCCTGACAGGGAGGGGCTCTTGCCAGGATTGGGCCCCGCCTGGCGCCCCGCTGGCCCTGACCACTCCGAGCTGGAAAAAGCAGCGAGAAAGTAAAGGAACGAATGGACACTAACTGTCTCATGTGAGAAGTGTCTTGGGTCTTTAGAGTTTGCTGATGCTTTGTGAGCAGAAACCACGGAGGAGCTCAGTTCTGGCTTCTGTCAACCAGCTGCTCGTGATGAGTCCGGCTCTGCACAGGTCACTTATATGTGCAGCTCCCCAAAAGCGACGGCAGATCCCCAGACCCTGCACGATACTGTGGAGTCTGACCGGCCATCACTCCCGCTGACCCTGGGCTGAGAGCCCGTCCCCCGCGGAGTTAGGTGTACACATCTCACAGGGTGGCCTTGACCCCGCAGATCTCAAGACAAAGAATGACCAAATGCAAGCGCTGAGACTGTAGGTTCTGTCCTGAATTCTAACCCTGCCGCTTGTCAGGCTTGTGTGGCTGTGGTCAGGGAAACCCCTCACCAGACAGCCTCAGTTTCCTAATCTGTAAAGTGGGTTCATGTCTCCCTACCCCATGAGGGTGAATTTTGCTCATGGGGTAGAATTAGTTCTAGTAATTGATTCTTCCAGGACAGTAGTTATGCCAGAACCCCGAAGCCTGTTACAAGAGAAAGGCTTGAGGTCATCTTATAAAAGCAGGTCCTGGGGGCACAGTGGGCAGGCTCAGGGACAAGAGTCTTTGGCAGGTGGCCAGGAGGTATTATCTGGTTGTGGAATCCTGGGTCTGGTGGTTTGTCTCAGGATCTGGAGTCTATTTTAGCATGCTTCTGGAATATTCTCTGGCATGCCCACTGTGGGAGGGCCTGGTAGCACAGACTTTCCCAGGCTGTTCTTTGCCAGATCTCAGTGCAACACAGTAGCAAAGGCCATGCCTGTCCCATGACGAGGAGACCAATTCCGGTTGTATCATAATGTGTCTGCACCTGTCACAGTAGGCCCAAGAATATTCTGGAACAGCCAGAATGGCCATCATGGGTGTAGCCCCTGGGATGTTCTATTACATGATAATGGAATGATGGATCCTAGCAGGACCTCCTCGAGGTCCTGTGGGGCTGCCATTCCAGGTTATGTTAGAAGCGGCCCGGAGGTGTTAGCTGAGCTCCGATCATTAGTCTCCGGTGACGGGGACTGTAAGTGAGACAAGAAACACTGAATTCATGTCTGTGTGTGAGGAAAACGTTGGCTCTGTAGGTCCCAGCTCTAGATATTATCACAGAGACCTGCGGATTGCTTCAGGGGTGGATGGAGGTCATCCCTTAACCCCTGTGTTCACTCTGTGAGTATTCAGTCTGCTGATCGCTGGCGGTACAGGCATGAGCAAGACAGATGCAGGGCCTGGACTTTGACAGCCTACAGTCTAGTGTGACCTTGGGACCCTTAAGAGCAGAAGGGGGCGCACAAAGGGAAACAGGTGTGCCCTTAAGGAGTCTGGGGAACCCAGGGTGAGAAAAGCCAGAGCCCATCATCTGAAGCTAGGATTTGGTTCTGAACACAGGAGCAGTTGGGGGGCAGGTACATGGGGGTCAGTAGGGGGCGCTGTGGTACAGGTGCAGCAGGGAGGGAGGCTGCTCAGGTGGTGGTGATTCTGGGAGCACAACTCAGAGCTGCCTGTGGCCATTTATAGTATATACACCTCCTCCCATGCACGGCAGGTCAGGGGGACCCCTATGGGCAAGCCCCCCACCTCCCAGCTGTGGTGGTTGGGAAAGGACCGATGCTCAGCTTAACGCTCTGCTTGAACTGTTTTGAAATGAGCAAGATGCCCAGGTTTCATTTGGCAGGGGCCCCAGATGAGTAATTGGCTGGCTGACTGCTCAACAGGGGACCTAATGTCAGGACCCCCCCCCCCCCGGGGAGTCCAAAAGGTACAGGCAGGGATTCTTAGAAAGACACCTGGGACAGGCTAGGAGTCAGCGGATGCTGTAAATGGCCCCTGAAGACACAGAGGCACCAGGTGCTTGTCAGGGATTCCCACTGGGCACTAAGGGCGCTCGAGAGCTGCTGCTTTCATGGCAAGAAGACATGAGAGGGGCCTCCCTGGTGGCGGCGCAGGGGGTTAAGCACCGCACTGTGAAGTAGCCTCTGCAACACAAGTTCGATCCCTGTCAAGGGAGCTGACCCACATAGCGAAGCAGACCTTTCCTGTCTTGCCCGCTGCTCCCCTCAGCAGTGTATTTCAGTCAGTCTGCCTGTTCTGTTCCCCACTCTGTCTCTGGTGAGTCCTTACCCCCCAGTGTCTCTGGCCTGTACCTCAGCTCTTGTATGCATAAATAAATAAATCATAAAAAAAAAAAGACATGAGAGGCTTAGTGGCGAGACTCCCAGACCATTCTAACAGCAGGGCAAGGAGGTGGTGTGACTAGCAGAGTCCAACAACTCACTAGGTCAGACCCTCTCGCGCTGGTTCTGGGTTGGGCCACCTAAAATCTCAATGCAAACAAAAGGGCCTTTGGTGCAGAAAAACAACTCAAAAACCCGATTTATTCTAACCAACAATTTAGCAAGGGAGAGGGAGAAGGTCCACAGGACATGAGCAGAGGGGTGGAGCAGGTTGCTGGGTCTGGGGATTCTACGAGGGCACCCCTGGAGCCTGAGGGTAGGGGTGCAGTCTGAGCTATTAGAGACCCTGTGCAGGATCAGGGCCCTTGGCAATGGACCTGTAGGTCTCCAGGAGAGGAACTGGAGCTAAAGCTGGTGGAGAGAGGGAACTGGGCTTTGGCCTTTACTGCAGGCTGCAGGCATAGCCATGGCATCTTGAGGGCACCTTCAAGAGACCTCAGTGGAACTACAGGAACTTGATATTAGGGCTCAGGATAGATTTAGATGACTGGGACATCTTAAAGGGACACCCTCCGGGGTGATGGTTTGAGGAAAATGATCTCAAGTCCCTGAGGGACGCTGTCACTTTATACCAGGGTTCAAAGAACATGGCAGCAACATCCCTGAGGCTGCCAGAGACCTAACCAGCTCCTTAGGGCCAGGGTGGGACAGCAGGGTGTGGCAGGTTTCTCTGGTTTTGGGGGAGAGCTGAGCAGAGAGAGCATCATCAAAAGATGATGGGCTATGAAAACAGGATCCTCTAGCACCACTAAGCCCCACCCTCCTGTGGCTGGTGGATATTCTAGCAGGGCTGGGGGAGAGTAACCCAAATGAATGGGGTGTTCCTCTCTGAGTCCAGCCACAGTCCCCTTCTGTAATGGTTAATTTTGTGTCAGCTTGGCCAGCCCACAGGACCCAAATGTTGGGTCATCTATTACTCTGGCTGTTTCTGTGAGCGTGTTTTCAGATGGAATGGGTGGACTATGAGTGAAGCGGACTGTCCTCCATAATGTGGGTGGGCTGTGTGCGACCAGTTGAAGATCTGCCTAGAAAAACTGCTGACTTCCCCCCAGCAGGAGGCAATTCTGCCAGCGCCCTGACTTTGGGCTGCATCGGCAGGATGAGCTCTTCCTGGTTCTCCGGCCTGCCTGCCTTTGCATTTGAACCACCACTCTTTCTCCAGCCTGCGGGCTGCCAAGCCAGGATTGGGACTCCTCAAGCCTCCAACAATCACTTGAGCCAATTCCTTTAAAGAGTTGCTTTCTCTCTATGTATATACACATCCTGTTGCTTTGGGAATCCATCCTGCCCTGACTGATATATCCTACTACCTAGCAATTCCACCCTTGGGATACATCCCCCCAAATCAAAAACAACTGTTAACAAAACAAATCTTCTACAAATGTAGAACAAAAGATGAACAAATGTTCATCCTACTCAAAAGGAGAAACAAGGCAAATGTCCATCAATGGAGAAACAAAACACGGTCCCCCAGACCTGGGAACATTATTCAGCCATAAAAAGAACTGAAGCGGGGCCTCCCTGGTGGCGCAGGCGGTTGAGCGCAGTGCTGTGAAGCTGTCCGCAGCCTCTGCAGTGCCGTTTGATCCCTGCCAGCCTTGGAGCAACCCACATGGCGAGCAGACCTCTCCTGTCTCGCCCACTTCCCCTCAGCAGTGTACTTCATCACTGCCTGTTCTGTTCCCTGCTCTGTCTCTGGTGAATCCTCTCACCCTTCTGCGCATCTGGCCTGTACCCCAGTTCTTGTATAAATAAAATAAATCTCTAAAAAAAAAAAAAAAAAAAAAAAGGACTGAAGCTCTGAAGCTCTGACACCTGCTACAGAGTGGATAAATCTGGAAAAGTTCATGCTAAGTGAAAGATGCCAGCGGCACATGGGCAAGGCGGAAGGGGATTCCATGACTCTGAAAGGCCCAGAATAGGTTTAAGCAAGACAGGAAGCAGAACAGTTGCCGTGAGGGAGGGGAGGGGCTGCCTGGTTGAGTGGGGCTTGCTTGGAGGAGGGGCATGAAAATGGCCTGGAACTGTGGTGATGGGCTCTCTGCCTTGTCAATGTCTTAGCTGTCACCAACAGTAAATTGTCTGCTGTGTGCATTTTTGCAGAAGAAAACAAATACATGGGCCTGTGGGAGCAGGAGCTTGGGCAGGTGTGGTGACCGCTGGGACCTCTAAGCTCCAAGTGGCTATGGGGACCGTGTGTTATTGAGGTCACATCAGAAGATGTTAAAGAATAAATGAAGGAACATTTTAAGGGGACGCTGGAGGGGGGAGGGGTTCAGATGAGGAAATGCAGCGGAATGTGGAGGACTTGCTTTGCAGGGACTTGCTTTGCAGCTGGAGCCGGTGTGGGAGGGGGGCTGGGGGAGGGGTACCATGCGGCGAGAAAGGGAGGCACAAACACCTCCAAATTTCGGACTCCGAATGTTGGGTTCGATTTCCTACTGGTCGTGAATTCCTGCGTGGCGGACCCCCTCAAAATTAAAAAAAAAAAAAAAAAAAAAAAACAACGGGGAGCAATTGAGAAAAAGACAAAAATAAGGACAAAAGCGTCAAGGCAGAAACGGAGGCCAGCCAGAGGCCTGGGGTGTGCCCGGCAGCTGGGGGGCGGGGTTGGATATTCCTGGAGGGGGGGAGCAGTTTCTGGACAGGATGTGAGAGAGGAACTGGGGTCTTCAGTCACGGGAGCCAGCTGGGGCTGCAGGCAGGAAGGGAACGAGGCTGCCGTGAGCAGAACTGGACCCCAGGACGAGGGAGGGAGGACTAACTGGGGGGCCTTCCTTGAATCCCGGCCCGAGGAGGGAAGCTGGGGGCCTGGACTCCCCGGGTGTGAGGGAGGAGGAGGAGGAGAAACTTGCCGAGCTTTGAGAAAGGAATCTCAGCCCATCCAGACTCTGTAATTAATTAACCCACACGGATCAAATTAAAGGGTGAAAGTTCATCGAGGAGGAGGGCGCTGTCACCCTCCTGGAGGAGACCCCAAACGCACCCGCAGGCGCCGCCACCGGTGACCGAACCCGCGGAGCTGGGAGGAAGGGGCGGGGTGGGGGTCCCGAGGAGTCACGCGCCCCCTCCCGCCCCAGGTCTCCGCCTCAGGATGGGAGGCCCCAGGCCTCAGCCCTGGGGGCTCGGGCTGCTGCTCTTCCTCCTGCCCGGGACCCTGCGCGCAGGTGAGGGGTGCCCGGCGGCGGGCGGGGAGGCGGCGCGGAAGCCCAATCGGAGGCGCCCGTCCCAGCCCCGCGTTTCCTCGCGCGCCTTTCCCGGGGGCACTTCCTGGGCCTTGGCTTCCTCCTCCCCGAGACACCCCCCTTTGGGGCCCCGGCCCCCTCTCCCTGGCGGCGCTGGGGGCCGAATCTCCCCGGTCAGGGCCTGCGGCCTGCTGGGTCCGGGTGCCCCGCGCGCCGAGCCGGGCGCTCAGTCCCCTCTGTCCCCCCGCAGCGGACAGCCACCTCTCCCTTCTGTACCACATCACCGCCCTGTCCTCCCCACCCCCCGGGACTCCGGCCTTCTCGGTGTCGGGCTGGCTGGGCCCCCAGCAGTACCTCAGCTACAACAGCAACCGCCGGCAGGCCGAGCCCTACGGGGCTTGGGTCTGGGAAAGCCAGGTGTCCTGGTACTGGGAGAAGGAGACGGCGGACCTGAAGGAGAAGCAGAACCTCTTCCTGGAAGCTTTCGAAGTCTTGGAGAAAGGAGGTGAATGTCAGGCTTCTGGGTTTGAGGGAGGAGGCTGGGGCCTGGACACCAGGGTCTGAGGGAGGAGGCTGGGGCCTGGACACCAGGATCTGAGGGAGGCGGCTGGGGCCTGGACACCAGGGTCTGAGGGAGGAGGAGGCTGGGGGCCTGGACACCAGGGTCTGAGGGAGGCGTCTGGGGCCTGGACACCAGGGTCTGAGGGAGGAGGAGCTGGGGGCCTAGACACTAGGGTCTGAGGGAGGAGGCTGGGGGCCCCGACTCCTGGTCTGAGGGAGGAGGGGCGTGGGGGCTCTGCTTCTGGGCCCTCCTCACCTCTGTGTGGGGGCCCCAGATTCCTACACCCTGCAGGGTCTCCTGGGCTGTAGGTTGGACCCTAACAATGCCTCCGTGCCGGTGGCCGACTTTGCCCTGAATGGTGAGGACTTCATGAGTTTTAACCTGAAGTTGGGCAACTGGACTGGGGACTGGCCGGAGTCCGCTGCCATCAGTGAGAAGTGGAATGAGCACCCTGAGAACGTCAACAAGGAGAAGACCTTCCTGCTGTATTCCTGCCCACAGAGGCTGCTGGGCCATCTGGAGAGGGGCCGTGGAAATCTGGAGTGGAAGGGTGAGCCCTACCTGAGCCCCATCCATGCCAGTCTCTCCACCCATGACCAGGCCTCCTTGTCACACTCCAGCCTTCTTCCTGGCCTTCCAGTCTCCCCACTACAGCTGATACTACCCCTGTCCAGCTTGTGGCTCCCACGGCCCAGCGGACATTCTCGGCTTCTCCATCTGATTGTCCTCCGCAGACCTCACTGGTCTCCTTCCTCAGTGTCTCACTGGGCCTATCCTCACACCTGCCCCCTCCAAAAGCCAGCAGCGTCCTTCCTCAGATCTTGGCTCGTCCGCTCCCCACACCTGGACACAGGTCACCTCTCCACATGCTCTGCTTCTCCAACTTTCCAGTCCGAACTGGACTCGTTTCCTCTGAGGTCTCGAGACCCTCCTTGGCGTGGAGACAGCTGGTGCCCCATGATCCTCCCTTGGTGCCTGTCTGTGCCCGCATCTTCTTTTCTTCCAAGGACACTGGTCATATAGGAATAGGACCACCCACCCAAGTGACCCTATTCTACCTAAATTTCGTGTTTATCTTTTTAAAAAGATTTATTTATTTATGCATACAAGAACTGGGGTACAGGCCAGAGGTATGGGGGGTGAGAGGACTCACCTGAGACAGAATGGGGAGCAGAACAGGCAGATCCACTGAAATACACTGCTGAGGGGAGCAGCGGGTGAGACAGGAGAGGTCTGCTGTGCCATGTGGGTTGCTCCCTAGTCAGCCAGGATCGAACTCGTGCTGCAGTGACTGCAGCTAGCTTCATAGGTTGCGTCTTAACCCTTTGTGCTGCCAGGAAGGCCCTTGTGTTTATTTTTTTTAAAGATTTATTTTTATTTATTTATGCATACAAGAAATGGGGTGCAGGTCAGAGGTGGGGGGTGAGAGGATTCACCAGAGAGAGTGGGGAGCAGAACAGGCAGACTGACTGAAATCCACTGCTGAGGGGAGCAGTGGGGAGAAAGCAGAGGTCTGCTGCGCCATGGGGGTCAGCTCCCTGGCCGGGGATCGAACTCATGGCTAAGGAAAGCTTCACAGTGCTGAGACTCAATCCCTTGCACCACCAGGAAGGCCCCAGCTGCACTGTTTTATTTATTTTTTTTAAAGATTTATTTATTTATTTATGTATACAAGCACTGGGTACAGTCAGAAGTGCGGGAGGGCGAGAGAATTCACCAGAGCCAGAGCGGAGAGCAGAGCAGGCAGACTGACAAAGTACACTGCTGAGGGGAGCAGCGGGCGGCAGGAGAGGTCTGCACGCCATGTGGGCAGCCAGGGATTGAACTGGCGCTTCAGGGGCTGCGGGCAGCTTCACAACCCAGTGCTCAACCGCTATGCCACCGCGGAGGCCCCCAGCTGCACTATTTTAAAGCCCATCACCAGTGTGCCAGGGTTCTCATGTCTCCGTGGTCACGAAGGATGTTCAGTACATGTCTAGGAAGAAGGTGGTGAGAGATGGAGTCTTGAGGGGGATACTCCCTGGCAAGGCCCTTCCAACTACTCTTACCACAATGTTCTCCGGTTCCCCATAAGGCAAGGCACATGTGGGGCCGGCCTGTTGCATAGGGTGAAAGGAATGGCTGCTTCTCTGTGTCCCATCCAGTCTTTTTTTTTTTTTTTTTTAAAGATTTATTTACTTATTTATTTATACAAGCACTGGGTACAGTCAGAAGCGCAGGAGGATGAGAGAATTCACCAGAGCCAGAGCGGGGAACAGAACAGGCAGACTGATGAAGCACACTGCCGAGGGGAGCAGCGGGCGGCAGGAGAGGTCTGCGCGCCATGTGGGACCCTCCTCTGGTGGCCGGGGAGCAGCCTAGGATCGAACCGGCGCTGCAGAGGCTGTGGGCATCCCCGCAACCCAGCGCTCAACCGCTGCGCCACCGGGGAGGTCCGTCCCATCCAGTCTTGCACTGGGCCTGGGCCCTGGACTTGAGTTTTAGTCCTGTCTGCCCATTTGTCCACAGAGCCACCCTCCATGCGCCTGAAGGCCCGACCAGGCAGCCCTGGCTTTTCGGTGCTCACCTGCAGTGCCTTCTCCTTTTACCCGCCGGAACTACAACTGCGATTCCTACGAAATGGACTGGCAGCTGGCTCGGGTGAGGGTGACCTTGGCCCCAACGGTGACGGCTCCTTCCATGCCTGGTCGTCGATAACGGTCAAAAGCGGCGATGAGTACCACTACAGCTGCGTGGTGCAGCACGCGGGGCTGGCTCAGCCTCTGACTGTGGAGCTGGGTGAGGGTGCTCCCCATTTCCCATAGCCTTTTCTTTTTTAAAAGATTTTATTTATTTTTGCATAGAAGAACTGGGGTGTATGCCAGAGGTGTCAGGGAGTGAGAAGATTTACCAGAAAAAGAATGGGGAGCAGAACAGGCGGACCCACCGAAATGCACTGCTGAGGGGTGCAACGGGGAGACAGGAGAGGTCTGCTGCGCCATATGAGGCAGCTCCCTGGCTGGGGATCAAACTCAGGCAGACATGGTGATAGCGCTGGGTCTTAACCCCTAGGCCAGCAGGGAGACCCATTTCCCATATCCTTTGTCCTATTTCCGCAGCAGTCCTTCCTGGGTCTCATCATCTTCCGCTCCACTGCTCCAGCCCTCCACAAGTCTGCTAACCTTGTGCCCTGCCACTGTGGAATCTTCCAAAGCCTGGTGGCCTTCTGTCCTGTGTTGTTTGTCCACCCCAAGTCTGACAAACTTCCATCCTGTTGCTGTTAGCTTCATTGATTCTGACCACTGTGGACGGTCCTCCCTAAGTCTGACTACCTTCCATCCTGCTGCTGTTGGGTTTTCATGCAGTCTGATCGTTCGTTTTCTGCTGTGGTCGTTCCTCGCCAAGACTGACTGCTTATTGCCTTGCTGCTGCCAGTCCTTCACGCGTCTAACCTGCCCCTCGCCAAGCTGGAACACCACCCTCCCGCTGCTATAGGTCCTTGGCCACAATGACTGTGACTGCTCTTGCTAGGGCCAGATCTGTCATGCTATCTGGGGACATGTGGCCCTGACCCAGCACATCACCTGACCAGCTTTTCCACTGCCCACATCCATTCCCCAAGACATGGAGGGCTGGAATCTCCAAGGGTGGGAAAATCCCCAGTTCTCTGTCCTGACTCAGACAGGGTGCAGGGCCATTCACCACTTGCCGTCTTCTCTGACTATAGACCCATCAGCCAAGTCCTCGGTGCCAGTGGCTGGAATCGTCATCGTCTTCTTACTGCTCATAGTGGTAATTGTAGCAGGAGTTCTGCTGTGGAGGAGATTGAGGAACGGGCTGCCAGGTGTGTGGCTGGAAGAGGGATGAGCCTTCGGTGAACATTCCAGAAGAGGGGGTACACAGTCCTGGTGGGGATGGACATCTAGAGATTAAGGAACAGAGACCTTGAGAAAGGTGGGGACAAAAAACGGCAAATACTTAGAGGGGGGACAGAAATCCAAAGAGTAACACAGGCAGAAATAGGCAGACAGATACATGAATGCATGGGGCAGGGACAGTCAGTGACCCAGAAGATCTCAGAGATTTTGATGACTCTCCCCACTTTTTCTTTCCTCAGCTCCTTGGACCTCTCTCCGTGGGGACGACATAGGGGCCCTCCTTCCCACTCCTGACCTGACCAAGGATGTTGATTCATAGGATAAAAATGCAATCCCAGCAACTGCCTTGTGGCTGCGCCCAGCTAATGTCCTCAGGTCTCTTTCATGCTATGAGACCTTCTGGAATCCTGGTGTCTCTGAGCCTCCTGAAGTCCTGGGCCCTGATGTCCCCTCTCTGGTTGCCTCCTCCTATGGTCTGCCTCAGTGTCCTCTCGTCATATGTATGGCTCTTTTCCACCTCCACATATAACAAGAGTTTGGGCCCAAATCATTGTGTTCTCATCATTTCAACTTTTCAGGCAGCGGGAGGTGAGGGAATGGGTGAGAGGAATGAATGGTGTAAGCTTTGGGCTTCCAACATCTCCAGAGGACATGTGGCCGTGATGGGATGGCCAGTTATATATACCAAGTCTTGTAATTTTCATTCATCATTTTCACAAACATTTATTGAATGCCTACACGGTGCCAGACGGATGGAGGAATTCTTGGCCGGCGCCTGATCTGACTCCTTGGTGGGACGAAAGAGTTGATCCCTCTGTGAGGGAAGGGGATGCCTTGGTTACCTAGTTTCTTAAACTATCCTGACAAAGGGAAGGATAAAAATACATCTCCCATGAAGCCTTGGAGTTAGCTAACGCTAAATACTCGGCAGGGCGTCCCGAAGCATGCCGGGAGTTGTAGTTCGTCCTAGCCGCGTCTCTCCCTGGTCGCCCACCCTGTCGTCCCTGCGACGGGGCGGGACCCAAACTCGCTGGCGGCGTTTTTCTTTGCGGACGTGGCGAGGGGCGCCCACAGCCCTCGCTGGCCCCGCCCCTTTGGGGTCACTACGAGCGCTCATTGGTCGGGGGGCGGGGCCTCTGCGCTGCGGGGCGGGACCTCGACCGGAGAGCCGCCCAAGTGGGCATCTTTTCAGAGAACGCAGAGCCGAGTGTAGAGAGCGAAGTGAAGCTGGATAACGGGGTACAGGGGTGAAGGGATGGGGAGGGTGGCGTGCCCAGGGAGGACGGTTCGGGTCCAGACTGGATGCGACGCCCGGGAACCTGTCTTGGTTTCTCTCTGGCCTCGACCCCACCCTGCACTTTTGGGTGGGAAGGGAGCCACGTCTCCCGCTTGAATCCCGCCCACTTCGGCTCTGGGGTCCCTCCGGGACTATCTCAGAAGAGTCGAGTCCCTCAACTGGCTTTACTCTGAAATCCCCAACCCCTCTTTTTCCTATTCTTGGCTCTTCTGGAGCCCCAAAGTTTGCAACCAGCTACCTTCTCTCTGTCTTGTCCTGGCTCCCCTGCCCCAAGCCTCTGCCCTATTCCCTGTGTCCCCTGACGCCTAGCCTTCGCCACTCCCCAGGGACCGATGATGTGGCTACCGTCACTTCTGCTGCTGCTGTTGCTGCTGAGGCCCTGGGCCCAGGGGAAGCCGTCCCCTGATGCTGGCCCTCATGGCCAGGGAAGGGTGCACCAGGCGGCTCCCCTGAGCGAGGCCCCTCATGATGACGCCCATGGGAACTTCCAGTATGACCATGAGGCTTTCCTGGGAAGAGAAGTGGCCAAGGAATTCGACCATCTCAGCCCAGAGGAGAGCCAAGCCCGCTTGGGGTAGGAGAGGGATGGAGGGGATTTGGGTTGTAATTTTTTTTTTTAAAGATTTATTTATGCATACAAGAACTGGGGTGTGGGCCAGCAGTTGGGTGGCGGGGGTAAGAGCATTTACCAGAGACAGAGTAGGCAGCACAATAGGCAGATTTACCAAAATCCCCTGCTGAGGGCAGCAGCGGGGCGATATGGAAGAGGTCAGTTGTGCCATGTGGGTCAGCTCCCTGGCCACAATGGAAGTCATGTTGTAGTGGCTGATGATAACTTGATAGCACTGAGACTTAACCCCTGTGCCACCAGGAGGCCCTTGGGGTTGTGATTTTAAAAAGGGAGGTCACAGGAGGCCTCAGAGAGAAGGTAATGTTTGGGCCAAGTGGATTCATGGGGGGGGTGCAATTCCAGGCAGAGGGAAAGTAAGTAAGTGCAAGGCAGGAGCAGGCCCGATATTGGGGGAACAGGGAAACCTGGTGGCTGGAACCCAGTCATCGAAGGGGAGAGGATGAGAGGTGACTGGCAGAGAGGGAACAAGGGGGTCAGCTCTGCCAGAGCCTTTTGGGCCACATTAGGGATTTAAGCTTTTCTCTGAGTGAGATGAGAGCACTGGGATCACTGAGCAGAGGGAGCTGTTAGCTGACTCAGGTTTCAGTAGACTCTCTCTGACAGCCAGAGTGGGAACAGGGGAAGGAGCAAGAAGCAGGGAGCCCAGCGAGGAAGCCACCACCTGGGACCATATGGGAGACAAGACGATGGTGGGTAGATCAGGGTGGCGCTAGCAGTGCGACCAGGCCCGCGTGGGAGATGGGGTGCAGATCTAGCAGGGCGACAGAGTTGGGGACAGATAGGCTCACGCCTTTGGCACACCACTGTTCTAAGTTAATTTACTCAATCTTCCAAGCGTAGGCTGGCTACTGTTCTTTATCCCCATTTTACAGAGGGGTAAGCTGAGCCTCAGGGAGGTTAAGCTGCCACCATGCAGCAGTGAGCAAGAGGAGGTGGCAGGATATTTGAACCCATACTCTTAGCCTCAGCCCAGGGTAGGTTGTGAGAGCTGCGGACGCAGCTGAATCCCATACTGTGACAAAGCCCAGCGCCGTGGAGGTCTTGGCAGGACCAACTAGGATTCAACCCTGGGGACTGGTCTCAGGGGCCTGGGGACAGTAACGGAGAGGTGAGCTCCATGTGGGCTTTGTTAGATGTTTGCGAGGACCCAGACTGGTGGCACTTGCGGCAGGCCGAGGCCAATGGAAAAGGGAGGGGCTCAGGAGTCGACTGGGGTGGCATGAGGTGGGGCCTGGAGCGGAGACAGGGTGGAGGCGGAGTCCGCGGAATTGCAGGTGCTGGTCCTCTGGCAATGCCTGATGACAGCAGGGGAAAGGTGGCAGAAAGGAGTGGGATGCAGTACAGGGCGGTGCTGGAGGCAGGGGAGCCAGAAATCCCGCGGCAGCCAGGAGGGGGCGGGGGTTAGAGGGGAGAAGGGCGGGAACGGAGATGGCGAGAGGTCGCCGTGGTGTGCGGCGTGGCACTTGGGTTCACAGTGAGTTCGGGGCGGGGGTTTCCGCAGGCCAGGGGCGCGGAGCTTCGGACCTCTAGAGCTCCCCTCCAGCTCGGCCGAACACGTGCAGGACTGACGAGTGGGGCCAGGATGGGGATGTGGCTCTGGGCCGTCGTAGGTCCTGCCCCCGCCGCGGGCGGGGCTTGGACGCCAGCACCAGCCCGAGGCCCGCCGGGTCTCGGAAAAGGCGTGACCCGCCCGGCCCGCAGAGCCCGGGTTGAGGGGTCGGGGCCACGAGGTGGGCGTGGCCTACCCCGGCGCCTTTCCAGTCCTGCCAGTCCTACAGACTGTTTCCACCGGGGCGTGGCCATCCACGAGGGGCGGGGCGATGTGGGCGTGGCCAATCCGCGGGGCCTTTCCAGCCCCCTGCTTCGGTCTGGTCAGCCGATTCCAGGGGGTGTGGCCATTCGCGAGGGGCGTGTCCAGACGTGGGCGGGGCCCTGGTGGGCGGGGTCCGACGTGACGCGTGCCCCGCCCCCCTCGCAGACGCATCGTGGACCGCATGGACCGCGCTGGCGACGGGGACGGCTGGGTGTCCCTGGCCGAGCTCCGAGCGTGGATCGCGCACACGCAGCAGCGGCACATACGGGACTCGGTGAGCGCGGCCTGGGACACGTACGACACGGACCGCGACGGGCGCGTGGGTTGGGAGGAGCTGCGCAACGCCACCTATGGCCACTACGCGCCCGGTATGCGGCGAGACCCCTGCTCCCCACACACCATGACCCTGACGTCCTTGACACCCGCATCCTCAGACTCTTTGAGCTCATTAACCAGAATCCCTCTGGCTCTACCCGCTTCTAGGACCCGAGCCCCCTACCCCGATCTCTGGCTGCGCATTTTGGCATCTGCCACTCCAACTCTGTTACTGGGAGACTTCAGATCCGTGGCCTGTCCTGACCCCCGATTTCTGACCTCTCATCTTAGGAATCACCAAAGTCGTATACCCTGTGTCCCCCTCCCCTCCAAGTCTCTGGGCTCCTCTGTCAAGGTGCCCCAGTCCTGGATCCTGACTCCATCCTCCCCCTGCAGCCTATCCCTCATATATCCCTAGAACTGACCCGGACCCTCCCCTGCTCACAACCCCCCATAGCACCCCAGGTCCCCTATGAGAGAGTCCCAACTCCTCAGTCTGGTTTCACCCACCCCACTGACTTGCTTTTGAACTTTTGCATTTTCCCTGAGCTCAGTGCACTCTTCAAATTTCTACATTCTGCTCCTATTGTTCCCTCTGTTGAAAATGCTTTTTCTGTCTCTTTGTCCCAACCCGAGCTACTGAGCATCAGACCTAGACTCAGAGTCCATCATTCCTAGCTGCGGGCCCTTGGGGCAGGCTGTTTCCTCTTGTGGGTGTCAGCTTCTTGTAAAGTGACAACAAACAAAATAAAACACTTTACTTGTTTTCTTTTGGTGAGGATTACATGTAATATTGTAGGTAAAGCACTCAGCAGGTGATAAGCCCTCACTGCGAGGTTGCTGCTAGGTTGCTGCTAGGTATACATAATGAACACATATTATTCACTATTTTTTTTAAAAGATTTATTTATTTATTTATACAAGCACTGGGTACAGTCAGAGGCGTGGGAGGGTGAGAGAATTCACCAGAGCCAGAGCGGAGAGTAGAGCAGGCAAACTGAGGAAATACACTGCTGAGGGGAGTAGCGGGCACTGCCGGAGAGGTCTGTTGCACCATGTGGGACCCTCGCCCAGTGGCAGGGGATCGAGCTGGCGCTGCAGAAGCTGCGGGTAGCTTCGCAACCCAGTGCTCAGCCGCTACGCCACCAGGGAGGCCCTATTCTCTATTATTAACATAGGAAAATCTTCATTCCCTGACTCCCTGAGTTCTATTGCCTTGTCCTCTTCATCACGAAAGCTCAACTCACCGTGATCTGTCCTTCCCCAGGGGAAGAATTTCATGACGTGGAGGATGCAGAGACCTACAAGAAGATGCTGGCTCGGGATGAGCGGCGTTTCCGGGTTGCCGACCAGGACGGGGACTCAATGGCCACTCGGGAGGAGCTGACGGCCTTCCTGCACCCGGAGGAGTTCCCTCACATGCGGGAGATTGTGATTGCAGTGAGTGCGGGGCTGAGGGACCCTGCCTGCTTCCCGCCCACCTCCCACCACCAGGCTCCTGACACCAGGGCCGCCTCCCAGAGAACCCTTGGTCACCTCACCTCACCTGGTCCAGTCACCTGGCCTTCCAGCACCTCTCCAGGAGAGCCCTGAGCAATGGGAATGGGGACATCTCTCATGCGTACCACCTGACGCCACAATTTATTTTTTTTATTTTTTAAGATTTATTTATTTATTTATTTTTAAAGATTTATTCACTTATGCATACAAGAGCTGGGGTACAGGCCAGAGGTGTGGGGGGGGGTGAGAGGATTCACCAGAGACAGAGTGGGGAACAGAACAGGCAGATTGACTGAAGTACACTGCTGAGGGGAGCAGCAGGCGAGTCAGGAGAGGTCTGCTGCGCCATGTGGGTTGCTTCCTGGCCGGCCAGGGATCGAACTCATGCTGCAGAGGCTGTAGATTGCGTCATAGTGCGGTGCTTAACTCCTTGCGCCACCAGGGAGGCCCTTTCTTTTTTTAAAAGATTTATTTTATTTATTAATGCATACAGGAGCCGGGGTGAAGGCCAGAGGTGTGGGGAGGTGAGGTGATTCACCAGAGACAGAGTGGGGAGAAGAACAGGCAGATCTATTGAAATCCACTGCTGAGGGGACTGTGGGGAGACAGGAGAGGTCTGCTGTGCCATATGGGTCACCTCCCTGGTGGGGGATCGAACTTGTGCTGCTGTGGCTGCCGATACTTTTTTTGTTTTGCTTTGTGGGACCCTCACCGGCGGCCGGGGAACGACCAGCGCTGCAGAGGCTGTGGGCAGCCTGGCAGCCTAGCGCTCAACCTCTGTGCCACTAGAGGAGGCCCTGTAGTACTGTGTCTTAACCCTTTGCACCACCAGGGAGGCCCCAGACCCCCCAGTTTCTAATCTCTCCTGTCCAAGCTCCTCCTCCCTTGTTGATATTTGTGCTCACCTGTCCTCAGAAAAACACTTCTCCCAGAATTAGATTCTATGAGAGAGCCTCACCTCTTAAACCTGGTGCTCCACATCTTCGGGAGCCTACCCCAGTGCCTCTCTCTCTCCCCAGGAAACCCTAGAGGACTTGGACAGGAATAAAGATGGCTACGTCCAAGTCGAGGAGTACATTGGTGAGTAGAACCTGATCCCCTCCCCAGCATCGGGGAGAGGCGGAGAGGGGTGCACCCAATGCATGTCACCCAGAAGAGAGTGATACATTCCTGCATGAAAGTCTTCTGACATTGGGGCAGGATTGCTGCTTGAGTTCATGCAACCACCACACATTTATTGGGTGCCAGAACCAAAAAGCACTCATCAAGCACTTGGTGTATGTGCTAGACACATAAGACATTTGTCTAGCACCTATTCTGTGCAAGAACAAGACGGCATGTATCATCACCTACTGTATACCATTTATTGAGCAGTTTCTATGTGCCAGACCCAGGAAACTGCATGTTAGAGGTTGATGGATAGCAGAGACTACCACAGACCAGATCCTCTCCTGGGAGGGTCTGGAGTTTCTACAAACTGGGGCTCCAGGCCATGTGTTGGGATCATTGGGAAGTTGGGGAGCTTACCTTGAAGCTGCATGTACACAGTTAATGCTAGACCTCCTGTTACTTGGGATATTGGGGAATGCTTACAGCATCCCCAGGTTTCCCCGTGGCACTGCCACTGTCCCACACCTCAGGAGGCAAAGAATTTAGTTGAGGGGAAACCTGTGAAGCATAGAAGTTTCTAAAGTTTGAAGACATTTTTCTATGGAGAGTTTTTTTTTAAAGATTTACTTTTACTTATTTATGCATACAAGAACTGGGGTACAGGCCAGAGGTGTGGGGGGGATGAAAGGACTCACCAGAGACAGAGTGGGGAGCAGAACAAGCAGATCTACTGAAATTCACTGCTGAGGGGAGCAGCGGGGAGACAGGAGAGGTCTGCTGCACCATGTGGGTCAGCTCCCTGGCAGGGGATTGAACTTGTGTTGCAGTGGCTGCTGATAGCTTCACAGAGCTGATACCTAACCCCTTGAGCCACCAGGGAGACCCCTATAGAATGTTTTTATGGAACCCTCAGGCAAGACAGTTTTATTTAAGCTTCATTTATTTTTCTACATTTGTGAAGTCTTTTTTTTCTTGTCTTGTAAGAAAGATCTGGAACACCCCTGTTGAAGAGCAGTAGCTTATAAAGTATTGTCACTGTGGTCACTTGACATGTGCATTAACCCCCACGGCTCCCCTGTGGGGTGCATGTTATCACTCCCTTTCACAGGTGAGGAAGCTGAGCCCCACGGGGGTAAAGAACCATGCCTGAGGGTCCCTGCTAGTCAGAGGTGGCACAGGACTGGCGTCCCTGCTGGCCAACCCCAGGGCCCTGCTTTACATGCTTACATGCTGCCTCCCTTCCCTGTGGGGCTGTGGGGACACAGATGTGGGCAGGACACACACACCCCCCCCACCCACCAGAAATGCAGTTTCCCACCTGTTGGATGGTGCAGAGAAGGAGATGTGGGAGGAGGAGATGTGGGAGGTCGATTTCGTGCTTAGTATAAATGTCACCACCAGTGGTTTTGATCGGAATCCCCTTTAACAGCAGAGGGGACAGGGAGGGTGACTGGGGTGCTGCAGGGCCTGCCTTCAGGCAGGATTAGAGCCCCGTCCCCTCCGCGGGCCCGGGCCCTGCCCTCACTGCCTGGCCCGCGCCCGCCCGCAGCGGACCTGTACTCCGAGGAGCCGGGCGAGGAGGAGCCGGCCTGGGTGCAGACAGAGCGCGAGCAGTTCCGGGACTTCCGGGACCTGAACAAGGACGGGCGGCTGGACGGGAGTGAGGTGGGCCATTGGGTGCTGCCCCCCGCCCAGGACCAGCCCCTGGTGGAAGCCAACCACCTGCTGCATGAGAGCGACACGGACAAGGTGAGGGGTGCAGCCTGGTGGTGGGGGTGTAGGGAGCAGACCTGGGCCTGGCTGCACAGGTCAGAGGGACCAAGGCACCGAGAGAAAGGGAGGAACGAGACTGAGAGGGGGACGGGCATCAGGGTGAGGGGGCAGGGACCCAGACGGGGGGGGGGGCGGGGGGAGCCGGGGAAGGGACCCAGACAGGGGGCTGTGGAAACTGGCAGCACTAGGAGGTTCAGAGAGGCTCTCACAGGCAACCTCCAAGTGCTGCTGCTGACCTCTGACCCTCCTGCCAGGATGGGCGTCTGAGCAAGGCCGAGATTCTGAATAACTGGAACATGTTCGTGGGCAGCCAGGCCACCAACTACGGCGAGGACCTGACCCGTCACCATGACGAGCTCTGAGCCCCACGTGCCCACTGCCACCTCGTGGCCCCCGGGGAAGACCCGCCTCCTCCCAGTGTCCAGCCGTGCGGGATGCGGGCTTGGCCTGCTGCCCCTGCCCTGAGCTCTCAGGAACCGGAGCTCGCAGGAACCGGCCAGTTGGTTTCTCTCCTGAGATGTCCAAGTCCCTCCCAGCTCTGACCCTGTCCTGGGCCCTTTCACAGATCCCGAGGGCGAGTGACCACTCATTTCTCACTGGCAGGACCATCCAGCCCCACCCCAGTACTCCCAAACCTGGCCTCCAAGGGTCTCCATGAACTGCCCAGCTCCGAATCTGAGCCTCTCGCCACATGGATGAGAACACCCTCGCCTGGCACTGCCCCCAGGATGCCTTCTCCCTGCCAGGAAGGCAATAAAATTCAGTGCCTGGGTCTGGTTTGTGTGTCTCTCTGAGGGGGGCAGTGGAAACCTCGGGGAGATATTAGGGGCAGTGACTGGGAGAGCATGTTGGAAAGTGGGGTGGAGACATTTGAAGAGGGGCCTCCGGATGTTGCCAGGGCTCAAGGGCAAACCTGGGGACAAAAAAAATGAAACAAACAGGGCTTTCCTGGTGGTGCAGGGATTAAAGACACAGCGTTATCAAGGTATTGCCCACCACTTCACCAGAAGTTCAATCCCCAGCCAGGGAGCTACCCACAGGGCGCAGCAGACCTCTCCTGTCTCCCCGCTGCTCCCCTCAGCAGTGCATTTCAGTAGATCCGCATGATCTGTTCCCCACTCTGTCTCTGGTGAATCTTTTCACCCCCTGCACATCTGGTTTATACCCCAGTTCTATACAAATATAAATAAATAAAATCTTTTTTTTTTTTTTTTTAATGAAACTAACAACCCAACCCAGGAGATAAGCCAGGCAGAAACTCCTACCTTCCAGATAGCAAGCGCTGGCAATGTTCTGTGAATGGGGTGATTGGGAAAGCCCTCACCCATTAAGAGAGTGAAGGATTGAGCCCTGGAGCAACCTGGAACAAAACAGCAAGTGCAAAGGCCCCGGGGCAGGAAGGTTCTAAGCAAGGATGGCTGTAAGTTGAGGAGGGTTCGACTTGGGTTCTAGCAGCCTCTTTGTGGCTGAGTTGTGACAAAGGGGTGAGTATAGGAGGATGTCACAGCCACTTGGGCAAGAGAATAGTACATCATTTACTCCTTCTGCAGTCCCTTGATACCCAGCACTGAGGATGAAGGAGCTCAAGGTCCCCGTGGAGGGAGAAATCTCTCAATCATCATTAGAGCAAAACCAGCCAGACAGGGAAGAGCACAGGCCTTATACTTCCATCTGTAGGAGACTCAAGGACAAGCAAAACAAAGCCAGGCCTTTTTTTTTTTTTAAGATTGATTTATTTATACAAGAACTGGGGTACAGGCCAGAGGTGTGGAGGGTGAGAGGATTCATCAGAGACAGAGTAGGAAACAGAACAGGCAGGTTGATTGAAATACACTGCTGAGGGGAGCAGCGGGTGAGGCAGGAGAGGTCAGCCACCCATGTGGGAATCTCCCTGGCTGGCTGGGAATTGAACCCATGCTGCAGAGGCTGAGGACAGCTTCAGTGCGCTGAGCTCAACCCACTGCACCACTGGGGAGGCCCCGAAGCCAGGGTTTAGAGGTCAGGACAGTGTGCCCCCTCGGTGGGGGGGGGGGGCTGGGGGTAGGCCTGAGGGGGGTTGGAGGGGCTGGGGGTGAGCTTGATTGGGAACTGTTTCCCAGGTGTATCCCACCTGTGAAAATTCACCCACAATGTATGCATTGTTTGTGCAAGATAGACTCCAAAAATACCCCTAGATTTTTAGGGCAGTGACTAGTCTCTATGAAGTGAACCCTCATGTATTAGTGGGTTATAATTAGTAATAATGTATCCACATTGGCTTACTGATCACAGTCAAGTATCACACTAATGAAAGATGTTAATAATAGGGCAGGGTGGGGGGGTAGGGTAAGAAGGTAGCTATGGGAACTCTCCGTACTTTCCACTCATTTATCTGTAAACTTAAAACTACTCTTTAAAAGAAAGCCCATTAATTTAAAAAAGAAAAAAAGCAAGCAACTAAAATAGAAAAAAAAATTCCCCTGACAGGTTAAGCCCTAGATTCCCCTATATTTGATTTTTTTTTTTCCTTCTTGGGCAAAGAGATGGAAATAACCCAGGGTAAGACATAAAGCTATAGACTATTTTAGTAGAATAGATATCATTTAATTTCAATTGCATTGGAATATTAAATCTTACAATCCAAGAACATAGTATATCTCCCCATGGACTTAAGTATCAAAATTCTTTTCAGCAATGTTGTTTAGTTTTCAGAGTAAAGGTCTTATATCTTCTCTTAAATTTATCCCAGTGTATTTTATGTTATTGTAAATGAAATTGTTTTTAAAATTTTACATTTCAATTTCCTGCTTCTAGATCTAATAATACTTCTTGTATATCAACTTTGGATTCTGTGATCATGCAAAATTTATTTCTTTCAGGATTTGTTTCATTCTTTTTATTTCTCCACTAAATTTTTGCCTTTTTTTTATGCATATAAGAACTGGGGTGTAGGCCAGAGGTGCAGGGGGTGACAGGAATCACCAGAGACAGAGTGGGGAGCAGAATAGGCGAATCCACTGAAATCCACTGCTGAGGGCAGCTGCAGGCGAGACAGGGGAGGTCTGCTTCGCCATGTGAGTCAGCTCCCTGGCCAGGAATTGAACTCAGGCCAGGGCATAGAGGTGATAGCCCTGTCTTTAACCCTAGGCCACCTGGAGGCCCTGTCCTGTGAAATTTGCAATTCAAATTCCAGCTCATTTTTCTTAGGTTTAGTTGGGCTTCTTAGAATGTACCCCATGAGGGCCTCTCTGGTGGCACAACGGATCAAGAGGTAACCTATTAAGTTGTCCGCAGCCACTGCAGCATGAGTTTGATCCCTGGCCAGGGAGGTGCAACACATATGGTGCAACAGACCTCTCCTGACTGGCCCGCTGCTCCTCTCAGCAGTGTATTTCAATCAACCTGCCGGTTCTGTTCCCCACTCTGTCTCTGGTGAATCCTCTCACCCTCTACACCTCTGGCCTGTACCCCAGTTCTTGTATGCATAAATAATTCTTAAAAAAAAAAAATGTACCCCATGAGGGTCGAGTTCAGAGTCAGCTAGATAGTTGAGCAGTTATATAAAGTTCCGAAGTACTTCCTCTCTAGTTCTCTTTTGCAGAATTTATACCGCCCTTTCTTGTTGCTGCGGTTCTTCATGCCAGGACTATGGATTTTCTCCTGGTGTTTAAATTGCCCATCTTGGGATGGATTAGAACCCATCAGACAAAAAGCTGTACAAATGAAACTCATCCACTGCCTGTAAATTCCCCTCTAGTTCCAGACTGCTTTGTTTTTCATTTTTCAGTGCCTTTAGATTATGGCTTTCTGTTTTATTGAGTTTATCATTGAGATCTGTGGGAGAGTTGGGATTTAAATACAAATGTTTCAGGCTCCAAAATTTTACTCGTGGTAATATACTGCCCCCTAGTGGCATAAGGTAGAACGCTGTTTTACGAAGGCTCTGGGTAAATGTGTAGATCTTTGGGGATCTGCCTGATAAAAAATTGCATTTTGCGGTTTTATTTTCATTTATTTATTATATCAGAATGTGGGAAGTTTATTAAACAAAAGTAAACACATGCATAGATGTCCAGGCATGCAGGAGAGCTGCCCATTTTTGTTTAAGTAAAAAGAATACTCTCAGATAAAAATTGCTAGTACTCTAGAACAGTTTACTATGTAAAACTTCCCAGTACTTCACCACCCTCCGTGTCTTTTCCCCCATTTTTTTTTTTTTTTGCTTTAGTTTTGATGTAACATTGGTTTATATGTGATTTACGGGTATAGGTTCAAACCTCTTCAGCTTTTAAAAAAATCTTTTGAGGGGCCTCCCTGGTGGTACAAGGGGTTGTCTCAGCACTGTGAAGCTATCTGCAGCCACTGCAGCACGAGTTCCATCCCCGGCCAGAGAGGTGATCCACTCGGTGCAGCAGACCTCTCCTGTCTCCCTGCTGCTCCCCTCAGCAGTGTATTTCAGTAGATCTGCCTGTTCTGCTCCCCACTCTGTCTCTGGGGAATCCTCTCATCCCCTGCACCTCTGGCCTATACACCAGTTCTTCTATGCAAAAATAAGTAAAATCTTAAATAAATTATTTAAAAAAATGTGACCTTTTGTGCCTGGTTTTTTAGTACAGTTCTCAAGCCTGTATCCAAAGTAGGGTGCGAAGACTCTCAGAGACATGGGGAAGGTTCTAGATGTAAATAGGAAAGCCAACACTGGCCTTGAGGAGGACCCCCATGGTGCACGGCTGACTCCACCAGTCCTTGAGTTGAAACCTTTCTCAGCAGCCAGGTACACCAGCCCGCCTGCCACAGACACCGCCTGCGCAAACAGCGGTCAAGGGCACTTCCTGGAACCACATGTGGTCACTGATGACACCTTTTACTGAGGTGGAAAGACGGAGACTGCTCAGTGGGCAGAAAGAGCACTGACCGCGCATTGGCTGAATGAATGTGAGCACAGGGGAGGGCCTGGGAGGAGAGACGTCCGTGGTGCTCAGGGAGGCAGAAACGTGACGTCTTTATTCTGTTGATTTCTGCTGGTGGAAGGTCTAGCTTTCCATACTGCCCAGAGGCTGCTTCTGCGGCTACGCGGGTTTAACAAAGAAAGCGCTGAGGGCAGCCCCACTACCCCCAGTCAAGTCCGAACCCCAGCAGGCCCAGCCTCTGACCTCCTCTCCCACCTGCTCTCGCCCGCGCTGCCTCTGGGCCTTTGCACTGGCGGTTTCCTCTTCCTGTCCCCCTCCAGTGTGGGGGAGGGGGTGTTCCTGACTCACCTGGCTTTACTCTGGGATAGCTCAAAAGAGGGGCTTTCTAGTTACCCTATTGAAGCTGAGCCCCCACGTGGTCGCAGCTCCGACTTGGCCTTCCGGGCACGTTTACCAACTTTAACACTCCGGGTCTGCGTTCAATTCAGATTTTACTGTTAACGTGAGACTACAGGAGGCATTCTCAGCCGGCGCTTTCAGACCTGGGTCGCTCAGGGGTGCACGATGCCGGAGTCAGGGGCTCATCCTCCACACGCCCCAGCGCCGGCCCCACCGAGGAAGGCGCATGCGTAGGCTGCGCCCAGGCCGGCTGACCCGGCGCCGCGTCAAGCCTGCATCACTGGCCGCGACTTCTCGGCCTGCAGCTTGACTCCCGAGCCCGCGAAGCCCGTGCCGCCCTAAGGGGGGGAGAAGGCTGAGGTAGGAGGGGGTGCCGAGGCTGCAGATCGGGCCAGACCCAGGCGAGGAGGGGCCGGGACGGAGCTGGAGTCTGGGGGGGCTGAGGAGGGGAGCCTCTAGGAAAGAGGGCGGAGTCCCGGGCACAGGTCAAGCCCTAGCCATAGGCGGGAAGTCAGGCGGGCGGGGCTCCGGGTAGGGCGGGGCTATGGCGGGCGCGGGGCGGGGCTTGGGCGTCTCACCCGCTGCAGCACGATGATGTCACGGTCCGTGAGTTTCTCTCCGTTCACAGGGTCCACCATGTCCTTCCGGATCAGCTTCTCCACGCACTCGAGGGTGACAACGGCCCCCCTGAGGGGAGGGGAGGGTGGGGGTCCCGCTGAGTCACCGCCCGGCGCGGCCCGCCCGCCGGTTCCCGGGCCGCCCCCACCCCGACTCACGAGGGCCGCAGGACGGCGCACGGCGTGGCGTTGCTCAGGCTGTCGCGGGTCACGGCGCACACGTAGCGCTCGCTGCGCGTGATGAGCCCCACGCGGTCCACCGAGCCGTCGAGCGGCGTGAAGCGCACGGGCGTGAGGTCGGACATGCGCAGCGGCTTCCCCGACATGGGGCAGGTCACCGTCCGGGACTGGAGCGGAGGGAGGGGGGTCAGCAGGCAGGGAAGGCTCCCTGAGAGGAGGGGAGCGGGCTGCGGGCCACCGGGGGAGCCGGATGCTGGTGAAGCAGGAAGGGGCGCATGCTGTGGGGCTCACCGGCTTCTCCAGCTTGGTGGCCTTGGCCTCAGGAGTCAGCGACGGGATCCAGAAGCTGGGCAGGGCTTTGTCCTTGTCCTTGCTAGTGGGGGCCGTGCTGGGCCTGGATGCGGCGTCATCTGCCAGTGGAAAGGGTTCAGATATAACATCCTGAACCAGAGAGGCACTGGGCAGTGTGGGACCCCTCCACCCGCCCCCCTCCAAGTCCAGGCTCCCCCCATCACCTGAGCTGTTCCCAGAGGTGGCCTTGGGCGTGAAGGGGTTGAGCGGCCGGCTCACGATGGCTGCCTCCTTCTCCAGGAAGCCCCGCACCTGGTCCTGTGCTGCTGCCCGCTGCAGCTCTTTCTGTTCCTCACGTCGGGCACCCCGCTGCTTCTCATAGGCCTGGGGGCAGTGAGGGCACAGAAGGGAGCTGGGCTTCCTCCCCTGGGTTGTGAGCCTGAGTGTTACTGGATTCTTCCCATTTTGCAGGTGGGTACGATGGGGCCCACCCGGGGGGATTGCAGCAGAGGTGGTGTGTGGTGGAGGTTGTGACTGCTGGGTGTCAACTCCAAGCCAGCTGTGCAGCCACCACCTCTGTTAGTCCCCTCCCCTGGTGCATGACACTTCGGTCACTTCCTATCTGGCTGCTTTGGGACTTGGTGGCTTCTTTGTTCCTTGGAAGCAGAGTGGTCAACAGCTGGGCTGGAGTGAGAAGGCCAGAGCGCAAACCTACCGATGTGACTGATTAGCTCTGTGGCCTCTAGGGGGCGCTGTGGCCCCTCTTAGCTGCTGCATCTGCGCAATGGGCTTACAGTGGCCACCATCCTTCCAAGGTTACAAGAGACTTTATTAAGCACTTAGAACCTTGCGTGGGCACATGGCAAGGGCTCCTGAAATGTGATGCTGTGATGCTGTAGATCCTGTGCTTTCCCTTGAGGAGCTGGAGCTCCAGGAGAGACGAGCAGTCACTGATTGGGGAGTGGCCATGCATGGGGCCAGGCCAAATGATATACCCCACGGTCCTGCCTGGCACACAGCTGGTGCCTGGGCACTGCTGGGCTCTAAAACTGCCCGGGACCAGCTAAGAGAGGTGGGCCTGCCGGTGGCAAGTGACGCTCAGGAAAGCCTCTGACGCGGGCACTATAACCAGGAGAGCCCGGTCAGCCACCGGGTTGCGTGGAGGACAAAGCCACAGCAGAAGCCACACACTGTGATAAAAAGCTCAAGAAACTGCCCCTTGGTGTGTCCTGAGTTTGGAAACCCCAGGCAGGAGATGGAGTGGCTCGGACAGATGGGCCAGCTGAGCCTCAAGCCCAGTGAAACAGGGTCTCCTGTCCCTCAAATGAGTTCACCCACAGTGGGGTGTGTGTGTGGGGGGGATGGCATGGCTGTCTCCAAGCAGACTCCTTGGGAGTTCCTATCCGTGTCCATCTCTGTGCTCTAAGTGTCCTTTAGTTTGTCCCCATCAGTCCCCATTAGAGACAATGAAACTGAGGCCCAGAGAAATGAGGTGACATCAGTATCTTGTAGGGCCTGAGGCCTGCTGGCTGTGTCGGAAGCCGCACGCAGAATCAGAGCTGTGACCAGCGCCCAGAGGTGGCCAGGGGACAGGAGGCCAGAGGGCAGGGAAGGCAACGCCCGGGACAGAGGCTGGAGAATGAGGAGCATTTCAGGAGAAGTGGGAAGAGACGCTGCACCAGGCTGCAGGGGCCACACAGGCCACGGCCCAGAGAGAGAAAGGACCAGCCGGGAGGCCCAGAGCGGCTCTGCCTATGAGCTCAGAATCAAAACCGGCCCCCACCTGCGCCCCCTTCTTCCCATCCCCGTCACCTTCATCTGCCGGGCGATCTCCTTCTTCTGGTGCAGAATGTACTCCAGGATGGCCTCGCGCTCATACAGGTAGCCGTCTGGGCTGCAGAGGGAGGACGGGGTTAGAGGCCCCCACGCCGTCTCTGGAGGATACGCCTGGGCCCAGCGGCTGGCCCTGACACGCCTGAACTACAGCCGCGTCCCCGTGCGCTTCCTTGTCAACAGCGGGCAGCATCCACGCAACCTCCGTGCAGGCGGCACAGACACCTGCCCTTGCTCGAGCTCCTCCCAGCCACGGCCCCCTTAGCTGGCATTACCACAGAATACAGACTCGAGTACATGCCCAAAGCAGCGCTCATGGGCTGGCTGGTATCAGTGACGCTTCTAATCAGCCTCACACCTAAGTTTTTGGGAGTCAAAATATACACGGATTTTCAACCTTGGAGGGGAGGCGCGTCAGTGCCTTGAAACACCACCCTGCTGCGTTCTTCAGGGGTCAACTGTACTTAGTAATGGATAAGCACCTCCACCCACCATGTCATCAAGGCCTGTGCTGGACCCTGAGCGGCAGGGCATGGCAAGTGATGCACACGGGAGCTGCTGCTGTGGGCCAGGAGACCCGCCTTCTGTGTGGGGTGTGTCCCCCATGCCCTGTGCAATCTGCCAGGTCTCAGGCGAGAATGTGGGGTCCCAGGGAGGTGACTTTTGTTGCCCAGGCTGCCCTGGCTACGCCGGTGCTTGTACGCATGCAAGTACTCATGCCACCCCCTTGGTGCAGCACCCTGCCCTGCCCATCGCGCTCCCAGCCCACTCACGTGACAACCGGGTCGTGGCAGGGCTGCAGAGACAGGCAGCAGCAGTCAAAGTCCTTGACAGCATCCCGGCTCAGTCGAATGTTCTGAGTCCCGTAGCCTGAGGCCGCTGAGGACGGAAACAGGCATGGGGGTGGGGGCTGGGGTCAGGAGACAGGCTGCTCTCCAAAGCCCTCTCTGGACCCAGTGAGCAGTCAGAGGTGGGGAGACTCAGAGAGAAACAGTAGCTGGGAGCTTGGGTTGTGTCTGGGTGGGGGTGGCGGGGAGTAGAGGGGGGAATGAACAAGCCACAGGAAGGTGTTAGCCCTCAGAGGACAGAGAGGACCTGTCACCCAGGCAGCTCAGCTGAGGCTCATGGCTGACTCGCCTGGGTCCTTGTGGCTCTGTGGCCAAGCTGGAGAAGCTGCAGTTTGGCCACAACAGGGACCCCGCCCTGAGGGCAGGTGGGCGGGCGAGTTCTAGCACGGCAAGGCAGCGAGGGCAGCGCCCGCCACTGGGCAGGGCACCTGAGCTCACGGCCATTCCTTGTCTGGCCATGGCCCTCAGCCTGGGACAGCCCAACCAGGGGCTTAGGGAGAGGGTGATTTGGAGACACACCTGCCCCCACCCAAGTTGGTACCTGTGTCCTTCTTCTTCTCGTGGTAGGTGTAGACGGCCCCCGCCGTGCAGTTCTTGCCGTGGCGTGTCATCCTGCAGGCAGGGAGGCACAGCGGTAGGGTGGTGGTGGTCGGGATGAGCCCACCAAGGGAGCACTGCACCTTTATGGCCCTGAAAGCTGATTGGTCCCCCCATGGGATGCTGGGGTGAGGGGGGAGCATGGGAGGATGCATTTACAGATGTCAAATGACCAATAATGACACAATCCAAAATAAGTTGGCATTTCGCCCTGAACAAGTCTGCCTGTGGGAGAGGGAGGCTTTGAGTTACTGGGAGGTAGGTGGAGTGTTATCTGGAATCCAGTAGAAAGTTCTAGCCCCAAATGTAGACCGGCATGGCTTCTAACACGTAAGGGGGAGGAGGCGTCCGGCAGATGTGGGGGTGCCGTGGGCGAGATCGGCGTCAGCAGAGGCGACACCTGCCTCGGCTCCCCTAATGCAGAGCACACCGGGACGCGTCGCACGTTTGTAGACAAACGGTGTGAGTGGAACCGACGATGTGCGGAACGGCAGCAAACGACCAAGAGAAAACCAGCCGCCCCAGAGGAGAAGGAGCAGAGACTCTGGAGAGGCGATCTGCAGAAGCAGCTCAGAGACTGACCATGGGACCATGGGACGCAGGACAAGCACAGCCAGGGGTCCTGCTACACCCGTCCTGCCTGGTGGTGGGTCAGACCGGCTGGCTGGGATGGGTGTCGATCATAGGGTTCTGGGGCAAGGCTGGGGGGAGCGGTCAGGGCAGCCTGGGCTGTGTGGTCACAGGATGGCGGGACACGGCAAAGCCGAGCGCGTGGCATTCTGTACTTGGCTCATGTGAACGGGGGTGCTGGGGGGAGAAGGCAGATGTTTGCGGTGGCGCCTGTCTACCGGAGGGGAGTGAAAGCCGCTGACTGTCCCTCCGGGAGAGCTGACGAAGTCAACCGCACGGAGGGGCACCCAGATGTGTGCATGGCAGCGCGGGCGGAGGCTAAAGCCTGTCACTGAGCGCAAAGGGTGAAATGAAACAAGCTCACTAACCATCTGTATTTCACTCATTTAATTTCTTAACTATTGTTTTAATTGAAGTAGCACTGGCTCATGGCGCCGTTGATGGTTCGGAGGTGCAGATGCTCACCTCTTCGGAGGCTGTCACCCCACTGTGCCCTCACCAAGGCACCCATCGCCCCCTCCCGCACGGCCCACTGGGGCCTCCCCAGCAGTCCTCACTGTGCAGACATCTACACACAAAAGGACACACGTGAATCAGGATGGTGCCGTAAGAGGGAGTCGCAGGGCGCTGGTGCAGGGCCCAGCAGTTGCCCAGGGTGGTCGCCCCCCACACCCCACTGCGACTCTGGGCTGGTGATGTCATTTCTCTGAGTCTCAGTTTCCTTTGATTAAAAAGAAGGGGGATCGGGAGGATCCCCATCAGATCCAGCGCTGGTGCCTGGGTCACGCGGGATTACATGGGTCACACTGAGTTACAGGGGTGTTCAGGAAATATTCTCTGGCTGCAAGAAAGCTCCAGAAGGGTGGAGGAGGGGTACAAATAAGGAACCCCAAAATGTAAAGAGGGCCTCATCTACATTTCCTCGTGGCTGCTTCCCGCGGCGCCAAGTTCTCCGCGCGGCGGCCCTAGATCGCCCCCTACCGGCCACCCGTGCCCAGACGCCAACTTTTGTTTTTACGTCCGTTTGCACAGAACAGATGCGGACCTTAAGGACAGGGTTGATGCATTTGGACAAGTGTGTACGCGCTGATAACCCACACCCCAATGGAGATGCAAGACACTGCTGTCACGCCAGAAGCTGCCACTGGGCCAACCTTGATGGCACACCCCAAGTCACCCACCACCCCCTCCTCCAACTTCCACTCCTGGTTGGGGCTTTTCAGCAAGAGCCCCGCACCTGCTGCCGCCCTCACTCACCTGCCACCCTCGCCCCCCCACCCCCACCCCGAAGGACGTGCCTACTTCCTCAAGGACAAATTCCCCACTCTATTCTTAGTCGGCAACTGCCCTGACCCTCTGTGGCATCTGGCTGCTTGTCTGGTGGCCAAGAACCTGGTTCCTATGCCCTTGGTTTCCCGGGCAGGACAGGAGGGGCCACCGGGGGAGCTGTTTTTGTTTTACTTAGCTTCTACCGGGTGATAACTGCAACTGCTAGACCCCTGACCGGAGCCAAGTCTCCCGCCAGCTACTTGAACGCCTTGAATTTTCTTTACAAAGGTCTGTTTCATTGTGCAAACTGAAATACTGTTGATTTCACGCATAGGAAATGTCCAAATCGCCAAATCAGAGAGACAGAGAATAGCTCACTGGAGGGGATAACAGCTAAGGGGTATGAGGTTTTCTTTTTGGGGTGACGGAAATGCACTAGAATCAGAGAGTGGTGGCCATTGCAGGGAAACAGCGATTCTACTAAAAACCACCGAGTGGTACTCTTGAAATGAGTGAATTTTGTGTTTCGTGGCTCTCAATGAAAAAAAGCGCTAAGTCCACCCTAATTTTTCCTTAGTGGCATCTGAATTTCTGATATGACAATTATGGATAGACATTTGCTCTTTGGAGTCCTCAGAGAATTCTCAAGTCCTGAGAACAAAAACTCCAGCTGGCTGAGGGTGGCAGGGATGGGTGGGCACAGCACCAGGATTTCGAAACTCCAGAAGCAGAGCATTTGCCTGGCTGGCTGCACGGCCTCCGGGCAAGGCCAATTTCAAAATAGAAAACAGAGCGACTGCCACCTGCTGTCACTGGTATTTCAGGGAGGAAACATCCACAGTAGCACCAGCTATTGTCTTTCACCGGCCCCTTCTAACTGGAGAGAAAACAGTCCTGACTCCTCCCTGGCAGGAAAGTGGCAGAGCGAGGGTTGGAACCCCTGAGTGAGGCTGTGGAGCAGCCCCCAGAGATTCCATGACAACTGTCAGTCCTCCCAAGAAGACTTTTTGGTACTAAGTCTTCAAAATCCAGAGGACATTTTACTCTTTCAACAGTTCAGAAGCTGAATTTCCTGGGAGAGAGTTGATCTCTGTCAGGTTCCATCAGCCGTAGGATGGCAAATGTCCATTCATCTGTGAATCTGGTTGCCCCAGAAATCCTTTAAAGTTCTGATAATGGGCCTCCCTGGTGGCGCAGAGGGTTGACAGCAGCACTGTGAAGCTGTCCACAGCCTCTGCAGCGCCAGTTCGATTCCCCGCCAGCCAGGGAAATTCCCATATGGTGAGGCAGACCTCTCCTGTCTCACCCGCTGCTCCCGTCAGCAGTGTACTTTGGTGCTTCTGCCTGTTCTGCTCCCTGCTCTGTCTCTGGTGAATTCTCTCACCCTCCTGCGCCTCTGGCCTGTACCCCCCCAGTGCTTGTATAAATAAATAAATCTTAAAAAAATAAAATAACCATAAACCTAAGAAAACTGTCTCAAAAGTTCTGATAATGGAGGGGCTTCCCTGGTGGTGCAAGGAGTTAAGATGCAACCTATGAGGCTATCCGCAGCCACAGCCTCACGAGTTCTAGTCAAGCCAGCCGGGAGCTACCCACATGGCGAAGCAGACCTTTCCTGTCTCATCCACTGCTCCCCTCAGCAGTGTGTTTCAGTAAAATCTGCCTGTTCTTCTCCCCACTCTGTCTCTGGTGAATCCTCTCACCCCCCCATCTCTGGCCTGTACCCCAGTTCTTTTTTCTTTCTTTTTTTTTAAAGATTTATTTATTTATTTATACAAGCACTGGGTACAATCAGAAGCGCGGGAGGGTGAGAGAATTCACCAGAGCCAGAGCAGAGAGTAGAACAGACAGACTGAGGAAAATACACTGCTGAGGGGAGCAGCGGGTGGCAGGAAAGGTCTGCACGCCATGTGGGACCCTCACCCGGTGGCTGGGGACCGAACCAGCGCTGCAGAGGCTACGGGCAGCTTCACAACCCAGCGCTCAACCGCTGCACCATCGGGAATGCCCTCTTTTTTTTAAAAGATTTATTTATTTATTTATTTATATAAGCACAGTCACACCAGCCACCTCTGGGGGTGCTCTGGCAGCCTCACAGGGCTGGGCTACTTCAGTGGAGCCAGCGCAGTGCCCAGAGAGGGGACCTCAGGAAAACAACCACAAAGCAGAGGTGCCTGAGGCCAGCAGCCGAGGTCTGACCTGGGACCTGAGTCTGTGGCCTTGACTGTCACCCAGAGTGAGCCGGCTCCTTCCCCAGGAAATCCTGTCTCCTGGAAGGCGGGGCCCCCACCTGAGTCCAGTCTGGCTCCCTGTGCTGACAGGGAACCTGAGAGAGCTCGCAGGAGCAGAAAGGCTCAGTCAGTCGCTTCCCAGCCCCGGGACTCCCTAGGGGCAGCTGTGCCGCCCATGAACTGGCACCCAACTGACCTGATGCCCCATCACAAAGGCACCGGAAGAACAGAAGGGCCCACGGCCTTCAGCACTGGTGCGCGGGCCAGGCTGCTCCCGTGTCTGTGCGTCAGTCCTCACGGTAACCTCCCATTTTACAGGAGAGAATACCGGGGCCCGGAGGGTGAACTGGTCTCTCCCTCCAAGGTTCCTTGACAGACCAGCCCTAGAGAGTTTTTCGAAAGGGAACTTGGATCAGGTCACTCCACTCCAGGGCTCCCTGGACCTGGCTCAAGATTAAAAACCAAACTGCTCACATATAAAATGTAGGGGATCGACAGAATTAGAAAACCACCCTGTCTGGACATAGCTGATTTGGCCATCAGCTGCTGCCAGATGCCACTGAGGGGTGGACAGAGGGAACTGGGGACTCACTAGCAGAGTAGCTGGACACTGGGGGGTTGGGGTGCTGTCCCTACCTCTACCAGTCAGCTGGGGCTGCCCAGACCAATTGCCATACATTGGGGAGCTTAATCGACAAATATTTTCTAACACTTCTGGAAGCTGCAAGTCCAAGATCAGGGGCCGGCAGGATCAGGTTGGGGTGATGACTCCCTAACTGGTCCTTGAATGGAGAGAGGGCTCGCTGTCTCCTCCACTCCTGCGGTTTTTATTTTTATACTCCAAATATTGATTTTTGTTTTATGTAGTTCATCGGTTGTTATTTGCTCATCTCCCCCTCTTATAACAACATCAGCCCCAAGAGTGAGGACCCCATGCTTATGACCTCATGTAAACTTGATTATTATCTGAGAACTGACTACAAATTATTACCTAAAGAACTGACTACAAATAGTCATATTGGGGGTCCAGGCATCCACATATGAATTCTGTCCATAGGGCCTCCCTGGTGGCACAAGGGGTTAAGGCACAACCTATGAAGCTATCCGCAGTCTCTGCAGCACAAGTTCGATCCCCAGCCAGGGAGCTACCCATATGGCGTGGCAGACCTCTCCTGACTTGCCCACTGCTCCCCTCAGCAGTGTATTTCAGTACATCTGCCTGTTCTGTTCCTCACTCTGTCTCTGGGGAATCCTCTCACCACCCCCGCAACTCTGGCCTACACCCCAGCTCTTGAATGCATAAATAAATAAAATAAATCTTTAAAAAAGCCAATGTGGGAGTAAGCAAATGTAACCCCAAGTTATATAGACATGTAAGCAACTAACAAAAAAAGAAAAGAGAAAAGATGAAAAAAAAAAAAGGTCAGATAATAAAAAGTATGAAGAGACTGGACTGGAACCCTCCTACAATGAGGCTGGGAATGTAAAGTGGTGCAGCCACGTTGGAAAAGTCTAGTAGTTTCTCAGAGTTATCACTTCATTCAGCAATTCCATTTTCAACAGAAAAGAGAATATGCCCCTATAACAATTAGTACACACACATTGACAGAAGCGTTATTTGTACAGCCAAAAAGTGCAAACAACATGAATATCCACCACCTATCAATGGACAGGCAAAAGAGGGTCCATTCATACAGTGGAGTGGTTTTCTGCCATGAAAAGAACACAGCACTGGGCTTCCCTGGTGGCGCAAGGGGTTAAGCACTGCACTGTGAAGCTATCTGCAGTCTCTGCAGCACAAGTTCCATCACCTACTTCGCTTCCACATGGTGCAGCAGACCTCTCCTGACTCACCCGCTGCTCCCCTCAGCAGTGTATTTCAGTAGCTCTGCCTGTTCTGCTCCCCACTCTGTCTCTGGGGAATCCTCTCACCCCCCCACACACACCTCTGGCTTGTACCCCAGTTCTTCCATGCATAAATAAATCTTTTTTAAAAGTGTCTCTGGTTTTTACACATGCATCCTGAAACTGGTTGCATAGTATTACACGTGCATCACTATTTAGGGGTGAAATGTCGCGATTTTGTGATGGATAAGATTGGCTTTCTATGTATATAGAATTAAAGCATACATATCCAGCCAATATGGCAAAACATTAATAATCGGTCAATTGGGGGTCTCCCTGGTGGTGCAAGGGGTTAAGCACCACACTATGAAGCAATCCGCAGCCTCTGCAGCACGAGTTCTATTCCCAGTGGGCCAGGGAGCAACCCACATGGCGCAGCAGACCTCTCCTGACTCTCTCGCTGCTCCCCTCAGCAGTGTATTTCAGTCAGTCTGCCTGTTCTGCTCTTCACTCCGTCTCTGGTGAATCCTCTCACCCCCCCGCATCTCTGGCCTGTACCCCAGCTCTTGTATGCATAAACAAATCTTAAAAAAAAAAAAATCGGTCAATTTGGGCGATAGGGATTCTTACACTATTCTTTCATTTTTATGTTTGAACTTCTTTATAATAAAACATTAAAGGATCCTTCAGGGTCCAAGTTCACACCGAATCGCAGCACATTCAGGATGTGAACCCGGGACTGTCTGACCCCAAAGATCCATAGAAAAACGCAACCCCCTACACCAACTCCGAGGCGGGAGGGGTGTCACAAAGGTGCTCCCCACCAGACTGGGAAACTGAGGTCAGAAGAGGGGGTGCTCCTTCCTCAACTCCCACTCCTCTGACCCCCAAGGAGTTCCAGTTTCATCCTTCCTCTGGGAGCCCCCCCCAAGTCACTGTCAACGACCAAAGAATTGCAACCTCCAAAGAGCTGCCAGGCCGAGGGTTGGCCACCTCAGGGCATGCAGGGAGATGTAGTTCAGCTCAAACCAGGGGCGCCCGCAACGGTCTGTTCATGATTGACAAGGAATTGGGAATTCGAAAACCTGTTCCTGCCTCTCTCGGGACCCCAGGACTCTAGCCCGCGGGAAACCGACCCCAGCAACACTATCCCGCCACCGCCGGGACCTCACCTCCCAAACGACTCCTCGATCCTTCGTGGCTTCTTCAACTGTGCCCAGACACCGGAAAAGAGCGCTGTTTTCGCTTTTCGCTCCGCCCACTTCCGCCCGGCAGAAGGGGCCGGAAGCAGAGCTGCCCCTAGTTGCGGAGGGAACTTGTTTTGCTTGGTAAGTCCTCTCTTCTTCTCTTTCCCCCTCCGGAAACGTGAGTGGCAACTCGAAGGTTCCGGTTAGTGGATGAGGGGTATGAGGGTGGACAGGACAAGGGTGGACGCTTAGTATATACTAAGCATTTACCGGGTCGACCAATTTCCTGCTTTTGCCTAGCGTTTGCATCTCTCCAGCTTGGAGTACAAGGACTGTCACGTCCCCCAGAGACTGGGAAGTGCACTTCCCAAGTATGTCATCCACTTTACTTGGTCAATTGTTAAAAGACAATTGAGACGAGGCACGTCTCTGTCCCCATATTATAAAAGCAGCAATTGGGAAATTGGAAGCCAAAGTCGTTAAAATCACTTCAGGAGACAGGAATTTACTACGGCATTGTCCAGTTACCTCCAGGGGCCAAGGCACAGAGTTCCCGCCAGTTTCTAGACCTCTAAATATCTGGAGACCTACACATTTATTTCCCTGTTTCGGGCAGGGCGAGCGGGCGAGGGGGAGGTGATGGGAGGTGGGGAGAGAAGGAAGGGAGAAGACGCGTATTCAGTCTCCTAAGTGCCCCCAAGATTTCGTAGACTCTGGTATCCCTATGGGACTCTGAACCTTAGGTCATTCTTCCAAAGGTCCCTTTAAATACTTTGTCCCTTACCTGAGTCCCGCCCACAGCAGGTAATCACAAACCCCGCCCTCTCTGCCAGAAACCGGGATCCAGCCGTTTATGAGGTATTAGGGTTTCCCTCCTTCTTCTCCCTTCCCCTTTCCCCTGTTCCCCCTTCACAGTTGGTGGCAACTGGCCAAGGAGGCCCTGATAAAGAGGAAGGGACCGTACTGCCAAGGCTGGGCAGGTAAGTGAACGTTCCTGGGGGCAGAACCTGGCTGGAGGACCCTGGTGTTCTGGCTCCCTGGCCCTCTAGGACTCATAAGTTTGTGTCCCCCACGTCCAAGAGTCCAGGGCCCTTCCTTCCCCTAGACCCAGGAATGTGGATCCCTGTTCTTGCCTCTTCTGTAATCTTTGATCTCTGTGGGTGGATGTGACAACAGCACTAGGCTGGTATATCTGGGCATTACCAGGAATGCAATGTCCATCACCAGTGGACCTGTTTATGAGCACCTACTATGTGCTCAAAAACCTTGCCCGATGTGGCAGACAGAATAGAGAAAGAGAAAATAAACTCCCTGTTTGTGTCTCTGGAGTATACAGCTTTTGCTTAATCCTACCTCTGACATTTATTTGCAAAGCAGATGACTGTGGGCAAGTTCTTTAACCTCTCTGTGCCTCTGTTTCCTCATCTATAAAATGGGACTAATGATAGGGCTGTTGTGAAAGTTAAACTGACTTGCTCCAGGTTCACTACCTTGGCCAGTGTCTGGTCTAACTATAGGCTGTGTAAGTGGCTGCTATTAGTATTATTACTCATAAAGACCCAGTTAGGGAGACTTTGGCCCGTTTGTTAGGGTCCAGGACACGTGTCATCTATACCACAGCTGGTTCCAGGTGTCCCCAAAATATGAAGGGCCACCCCTCTCTGCTGCTGCTCTACTTGGGACTGACCACCTGCCTGGATACCTTGCCCAGTGCAGAGCAAGACCAAGGTGAGTGTCTTGGTGCTGACCCCTGACCCAGACCCAAGAACCCTTGCATCTAGCCTCCCCCCGACCCCGAGCCCCATAGTCCTCTGTTCCCTCAAGTTCTGGTGGCTCCATGTCTCCAGTCCTTAGATCCCTTCCTTTTTCTGTCCCCCATGTCCCTTGGGTCCAGAAGTCTTCCTGGACTCCCCCGAGGCCCAGAGCTTCCTGAGAAGCCATGGTCGCGTCCGGAGAGCCAATCACTGGGACCTGGAGCTGTTCACGCCGGGGAACCTGGAGCGGGAATGCCTGGAGGAGAAGTGCTCCTGGGAGGAGGCCAGGGAGTACTTTGAGGACAACACTCTGACGGTGAGGGCCTGAACCCCCCCCCCCCACGGCATCTTTCTACCGGTCTCTTAAACTTGGGCAGGCTGGTCTGTGGGGGTGTCGGCTCTCCCAGTTGACACATCGCCTCTCTGCTTTCTTCTCCACTTCTGCCCCTTCCAGGAGCGTTTCTGGGAGAATTACAAATACAATGGCAAAGGAGGTGAGTGTGTGTGGTGGGGGCCTCCCATTCTGTGCCACTAAAGCAGCCCCTTGGAAAGGAGGCTGAACCAATACCCCCAAACCTGCTCCCCAATTCCATGCTCTCTTGAGTTTGGAAAGCTGGTTGTTAAAAGAGTCCCCCTGCCCCCTGCCTCCTTTGAGACTCGAACTGCTGCCTGAAGAACCCACCCCATCTCATGAGGAGGGGCTTCCATGTCCACGGGAAGGTGGAGGGTCAGGTGGAGGGAGGGTAATGGCTTGGGGCCCATCCGGCCTCAGGGTCCAGGTACTGACCCACGACCCACCTGAGCCTCCTTTGGGTTCCACAGCACCAGCTCCTTCTGCAGCTTGGTAGCCAGGGAGGCTGCTCTCCAGCAAAGGGGCCTGGCCTAGCTGGGCAGTGCAGGCACGTCAGACCTCATCTGCTCAGTCCGCACACCCCCCCAACCCTCCTCTGGAGTTCTGAGGCCCCATCAGGTTCAGCCTGGTTGCTAAGGGGGCCGCTCCTTGGCAACCAGGTCTGGTCAGGCCAGACCCAGGAAGCCTGCAGCGCTCCCTACCTGGCTGGCCGCCCCTCCCCCACTGCCCCATCTCAGTGGTGCCCGGTTGCTAAGGAGGTCTTCTCCCTAGCAACCACACCTAGCCAGCTTCAGGACCTCAGGCCTCCTGCCCACTGGAGGACCCCTCCGGGCACTAGACGCCCCACCCCCTCGTGGTCTGGTTGCTAGGGGTGGATGCACCTTAGCAACAGGCCCTGGGTCTGGACTGGAGTCCTCGCATCAGAGGCTGGTTGCTAAGGGAGGCAACTCCTTTGCTACAGGCCTGCCAGCTGGCTCCTGAATCCACCTGAAACCTGTCGCTGGGTCGGGGAGGGCCAGCTTGCACAGTGCAGCTAAGGGGGCTCAGTGTCTGGGGTTTACTATGGGAGAGAAGCCCCCCTACCCAGTATTAAAGGGAGTCTCCCCAGCACCAAGCATCCTCTCTGTGGGCCACCCCCACCCCTTTCCTCAAAAAACAAAGGAGGATGTGTATTAATAACAGAGCTGTGCTTTAGCAAATTGTCCACCTGAACTCTAGACACCCCGCAGTCTGTTATTGGGAGGAAGTCCATGATCACTGAATTTTCCTTAGCCTTGGAGTGCATCAAGAAGCCTTCTCTGCGGATTCTGCCCTTCCTTCAGAGTTGAGGCTCTGTCCCTTAGTGGCCTGGTTGGTAAAGGAACTACATTCCAGAGGAGGCAAAATTGCCAGATACAATACAGGGTCAATCCCCCACCCCCAATTAAAATTAAATTTCAAATGCACGTGAATTAAAAAAAAAATTAGTGTAAGTATAGCCCAAAAATTCCATGGGCTATACTTATACTAAAAAATTTCTTGTTACTGTGTATCTTAACTTACACTTAACTGGGTATCCTGTATTATCATTTGCTAAATCTGGTGATACTCAGTGTGGGGGCTTCTTCTACCTACCTGAGCTCCCTACCCTACCTTGAGTGTGCCAGCTGACCTTTTAGTAGATGGATTGCTTACGAGGCCGTGTCCTCTGACTCTTGGGCACCTAAAAACCACCTTGTGTCTGGGAGAAGCTAATCGCCATGGGGATAACACTGCTTCTGCTGCCCTCGTGGATTTTCTAGTCCTAGATGGAATTATCACAGGCCCTGGATGCTTTTGACCTCCTGGAATGTTCACTGCCCCTAGGGGAGGGCTTATTTCCATTTTAGAGCAGGAAATGGAGGCTGTGGGAAAAGAGGGAGGTGAGTTGGCTGAGGTCACACCTCTGCCTTGCTTCTGGGCCTGTATTCCTGCCCCAGGACAAGGTGTTGGGATGTTGGGGTGAGTGGCAGCCCCTAAGTCAGTGGCTCTGTCTTCCCCCTACTTCCCCATAGGGCGTGGGCGAGTGGACCTCGCAGGCCTGGCTGTGGGCCTGACATCCGGCATCCTGCTCATTGTCCTGGCCGGTTTAGGAGCCTTTTGGTATCTGCATTGGCGACGGCGTCGGAGCCAGCGACCCTCTCCCCAACAGTAAGGGGGCTTCAGTGAGGGGGTCCTGGGGGCTGGAGAGCAGGTGGGCAGGGGAGGGAGGAAGGACAGATTGTGGGCAAGGTAGGCGTTGATGAAAGATCTGAGGTGTGTCTGTGACAGCGTGTGTGGCCTCAGTCTCTGACATACTGTGGGAGCCTAATCAATATTTGCTGCCTGACTGCGTGACCAGGTTTCTGTTTGATGATCAATATTGTATCTGGGGAGGCTGCAGCCTGTGGTCTGTGGGTGTCTGCAGTGTGTCAGTTTCCGTGGGGGGGGCGTGTAGCATGTGTGTGAGAGAGTTGAAGTCTGGGTTCCTTTTTCCATCACAGGGTTTATGATGGAGTAAGGTGTCAGTCTTTGAAGTACTGTGAGCGTGGGGATTTTTAGGAAGTTTACTTAAGAGGGGATCTGGGGGCCTCCCTGGTGGTGCAAGGGGTTAAGCACCGCACTGTGAAGCAAAATGCAGCCGCTGCAGCAAGAGGTCGATCCCCGGCCAGCCAGAGAGAAACCCACATGGGGCAGCAGACCTCTCCTGTCTTGAGCGCTGCTCCCCTCAGCAGTGTGTTTCGGAAGTCTCCCTATTCTGTTCCCCACTCTGTCTCTACAGGATCCTCTCACTCCCTTCCCCGCATCTCTGGCCTGTACACCAGCTCTCATGTGCATAAATAAGTGAATCTTTTTTTTTTTTTTTAAAAGAGTGGATCTGGGAGATGTGGACTGAGTATCTCCAAGTTGTGTCTGTTTTTGAGTGTGTCCACCAGCCTCTGCACGGCTGACTTGTTCTCCATTACCGAATCTGTGTCTGGAGCACATATGTGTGTGTGAATGAGAGTCAGTCTCCAAAGTTGCTGATTTCTGTCTGTCTGTCATTTCGAGGCACCATTCTGTGTGTAGGGTCAGGGTGAAGGTGACCCGTTTTTAGCCCTTCCACCTCTGTCCCCCATCACACTCAGAGTCTCTGTCTCCCTAGGTTCTCCCTAGCCTGTAGGTTTCACCTGCTAACGATGCACCTTTTCTGTCTCCAGGGCCGAGCTCATCAGCCCTCTGAGTCCTGTGAGCCCTCTGGGCCCACCGACGCACCTGCCTCCACCCCGACCTCCAGGCCTCCCCACCTATGAGCAGGCGCTGGCTGCTTCTGGGGTCCACGATGCGCCTCCACCCCCCTACACCAGGTACTGGGCGGGGCTTCTACCCGGGGGCGGGGCGAGGGCACTGCCAGGGGAGGGGCGTGGGCTCGGGGGCGGGACCTGGAATTTTGTGATTTTCGGGGCGAGGCGTGGAGCCCGGGGGCGGGGCCCTGTGCCATAGTCTGGGGGCGGGTCCCAGCCTTGTGTATGGAGCATTATAGGGGGCGGGTTTTGTGCCCAGAGGCCCCGAGATTGGCTGAGACGCCCAGGGCGGGTCGGACTGGTCTAGGTTGAGGGAAGAGGGGGAAACAGCCGGTCTTTGAGTCCCTACCGTGCCCCTCCCCTTTCAGCCTCAAGAGGCCTCGCTGAAGAGCCGTCTCGGAGCCGGGGTTCCCCGAACCGTGCCCCAGATTCGCACCGGATTCCGGAAGCGCCCAGGCCTCTTAAACTCCGGGGCGGTGCAGGGGATGGGGGTGGGCGCCGGGGTCGCCCGGCCCGAGGCCTACCCTGGCACACGCGTTTCCGCAGCGCACAGATGCAACCGTGTCTTTGGCCAACGTGTTCCAGCGAACCCCTAAATTCTCCTGACCGTGGGGGCCCCCGCCGGCCCCGCCCCCAGGAAGGGCGTGCGTGGAAACTCGGACTCGGGCGGGCAGGCCGGGTGTGAAGACGCGTGTGTGGGCAGGTGTGACACGGGCAGCACCCTCTGGTGTCACGGGCCACGCACACGCGGGCCCCGCCTGTGCACACGCGTGTCTCGTGAGCTCCCCGTGCGCAGGGCTCGCTGCACATTCCAGGGAGTGGGGGGCATTCGCGAGCGCACTCGGTGGGGGCGTGCAGGCTGGGTTGCAGCGGGGGTCTGTGGTCGAGCTCTTCCCCTAATAAAAGCCCTTTGGAAAGGAGACCCAAAAAGCTGAAACAATGCAAAAAAAAAATAAAAATCAAAGATGAGCCGCGCTCCCTGGTGCGTCTGCGCGCGGCGGAGCTGGCTTTCTGTGCAAGCGCGGCGCCCTACACCCCCAGGCCCTGCTCGCTTTCTGTCTCTCTCTCTTTTTTTTTTTTTTTTGCATTTGCACGGGATTGTGGGAGGAAGCGGAGCGCAGCCAGACACCCCGCCGCCCGCCCCCCCTTCCCCTCCCCCCTCCCCCAGCCGCCTTGTGCAAAGATGGCTGCACCGTGAGCGCAGAGCAGGAGGAGGCGGCGCGGCGGCGGCGAGAGAGCGAGCACCCAGCGCCCGCACCCACCCCGGGGCCGCCCGGGACGCCCCCTCCTGAGCGCGCGCCCCCCCTTTTCTCTTGCAAGCGCCGGGGCAAAGGCGGAGACAGCGGGGTCCCTCCTCCCCCCCTTTCCCTCCAGGGGGAACCCCCCTTCCCCCCTCCTTGGCTCGGCGGCTGCACCCCCTCCCTTGCCCGCCCCTCCGCCCCTGCCCCCTCCCTCCTCCGCCCGGGGCCTTCCCGGGCCTTCCGCGGCTGCAAAGAAAAAAAGAGAGAGAGAGAGAGAGAGAGAGAGAGAGAGGGAGAGAGAAGGGGAAAAAAAAGCAGCAGCGGAGGGAGCGGCGGCGGAGGAGAGCGCGCGCGCGCCCCCTCCCTCCCCTCCCTCCCTCCCCCTCCCCCCAATTTCCACCGCGGCCAATTCATGGACAGGAACTACCCCAGCGCCGGCTTCGGGGACCCGCTCGGCGCCGGGGCGGGATGGAGTTACGAGAGGTCAGCGAAAGCTAGGTAAGGAGCCGAAGGCGGCCTGGAGGAAGGGGCCCAGGGGTGGGGGCCCCCCCGGGCCGGGCCCGGCCCGCCCGGCGACGCGTGCATCGCAAACTCCCCTCCGGCTTGCAAGGGAGCGGCCTTCCTCGGTTTGCAACAACGCCGCCGCCCCAGTTTGCAAATTGCAAACTCCGCCGAAGCCAGCTCCGGCATGCAGAGGGGAAGATGCAGCGGGAAAAGGGGGTGCAAAACAATTTCGGACGGAAAGGCCTTGGGAAGGTGGGAGGGACTGGCGGAGCAAGGCCTGGATTTCCCCCCATTCTCGGATTCCCGGCTTGCTGACCCCTCCCCCCCGCGCCCCAGGCTCTGCTCTTGCAAAGGTGGAAAGGAATGGAGAATTAGAACGTAGACCTGGGGGGCGCGCCCCCCCTTCCCGGGTCCTATTGTTCCGGGACCGCGCGAGGCCGCGCCACTCGGGCCCCCCCCCCAAATTCCGCGCGCAGAGTGGGCACAGGGCCCCGCCCCCTTACTAAGCTGGGGCTGTGTGTAAGGGGGGGGACTGGCATCTGAGACACGCCCCCTTCAGCTCCCCCACCCCCGAAGGCTGAGGATCCCGGCTGATGGCGCGGAGTGGTGCGTTTGACCTCTCGAGTCCGGGCCAGGCGCTGGGGCCGCTGCGTGGGAAGGTCGCTGCTCCCCGGGTGTATTTGTTGGCGAGCGTGGGCCCTGGGCTTGCGTGGCTGGCGGCCGGTTCACCGGCTACCCTGCCCCTTGGCTGCTGCTTAGTGGTGTTCTGCCCTCTCGAGCCCTCTTTCTGCACACACCCGGGGTTCCCAGCGTGGCTGGGCATGACCCCACGTGTGTTAGAATTTTCCATGTGGGGCTCCTCACTCTCTCTCTGTTCTTCCCCACGGGTGAGCTGGGGACTGGTTTGCACACATCCTTGACTTTGCATGGGCCCATGCATTTGAACCTCAACCCTGGGGGACGGACGGTGTTCAAGTTCGCACTTGTACCTGGTACTTTCCTTGCGTCCTAGCCCCTCCCCGCCCCCATCCCTGCCGTTTGGGGAACAATCTGCCTCCTGCTCCTAACTCGTTTTGCACCCTCCTGTGTGTTCCCACGTGTCTGCCGAAGAGAGGGCGTTCAAGTGCATTTCTGAAGTTGGCCTCCAGGGCTCTGTGGCCCCGGCGGGGTGGGGGCCCCGCAGGAGGGCCCAGCCTGGTCTGCTGGAGCTGGAGGGACTTCCTCTGTTTACCCGCCCCTGCGTGTGCCTCCGCATGTCAGTGTTGTTTAAGCGTGAGACTCTCTGGGTCCTATTTATGGGGGCTCGAACGGAGACCCTTCTACGGCTCTCTCGTCAGGTACCCCAATTCCCCGGTCTTCTCCCCTTTAGGGCCTCGGGTTCCCTGAGCTAACCCCCCAGTCAGCTGGCAGAGTCTCCCCAAGTCCCCGGGGGATTTGCCGAGTTCCCTTCTCGGAGGGCAACTTCGGAGCGCACCCTAAAATCCCCCCCTTCTCCCCAGCTTGGTCTATGGCAGCTCCAGGACCTCGCACCCCGAGACGGACATCTTACACCGCCAGGCCTACGCGGCCCCCCACCCACTGCAAAGCTATGCCACCAACCACCACCCGGCAGGTACGGCCCCCGCCCCGCCCCGCCCGGCCCGGCCCGCCCTCCGCGGCGGCTGATTGGCTGCCGAAAGTTCCACCCCCTCCTAATTGGCCTTGCCCTCTGTCCTGGCCCGCCCCCTGCTAGCTCTCCGCTGATTGGCTGCCTCCGAGGCTGCTGGGCCCTGTTTAATTTCACGCCGGATTCGTCCTCCCTGGACTCTGGCGCCGCCTCTTCGGCTCCAGGTGGCCCGGACCCCTCGGTCCCCAGATCCCACCTTGTCCCCCAGGCTTTGCCCGCGCACCTGCCCCCCTCTCCAGCCCCCTCCCCCTGGGTCGGCCCCGTTCTCCGGACTCCTGGGCTCTCGAACTCTCTCTTCCTGATTCCCGTTCTCTCTGATTGGCTCCGGCCCTGCGGGCCGCCCCCTTTCTCTCTAGACTTGCCCGTTACCACGGTCTCCCCGCTCTGGCCCTGCCTCTGGTGCTGCTGATTGGCTCCCCTCTTTCATCCTGCCGCCCTCCTTCCTAGAAGGAGATTATGTTGTCCAGTTTGATTCTTGACCTTCCTGGTTGCGTCCTTCCTTTTTTTTCCTTCTCCTTTCCCCCCCAGAATCCTCCCGCTGTGGTTCATCTTGTCCTCTCAGCCCGCCCTCTGGTCTCTCCAGGGCATCGCCTATCCCATCCCTTTCCCCTTCTTGCTGGAATGGCCCAGATCCTTTGGATACCCCCCCCCCACACACACACACACCACACACCCGGTCACCACCATCACCATCATAAGGACTCTGCTTTTTGCTTCCACCTCCTTTCATGTCTGCCTTTTTCCCACTCTTTTCCTTCCCTGAGCTCCTTGACCGTACGCTGAGATTGCTCGCTGTCCTGCTTGTCTTTCCCCCTTCCTTCCCCATAGTCCTATCTCTTTACCATGGCAACTTGCTTTCAGCCTCTTCCCTATCAGTTCTTCCCTGTGGCTCACTTAGTTGACTCTACGCCCCTGTTCCTGGCCAGGCCTCTCTGGACTCTTTGACACTGGCCTCCATCACGCGGGCTCAGCAGGGCCCGACGCCTCCGTCATGAACCTCATCTCGGCCCTGGAGTCCCGGGGCCCCCAGCCTGGCCCTTCTGCCTCTTCTCTCCTCTCCCAGTTCCGCAGCCCTTCCTGGCAAACAGGTAAGCCGAGCGCCAGCCCAGGGGGTCCAGGGTGGGGCTGGTTTGTGATCCGCGCTGACCCGTAGTCTCCTCCATCCTTCCCAGCCATGCACACGCCAGGCCCCACGGAGCTCTTCATCTCAGGCGCCCTGCCGGGTTCCAGCACCTTCCCATCTTCTTCTGCCCTGTCGGCCTACCAGCACCCAGCTTCCTTTGGCAGCCGCCCCTTCCCGGTGCCCTCATCCCTTAGCCTCCAGGACCCCCCATTCAGCCCCCCGGCTAACGGGCTCCTGTCCCCTCATGATGTGCTGCACCTGAAGCCCTCGCAGGCACCCACGGTGCCCTCCTCGCTAGGCTTTGAGCGCCTGGCGGGGGGTGGTGTCCTGGGGCCCGCTGGTCTTGGCCCAGCCCAGACCCCTCCTTACCGCCCTGGCCCCCCAGACCCACCCCCACCTCCTCGACATCTCCCAACTCAATTCAACCTGCTGGCTTCCTCTTCTGCTGCTGCCGCCGCTGCCGAACAATCCTCCCCACAGCTCTATAACTTCTCGGGAGCTGCTCCGGGCCCCCCACCACCTGAGCGGGCCCTGCCCCGCCAGGACACGGTCATCAAGCACTACCAGCGGCCAGCCAGTGCCCAGCCCCCACCACCCCCGCCACCAGCCCATGCCCTCCAGCACTACCTGAGCTGTGGAGGCAGCTACCCCTCCATGGGTCACCGGGCCAACCTGGCCTGCAGCCCCCTGGGCGGTGGGGAACCTTCCCCAGGCGCTGGTGAGCCTAGCAAGGCTGGGCCCAGTGGAGCCACTGCTGGGGCTTCTGGCCGGGCTGCTGGCCCTGAGGCGACCGGTGGAGGTGGGGCGGGCGGCGGTGGTGGAGGTTACCGCCCCATCATTCAGTCGCCTGGTTATAAGACGGGCAAAGGCGGTTATGGAGCCGCCGCAGGTGGTGCCACTAGGCCCCCACCACCCCGCTCGACCGCCACCCCCAAATGCCAGAGCCTGGGCGGGCCAGGGGCAGCCTATGCCACCGGAAAGGCCTCCGGGGCTGGTGGAGCAGGAGGCCAGGCCTATTCCCCAGGTCAGCCCCAAGGGCTTCTGGGACCCCAGGCTTATGGGCAAGGGTTTGGAGGCGGTCAAGCACAGGACTTGAGCAAAGGCCCCAGCTACTCTGGGGGCCCCCCACAACCTCCCAGTGGCCCCCCGCCTCCTGGTCTAGCCACGTGTCAGAGCTACTCCCCAGACCAGCTACAGGGGCAGCTGTATGGGGTGCAAGGTGAGCCCTATCCAGGACCAGCTGCCCACTCCCAGGGGCTTCCCACTGCCAGCCCCTCCCTCAGCTATAGTACCGGCCATTCCCCTGCGCTCTCGGGCCACGGAGGTGGCTGGGGGCCCAGCTCCCTGGGGGGCGGTGGAGAGGCCAGCCCTTCCCACATCATCCGACCCCTGCAGTCCCCACCAGCTCCCGGTCGCCCACCTGGTGTCGGCTCTCCGGGAGCCCCCGGCAAATACCTGAGCTCTGTTCTGGCCTCAGCCCCGTTCCTGGCGCCCCCGGGAGCCGGCAGCTATGCAGCCGGAGCAGGTGGCTACAAGGGCAAGGGGGACGGCTCGGAGCTGCTGGCGGGCCCCGGCGGGCCTCCAGCCGAGCGCACGGAGGATGAGGAGTTCCTCATCCAGCACCTCCTCCAGGCGCCCAGCCCCCCTCGGACCTCAGGGGCGGACGGTTTGGTGGGCGAAGATGGGGCGGCTGACGGCTCCAAGGGACTTGGGGGGAATGGCGGGGCTGGGGGCCCTCCCGGCACACCCTATGAGCTGGCCAAGGAAGACCCCCAGAGGTACCATCTGCAGAGTGTCATCCGTACCAGTGCCAGCCTGGATGAGGGTGCCACGGCCGCCCTGGAGCTGGGCCTGGGGAGGCTGAAGGAGAAGAAAAAAGGGCCAGAACGGGGTGGCGAGACCCCCGAGGGGCTGGCCACATCAGTTGTCCACTATGGGGCAGGTGCCAAGGAGTTGGGGGCCTTCCTGCAAAAGAGCCCGCCCCCGCCACCTCCCACTGCCCAGCCCGCCCAGCCCACCCCCCACAGTCTCCTCCTGGAGGCCGGGGGCCCTGATCTCCCACTGGTGCTGCCTCCACCTCCCCCCCAGCTGCTCCCCTCTGTGCTCAGCCACGCGCCCAGCCCCTCTCCCAGCGCCCCCAAAGTTGGCGTCCATCTCCTTGAGCCAGCCCCCCGGGACGGGGCCTCCCAGCCGCCCCCTCCGCCGCCCCCGCCTCCGCCACCCATGCCCCTCCAGCTTGAGGCCCACCTCCGCAGCCACGGTCTGGAGCCCGGCGCCCCCAGTCCCCGCCTGCGACCCGAGGAGAGCCTGGAGCCACCTGGTGCCATGCAGGAACTGCTCGGCGCCTTGGAGCCGCTGCCCCCGGGCCCGGGGACACCGGCGTGGGGCCACCTAATGCCGAGGGCAAGGACCCCTCTGGTGCCTACCGCAGCCCCAGCCCACAAGGCACCAAGGCTCCCCGCTTCGTGCCACTCACGTCCATCTGCTTCCCTGACTCCTTGCTCCAAGATGAGGAGCGCAGCTTCTTCCCCACCATGGAAGAGATGTTCGGTGGAGGGGCAGCGGACGACTACGGCAAGGCCGGGCCACCGGAGGACGAGGGGGATCCCAAGGCTGGGGCCGGACCGCCTCCGGGACCCCCGGCCTACGATCCCTACGGGGCCTACTGCCCCGGTCGGCCGTCTGGAGCTGGGCCGGAGACCCCGGGCCTGGGCCTGGACCCCAACAAGCCGCCTGAGCTGCCCTCCACGGTCAACGCCGAGCCTCTGGGCCTGATCCAGAGTGGGCCGCACCAGGCGGCTCCGCCGCCCCCGCCGCCGCCACCCCCGCCTGCCTCGGAGCCCAAGGGAGGCCTGACCTCGCCCATCTTCTGCTCTACCAAGCCAAAGAAGCTGCTCAAAACATCCTCCTTCCACCTGCTGAGGCGCCGCGACCCGCCCTTCCAGACGCCCAAGAAGCTGTACGCTCAGGAGTACGAGTTCGAGGCGGACGAGGACAAGGCCGACGTGCCGGCCGACATCCGCCTCAACCCCCGGCGCCTGCCCGACTTGGTGTCCAGCTGCCGCTCCCGCCCGGCCCTCTCGCCGCTAGGTGACATCGACTTCTGCCCGCCCAACCCGGGTCCCGATGGGCCCCGGCGCCGCGGCCGCAAGCCCACCAAGGCCAAGCGTGATGGCCCTCCCCGGCCTCGGGGGAGGCCCCGGATCCGCCCGCTGGAGGTCCCCACCAGCGCTGGGCCGGCCTCCGCCTCCACGCCAGCTGATGGGGCCAAGAAACCCCGGGGCCGAGGACGAGGCCGGGGCCGGAAGGTCGAGGAGGCCGGGGGCAACCGCCTGGAGCCGCTGAAGCCGCTAAAGGTGAGGGCGCGTGGGGCCGGCATGCCTGAGCGTAGAGAAAGGAAAGGAGTGGGGGTCCAGCCGAGGGTTATGCGTGAGGGAAGGGTGGTGTTGGCTTATGTCTGAAGCCTGTGAGGAAGTGAATGTGAGGGTTGGAATGTTCTGGTCCCACCCACAGAGGCCTGGAAGTTGGCGCTCTTGGGTTTACGTGGATGTAGGGGGTGACCTTGGGTTCTTGGGTTCTCAGACCCTAAGGGCTAAGAATTGGGGGGTCCTAGATTCCCAGGTCTTAGGGGAAGAAGGTCTGGGACCTGGACTCCTGGGCTGGGCAAGGAGAGGTCAGTGTGTAGAGTGAGAGAGGAACTTCAGTTCTGTCATTCTAGAACCGGAGAGAAGTGGTCTGTGAGGTTGTATTTTAAGGGTCTAGAAATTTGGAGTAAAAGATCTCAAAGTAAGGGGGTTGGCTGGTCCTGACTTCTGGGTCTGAAGGAGGAGGGGCCTGGGGTCCTGGACTCCTGGCTTTGAGGGAGGAGGTTGGGGGTTTGGACTTCTGGGTCTGAGGAAGGAGGCTGGGGGCCTAGAATCTCAGGTCTGAGGGAGGAAGGGTTGGGACCCCAGATTAGTGGGCCCTAATACCCCACCGCCTGCATGTCTAGATCAAGCTCTCTGTGCCCAAGGCTGGTGAGGGTCTGGGAGTCTCGTCAGGCGATATCGTATCGGGCGCCGACCACAACAGTCTGGACTCGAGCCTGACTCGGGAGAAGATCGAGGCCAAGATCAAGGAGGTAGAGGAGAAGCAGCCGGAGATGAAGTCAGGCTTCATGGCCTCCTTCCTGGACTTCCTCAAGTCAGGCAAGCGCCACCCGCCACTCTACCAGGCCGGCCTGACGCCTCCACTCAGCCCCCCTAAGACTGTGCCACCCACCGTGCCGGCCAGAGGTCTGCAGCCCCAGCCCCCCACAGCCCCCACCGTGCCGCACCCCCCTCCTGCCGGTGCCTTCGGGCTAGGGGGCGCGCTGGAGGCGGCTGAGAGCGAGGGGCTGGGGCTGGGCTGCCCTTCACCCTGTAAACGGCTGGATGAGGAGCTGAAACGCAACCTGGAGACCCTGCCCTCTTTTTCCTCGGATGAGGAAGACTCTGTCGCCAAGAACCGGGACCTGCAGGAGAGCATCTCCTCTGCCATCTCTGCCCTGGACGACCCACCCCTGGCTGGGCCTAAGGACACCTCCCCGCCAGACGGGCCCCCCTTGGCCACGGAGGCTGCAGTCCCGGGGCCACCCCCTCTCCCGGGGCTCCCCAGTGCCAGCAGCAATGGCACACCTGGTGAGCTCTGGGAAGACTTTCTGGGGGCTGGGCGAGGGTTTCCTGTTATTTGGGTGCTTAGATACTGTTGTGCAGGTTGCGTACTGTGCAAGGGACACTGTTCACGTTGTAGATGAGGGAGATAAGTGTCTTTATGGAGGTAGCTTCCTGACTGAGGACAAAAAGTGATTGAGAAGGGCCTGTAGAGGCCTGAAGGTGGGCAGCAGAGAACACGGGGTTGAGGCAGTTTGTACGTGATGGGCACCCATGTGAGAGGGGAGGCGCTGAGAGAGCTTTGGAGACTGGTGGGCAATATGGGGTCTGAAAAGGACTATAGGAGTTGGGGATGTGTGATTAAGGAGAAAAAGGTCTTGGGGAGGCAGTGCGAGGTGTGGGGAGGTAGCTTGAAGAAGGACGGGGGCACTAAATGACTAGGTGGGTCTTGTCTGGGGTGACTAGGAGAGAGACTGGGCCTCGTATGGTCACGTCTAGAATGTGTTCTGTCCTGAGAGAGCTTGGCTAAAATATAAGGGGTTTTAATGGGAACAGGCATTGGGACACGAAGGAGGTGGGCTTGGAGGAGGGTGTACAGGTTGATACAGGAAGGGGATTGCAGGTTGAGAGGTTTTACAGGGTGTGAGAGATTGGTAGTACAGTCCCCGTTGGAGACTGTAGGAAGGTGGGTGACAGGGCAAGTGGCATCAGGGAAGAAGGGAGCACCCAGTTTCAAGCAGAGTGCCAAGGTCCCTCACAGGAGAGCATCTGGGTGAGGACCTCTTTGCTGAGTCAGGGTTGTAGCTAAGGACACGGGGGTGGAGAGGAAGCAGTTGTAGGGAGTCGGGAGAGATTTCAAGGTGATCAAGAGGGGTATCACAAGCTCTCTGGGGAGGTGGCACAGAGGGGAGGGCATTGGAGTCCTAAGAGTGGTGACAGGCTGTGGGACAGGAGAGGGAAGGCTTCAGTGGGTGAGGACAAGACCTCCCGAGCAGGAGGGAGATCATGGTCGGAGGGGATGAGCTAGAGATTGGGAGAAACTAAGAAGGGAAGTAAGGGGGCAGGCTTTGAGGCAACTATGAGGGGTATTGAGACTGGGAGACAGGTTTTAGGGGCTCAGGAGAGCTGCCAGAGTTGGTTTGAGGTTTCCGGGTGACTGGTGCTGCAGGAGCTTGCTGTTGGCCCAGGAACGGACGCTCAGGGACGAGGGAAGAGGTGCTGGGGCACAAATGGGAACTTAAGTTGGGCTGGAGCTTTGTAGGGACTTGGGGATGATCTTGATGGGACAGGAGAGGACTTCTGGACATTAGGGGGATGGGGACACAGTCATTGTCCAGGACACAATTACATTTTGACTTGGGGGGCAGCCCCTTGGGCGCCAGTGGGGTTGGGGAAAAGGTGAATACACCTGGGGAGGAAGGCTTCTGGGATACTGGCGAGGGGACAGGTGATTTGGGGAAGGAGCAGCAAGGGCGCCAGAAGAGGATTAAGAAAGACACGAGCTGGGGCGGATGGGTGTGAGATGAAGAACCACAGATGAAGGGGCCCGGGGCGTGCAGGGGTGGGAAGAGGACTTTGGCACCTGCAAGGAGCCGGAAAGGACTGAAAAAGGAGCATTTTTCAGCTACCAGTTTGCAGGGGCACCAGATAGCCTTCCAAAGCCACGCCTGGGATTTAGGGGGTTCACAGCCACAGGGTCTGCCCTGACCCCCCTCTTGCTCCCCAGAGCCCCCGCTGCTGGAGGAGAAGCCTCCTCCCTCGCCGCCTCCCGCTCCGACGCCGCAGCCGCCCCCTCCGCCCGCGCCGCCCGCCCTGCCCTCGCCGCCCCCGCTGGTGGCCCCAGCGCCCGCCTCTCCAGCCCCGCCGCCCCCGGCCCCCCCGCCGCCCCCCGCCCTGCCCTCGCCGCCCGCCCCGCCACCCCTGCCAGCTGCCACCGCCGCGGCCCCGCCCGCCGCGGCCCCGGAGGAGCCCGCCGCCCCCTCCCCCGAGGACCCCGAGCCGCCGGACGCCCGGCCCCTGCACCTGGCCAAGAAGCAGGAGACGGCGGCCCTGTGCGGGGAGACGGACGAGGAGGCCGGCGAGAGCGGCGGGGAGGGCATCTTCCGCGAGCGGGACGAGTTCGTGATCCGCGCCGAGGACATCCCGTCCCTCAAGGTGAGTCCGGCCCTGCGCGGTGGCTCGGGCGCTCCAGCGCCCCTGGCCCCTGAATTCACAGTGTCGGGCTGATGGGGAGGTTGGCCCGGCAGTTGAGGTTGTGCGGGCAGTGTTGTTTGGGCGGAAGCCTGTTAGCGCGGAGTGAACCGATGATTGTTGACGGTGGTTGCTGAAATTCTGCGTAGGTGCTGAGGTTCAGTGAGGAACCCGGTGCTGAGGGCCTGGCCTTACTGAGCTGCTGGTTTAATGGCACAAGCCAGAGGGCCAGGCTGCTTGGAGATTCTGCCCTACATGGTGGTGGCGTTGATTCTGCCCTACATGGTGGTGCTTGTGAATACTCACAACTTGTAAGGCACAGTCGTGCACAGCTTACCAAGGGGGTGCATTCTGAGAAACGTGTGTGACGGGTGATTTCATCCTGCAGATCTGCTTGCCTAGGCTGTGTAGAGCGCCAGGCTTCCTGTGTGCCACCCGCCCCTGACCTAGATGGCGTGAGATGCCTCTCAGCCAGTCACTGGGGGGCATTCGTCTGTCTGACCATATCTAAAACATTTTATGGGGAGAAATCCATTACTTGTAGGAGTTGACAAATAACCACCCCAGGCCAAGCCCAGTAGGTGTGCCTGTTTTTATAAATAAAGTTTTATTGGCACATAGCTACACCCATTCATTTGCAGGCCAGGGCTGTCAGCCTTCCCCACCCTGTGGAGGACTAGGGTGATTCTGGCAGAGCATAGCTTATCCACAGAGCCGAAAATATTTCCTGTCTGCCCACCTCTGCTGTCCTTGGTTTATAGGGAGGGTAGAATTGCATCAGTGGATGCATATGACCAGGAAGGTGACACTGAGGGGCAGGGGCTCAGCGGCCATTGTCACCATGGTAGTCTCCCCACTGCTAAGGACAGTCACTGTCCATACTGGTCACTCTGGGTATTGACAAGGGGACAGAAACTGGTTTGGTCCTTTATGTCTGTTGTCACACTTCATTTAATCTCGGGTGTCGTTTCTTCTGAAACACAGATGGAAGAATTACAGGATGAATGAATGACGAGTGGTCACTATCACGCTTTTTAAATTGTGAGGTACAAGGCACTTTCATTGCTTTATTCAAATCTTCAAAATGGTCTGTACTACCTATTTTCAGTATTAAAAAACCACAAGTTCAGAGCAGCATGATGCTGAGACACCCCAACCTGTCGGTGCACGTGCTTGGTGCCCCCAGCCTCACGGGTACAGAACACACGTAGCTGAGCTGCAACTAGATGATAAAATCCACTTTCTTACCCAGTGCTTCTTGTGAGGTGAAGTTAAGTTTTTTTTTTCATGTAGTTTTACCTGATTTTGGGAGAAGTAGAGCAAATCGAGTAACGGGGCTGTGTGAGCCCACTACTCCGCTCCCATGGGGCTGGCACACCTTCGCTGCTCCTGCTCCTGCTCCTCCCGGGCTGTCTGCTCCGCCTGCCCCACCAGTCCCAGACGTCACATCTGCCCCACACTTTATCTCTCCATTGTGATAATTCACCACGTACCAAAGGATGTCAGTAACAGGCCACAAAATGCTGAAGTGAAGGCTCGTGTACCCACACCCACCGGCAGCCAGAACATTCCCTGACCTGTTGTCCAGCATTGTGTTTGATTCTGTGTGCTTTGTATACACTATTTCTTTTTTTTTTTTTTTTTTTAGCTTTTTATCTTCTTTGTATACATTATTTCATTTTGACTTACCGACTTCTAAGGCTGGTGTGACCACAGCCTGTGACCACTGGCAGGTTACCAGCTCCTGGGGGAGGGGGGAACACATCGCAGAATTAAGTTTGATTTTCTTTTTATAGTGGAATCAATCATTTTAGCCAATCTTAAATGTGTTGGCCTTTGCTATATTCGTGTTACTACGTGACCCTCTTCATGATCTGATTCCAGATTCTATTTTTTTTTTTAAGATTTCTTTATTCATGCATACAAGAACCGGGGTACAGGCCAGATGCATGGGAGGGTGAGAGGATTCACCAGAGACAGCAGGGAGCAGAACAGGCAGACAGACTGAAATACATTGCTGAGGGGAGCAGCAGGCGAGACAGGAGAGGTCTGCCACGCCATGTGGGACCCTCGCCGGCCGGTCGGGATCAAACCCACACTGCAGAGGCTGCGGACAGCTTCATAGCGCTGTGCTCAACTGCCTGTGCCACCAGGGGAGGCCCTCCAGGTTCTATCTTCATAGTCACCTCATTATAGGAGTTACTGTCCCCATTTTACAGGGAAGGAAACTGAGGCTCAGAGCCTTCACAGGCTTTCCTGGCTCTGCCGGCCTGGGAGCTGGGGATTCAGCTGTGGCTGCGTGCAATCTAGCAGGTGTAGACGGTGACAGTGGCCGACACTGCTGAGCGTCAGTGCTGGGCCAGGCGGTCATGGCTGTTGCAGATGAGGAAGTTCATGGTCAGATTAGAGGGACTCACAGCTGACTGGTACCAAGCTGGGATTGGAGCCACAGCCGTCCGACTCCACCTCTCAGCTGGCACAGGGCAGGGGAAGGGATGGAGCGAAAACTCAGATGCTTAAAAATACACCATGAATGTGTGTTACAGTGGGGGACACACAGCCCCAGCATGGAGCCCTCCTCCAGATACAGGGTTTGGCCTCAGAGTCAGGGCAGGTAGGAGCCTGGGTGGGTATTAAGAACTCAGTGCTGGCGTCCGTGGGGCTGACTCAAATCTCTGCCGCTTCTGAGTTGGACTGACACCAGACCTTCCTAGGCCTCAGTTTCATCATTTGTAAAATGGGATCCTGTTGGTATCCACTCGATGGGAGCTCTCTGGCATTGCAGCTCACCCCAGGCCCAGCCATCCCAGAGTAGGTCATGTGGGATACGCCCCCTGACCTTTGCTTGCTGGGTCTCTGGCAATTTCGGACAATCTTGCATGGCAGTCTTAGGTGAAGGGCTGAATAGTGAATATTTTAGACTTTGTGGTCTCTGCCACATATTCTTTTTCTTTTCTTACCACCCTGTTAGACTGGACAGAAGATTTACAGAGCCTAGATCTATAGAAACGGGCCACAGGCCATAGTTTGTGCTAGGAGAAAGGCAGCCAAGAGGCATGTGACAGGAACATGATTTTAAACTTTCCTGTATCTTTGCTTAAAAAAAAAGTTAAAAATGGGTGAAATTAGCCCCAAGAACACAGTTGATTTACAGCAGCCTACCTGAAGTGCTCTTTCAGCACGTAATCAATATAGGAAAAGGCAGTGATGTATTAGGTCCTTTTCTCGGGCCAAGTTTTTGAAATCCCGCGTGTGTCATATTCATAGGCTGTATCGATTCAGATCGGCTGCATCATTGGCTGAGACTGGAGCCATCTGTGCCGAGGGGCTGCTGAACCAAGGCTGCCCCCCTGTGCTTCAGCCTCCCCATCTGCAAAACAGGAGCGTTAATACTAACTCCCACTTTTTGGGGAACGTTGCGTATTTGAACAGGATGTAAATTCTGAGCGCGTAAGAGTTTATTGGATGGAGAAAAGTATGGTTCAAGTAGAAGGGTTTGTGCAAGGGTCCTGTGGTGAGGAAGACCTTAGCATATTTGTGGTGTGCAGGGATACAAGCGTTAAGGAACGGACAGTGAGCTGAGGCTGGGAAGGTGGGCAGGGGGCAGATTATTCTGGGGTGAGTCAGTGGGTGTCTGCTTGACATTGTGCTGGCCTGTGGGGAGAGGTCCATCCGCAGTCGGTCCACTACCACAGACCTGTAACCCTGACTCCCCTGTTAACGCACCTTAAGCTTTCTCATTAATACCACCTTGGGTGCTTCTTGCTTACCCTCTTCAAATCCTCCCCATGACTGCCCTTATGTCAGCTGTCACAGTTCAGATTCCCAGAAGAGAATGTGATTGGTCCAGCCCAGCATTTGGGGCCTGGAAGGAGTTAGTGATTGTTGTGTTGATTGGCTGTCCCTGGTCAGTTCTTCTCCAATCACACTGAAGCCATTCTGGAAGGGGACATGTTGCTGGCAAGGGAGGCAGTGGGCATGGTCTGATATGATTGACATGTGGAGAGGCAGGATGGTTTGGCTTGGGTGGTTGTGCCTGATGACTGGAGGGGGGTTGTGGGAGGAAGAGTGATTTGGCAGAAGACTCCAAACCCATAGGAATGTGGTAAGTCCAGGAGCCTGAGAGCCTCTTGGTGCTTCTTAGAGGAAGTAGGGGGGTAGTCTCCCCTTGCAGGGGGGATGCTCTGATGACTTTCTCAAAGAGAACTAGAACAAGGAATATCATATTCATGTTGTGGGGGGAGGCACCAGCACATGTAGAAACCTGGAGTGTCTCTGCTGAGTTTTGAGGGCTCTGGATCACCTGCCTGGGCAGTAACAGGAGAAGAGAGGAAACTGAGGCAAAGTCTGTCATCCAGGCTGCCAAGTCTGAAGGGGGCCCCTGGGAAGTTTTGGAGAAAGGCAGGATGTGCTCCAGAGTGGACTTTTCTTTATTTTTTTTTAAATATTTATTTATGCATACAAGAATTGGGGTATATGTCAGAGGTGTGAGGGGCGAAAGAATTCACCAGACACAGAGTGGGGAGTAGAACAGGCAGATCTACTGAAATACACTGCTGAGGGGAGCAGTGGGGAGACAGGAGAGGTCTGCTGTGCCATGTGGGTCAGCTCCCTGGCTGGAGATCGAACTTTGTGCTGCAATGGCTGCGGACAGCTTCATAGTGCTGCATCTTAACCCCTGAGTCACCAGGGAGGCCCCAGAGTGGACTTTTCAATCCTTGGGTCAGTGAGATGGTTTGCTGATGAACCAGCAGGTGGTCACCTGGGGGAAAGTCTGTTAGGACACCAATATCCTTGCCTCATCCTGCCTCACGCTGGTACAAGACTTCATATAACAGCCTTTCAGGGCCTCAATTTCATCAGGTTATTGTACCTGCTCCTTTGTGTTCCCCTGCCTGATGCGAGGGGTAGGAAAAAAATCCCAGGCGTAAAGCAGTTGCCCCTAAGCCAAGTGTAGCAGCTGCTGCCCAAGGCAGACATCACTAGTTGATGCCAGCACTGGTTTCTGCTGAGCCTGGTGCTCAGCAGCACTCATCAGTCCATTGGCATTATCTGAACCCTGATAATCACTTGACTGTGGATTCACTGAATGCAGGGATTGCCCCTCATTCACCCAGTCAGTGCACGTCAGGCATGCTTGGGTCCCGAACAAGCTCAAGGTCCTTCTAGGCTTCCAGTGCAGCCCCCATGAGCACATTTATTACTTGCTGCATTATGGTTTTGTGCCTGTGTCTGGCTCCTTTGTTCCTCCTTCACTCCCTGAGATCAGATGCCGGGTCTCACTCACATGTGTGGGCTTCTAGCCCCAGGGGCGGGGCGCCCTGTGGTGGGGATCTCAGTGTTGGGAGGAAGCAGAGATGGGAGAGACATCCTGTCACTTAGCTGCCCAGGTGATGGGGAGCCTGAGAAGTTTCAGGAAACCCATGTCAGCTCTTGACACAAACTCCACACTTTTTTATTCATCTGCTTGTCTCGGTACTGAAGATCCTATACAAGTCTTTAGGGGTCTTGTTTACTGCTGTACCTGGGGGTCAGCATGGTAGCTGGAATATGCTGATGTTATTGATAAGGTTGATATTACTCAGAGACACGTGGGAGGAGACACGAGAGCTGTGGGAAGTAAAGTTCGCAGCACAAGGAGGAAGGGCTCAATGGGGAGGGCATTTGGTGGCCTGTGGGAACACAGGACCAGGCTCCATCCCCAGGGCTGAGCTCAAGGGCCAGAAGATACCTGTTAGCCAGGTGTTCTTGGGAGCCTTTTCTTTTTTTAAAGATTTATTTATTTATGCATACAAGAACTGGGGTACAGGCCAGAGGTGTGTAGTGGGGGGGTGAGAGGATTCACCAGAGTAGAACAGGCAGATCTACTGAAACACACTGCTGGGGGAGCAGTGGGGAGTCTGGAAAGGTCTGTTGTGCCATGTGGGTCAGCTCCCTGCTTGGGGGTCGAACTCACGCTGCAGTGGCTGCTGATAGCTTCGTGGTGCTGCGTCTTAACCCCTTGCGCCACCAGGGAGGCCTCTTGGGAGCCTTTCCTTTACAGAGCATAGAGGGAGGGTGGCAGAGGCAGGATTTGGGGGGCTAGCAGGGCCACCCATAGGTGCTGATCTTGCTTACCTTGTGATCCACCCCCCTCAGCTGGCATTGCAGACGGGGCGTGAGCCCCCACCCATCTGGCGAGTCCAGAAGGCCCTGCTGCAGAAATTCACTCCAGAGATCAAGGATGGGCAGCGGCAGTTTTGTGCCACCAGTAATGTAAGCCTGCGGAGAGAGGCGGGGACTGGGTGGGGGGCAGGCCCACCTGGAAGCGGGGCTCCCTGGAGCTTGGCTCTGGCTGGCTCTTGGTCTGAGGTGTCGGGGAAGGGGAAGCCTCGGCTGGCGTCAAGCTGGGAGTCTGGGTGCCGGGCTGCCTGGCCGGGCTGGATGAAGGAGTCCTTATGTGTCTCTTTCCCTCCATAGTACTTGGGGTATTTTGGGGACGCAAAAAACCGGTACCAGCGCCTTTATGTAAAGTTCTTGGAAAACGTCAACAAGAAGGATTACGTGAGGGTCTGTGCTCGAAAACCCTGGCACCGGCCCCCAGTGCCTGTCAGGTACCGCGGGGTGGCGGGCGGGGCTGACAGGCATGAGGGGGATCCTGCGGAGGTGGGGGGGCAAAGACTCAGAGGAAGCAGGGAATGGGTTGGGGGTGGGCATAGAAACAGAGAGGTGGGGGATAGAGGCCCCACCAGAGAGAGACAGAGACAGACGTGGGAGGCAAGACAGACACCAGAGAGAGATGGGGCTCCACAGAGAGGGCATGTGGGGTTCCCTAGGAGGATGGGGGTTTCCTTGGGGAATCTTGACTGAAATTCTTATCTCTTCCCTTCCAGACGCTCTGGGCAGGCCAAGGGCCCTGCAGCTGTGGGGGGCAGCTCTGCCCCTCCCCCGAAGACCCCAGCACCCCCTCCTAAGCCTGAGACCCCTGAAAAGACCACATCTGAAAAGCCCCCAGAACAGATGCCTGAGACAGCGGTGCCTGAGCCTCCTGCGCCTGAGAAACCGTCCCCGCCGAGACCTGTCGAGAAGGAAAAGGACAAGGAGCGGGTGACGCGTGGGGAGCGTCCGCTGCGGGGCGAGCGGGGCGCAGGCGGGCGGCAGACACGGCCCGAGAGGAGCCTCACCGCGGGGCAGCCCGCCGCGTCCCGGCTGCCCAAGGCCCGGCCCACCAAGGTGAAGGCTGAGCCGCCTCCTAAGAAGAGGAAGAAGTGGTTGAAAGAGGCAGCAGGCAATGCCTTGGGGGGTGGGGCCCCCCCAGGGAGCTCCTCGGACTCAGAGTCATCTCCCGGAGCACCCAGTGAGGACGGTAAGACCCGTGATGGGCCCGGGGCTGAGGGAGGAGCAGAGGAGCGGGCAGTGACTCAGGGGCCGCAGCGAGCATTATCAGTAGGGGGACAGGGCAGCGATTACGAGCACAGCAACGATGACGAGTAACAGCTACGTACCCCTGACTGCGGAATGAGCTGTCTTCTCCGTTCTCTACGCGCATTAGCTGGCTGCATTTTCCCCGACTTCCTGGGAAGTAGATACCATTATGAGTCTCATAGACATAGGAGGAAACTGAGGTAGGAAGTGGATGCAGCACAGCTGGGTTTGGAGGGTGAGGGGGGACTTGGGGCGAGCATGGTCTGTGCCTTAGTGGCCGTATATGTAAAACGGGTTAACAGAGCTAGCACTTAGGGGCCTCCCTGGTGGCGCAGGGGGTTAAGAACCATATTATGAGGCAGTCCGCAGCCTCTGCAGCACGAGTTCGATCCCCGGTCGGCCAGGGAGCAACCCACATGGCAAGGCAGACCTCTCCCATCTTGCCCGCTGCTCCCCTCAGCAGTGTATTTCAGTCAGTCAGTCTGCCTGTTCTGCTCCCTGCTCTGTCTCTGGTGAATCCTCTCACCCCCTGCATCTCTGGCCTGTACCCCAGCTCTTGTATGCATAAATAAATAATTCTTCAAAAAACCCCAAAAGCTGGGGCTAGCACTTAGGAGGTGCTTGTCTGTAGTGGGTTCAGGGCGTGGACTCTGTTGCTGGGGTGTGATGACAATGGCAACAAAAACCTTTGCACCCCTAAATTAATATGACCGGTGCTTTCCATGTGCCAGGCACCGTTCAAGCATTTTCCACGTTGCCTCCGGTGCCGTGGAATTACCCTCCCTTTGAAGCTGAGAAAATGGGAAACACCAGGGGGTGACGGTGACTCTCTGAGCTCACTCCACTCCCCACCCCCTACCCCCGCCCCCGGGGTATAGCAGAGGGAGGTGTGTTCACACATTGTATGTACAGTGAGTGTAAAGAGAGGCATGGACTACACAGTCCATCTAGCCCTGATCTGTCTGGGGGATTCCCAGAAAATGAGGCTCTTCTTGAGGTTGCCCAGGCTCCTACTTTTCCTTTCCTCTTCTTGCTCTGCTCTCCCCCAGCAGGTTGTCCTCAGCCACCAGGTCCCAGGCAGCCCAGCAGCTACAGCCCTGCTGGTAGGAAGAGTCACACCTGCAAGGGGGTGGTGCCCCACCATCCTTTATCTTGCCTGACCTGGGTGTGGCCCCACAGCCTATCTTCTCATCCTATAGGCCAGAATTCAATCTCTTGGACACACACAGCTACAAGGGAGCCTGGGAAATGTACTCTTTTCCTCTGGGAAGCCTGTGTAGCTCTAGGAACAGGCCAGGTGCAGGGAGGCAGCCAAGGCTGGGACAGGGGTGCCATGGTCGAGGGAGGAACTTTAACAGAGTCCAACAGTGCAGGCCTTTCTTTCTCTGGCCCTCTGTGTGTGTGTGTTTTTTTGAGGTACAGGGGTGTGTGAGAGGATTCACCAGAGATAGTGGGGAACAGAACAGGCAGATCTACTGAAATACACTGCTGCGGGGAGTAGAAGGCAAGTCAGGAGAGGTCCATTGTACCATGTGGATTGCACCCTGGCCGGGGATCGAACTTGTGCTGCAGTGGCTGGCAATAGCTTGATAGCGCTCTTTAACTCCTGCATCACCAGGGAGGCCCCCCTCAGTTTTCTCAAAACAAAAAAGGATATTTCAATACTTAAGGTTCCTATATTTAGGAATAAAATCCAGTGGATTCTAGTTGTACATGGTCTCAGTAATCAATTTTAGAATGTTTTCTTCACCTCAGAAAGAAACCTGCTGCCCTTTGCTCTTCACTGCACTCCTGCCTGCTCGAAGCAGCTGCTAATGATACTGGCTGTTTAGATTTGCCTCTCTTGATCACTTGATCTGAATGAAACCCTACAATGTCTATAGCCCTTTGGGAACTGGTTTCCTAAGGTCCATTCAGGCTGTAGCATGTCAGTGCGTCATTTTTTATGGGTGAATAATATTCCCCTGCGTAGATGGATTCTTCCTCTCCTTTCACCACTTGGTGGGCACTCGGGTTGTCTCCACTCTTTGGCTGCTGTGAATAAACACGATGGTCCTGAGGTTTCTAAGCCTGTGAAATGGGGGAAAACGGAACTCTGCACTCCCGGAGTAGCAGTTGGCCTGCCAAGGGCCTCTCTCCTTCTCTGGCCTGGGCCTCTTCTCCTCCTCAGCAACCAGGAGCCTGACTCACCTACACACTTTGCTCAACTCAGGAGTTCACTGAATCTCGTTTGTCCAAAGTCTTCCTTCCAAATTAGGTCTGCTGTGCTCTCCTTTCTTGTATTCACAATGAAGATTCTAGAAAGTGGCTAGACCAGTATCTCCGCCCCTTCCTCTAGTCCACTCCCTTTTGGCCTCCTGAGTCCCTTTCTGCAGGCGTTTATCCAGCACGTACCGTGTGCCACAACCGGGGTCCCAGGAGCCAACAGAACAGACATGGTCTTTCCTCATTAGCGCTCTTAGTCTAAAGCCGGGGTGGAGGGCCTCCCTGGTGGCGCAGGGGTTAAGTCTTAGCACTGTGAAGCTGTTGGCAGTCACTGCAGCATGAGTGCAATCCCTGGCCAGGGAGCTGGCCCACAGGGCACAGCAGACCTCTCCTGTCTCCCCACTGCTCCCCTCAGCAGTGTGTTTCAGTAGATCCGCCTGTTCTGCTCCCCACTCTGTCTCTGGTGAATCTTCTCACCCACACACCCCCCCATACCTCTGGCCTATCCCCCAGCTCTTGAATGCATAAATAAATATAAATAAATATTTATTTATTTACATAAAATAAATGTTCATTTTTTTAATAAATAAATAAATAAAAACCTTTTAAAGTAAATAAATAGAAACAAAGCCAAGGTGGGGAGGCAGTCAAGCTGATAAACACATTCTGTAACAGATTACAGGACATTATGAAAAATCAGTGTGTAACTAGATGAGATTAAAGGAAGTTAAGAAAAATAAATCCAAACAGGATCAAGGCGGTAAAGGGGGTGAAGCTTTTTTTTTTTTTTTTTAGATTTATTTTTTATTTATTTATACAAGCACTGGGTACAGTCAGAAGCGCGGGAGGGTGAGAGAATTCACCAGAGCCAGAGTGGGGAGCAGAGCACCCAGAAGGACCGAAGTACACTGCTGAGGGGAGCAGCGGGCGGCAGGAGAGGTCTGCGCGCCATGTGGGACCCTTGCCCAGTGACTGGGGATTGAACCGGCGCTGCAGAGGCTGCGGGCAGCTTCGCAGCCCAGTGCTCAACCGCTGCACCACCAGGAGGCCCAAGGGGGTGAAGCTTTAGAAAGATTGGGGTGGATCCCTGAAAATGACATTGGAGCAGAGATCTGAATACCTTGTGGTCATGTGACTTTGAAGGAGAGAACATTCCAGGCTGAGGCTCAGTGGGGAAACCCGTGGCTGGAGCGAGTGATTGAGAGGACAAGGCAGAAGGACAAGAAAAATCTTGAAGGGATTTTAACCTGAGCAAGAATGGAGCCCTAGGAGGGTGGGGCTAGGTCTGACAGGTAGACATTGCTACCCCTTCCTCAAGGACATTGGGGTGCCCTCGCTTCACCTTCTTGTTTTGCTTCTCTTCCTCCCCCACACTGCTTATATTCCTTGTGGGTTTCCTCAAGTCCTGTCCATGGCCCTGTTTGTTCTCGCTTCTTCTACACCTCTCACTTGGCAGGCTCCCACGGCTCTCCAGGGAGCCGCGGGCCTGTTCCTTCCCCCAGGTCACCCTCCCACACGCCTCCCCCCAAACCCCCCCGCCCTCCAGCCCACTGGACTGCTTGTTCTGGTTTTGCATCACAGGGTCTGTACCCCTTGGCCATCTGAACTTTCCAGACAATGCCCTTTGCTCTCTCACCTCCACAGATGACAAGTTCTCATCCTGCTGCTTTGCCCTGACCGCCCCTCTCGCTTCTATACTATCCCACAGCCCCGGCCCTCCTGCTGGGTTTCCTGTCCCTCAGTCTCTGTCTGAATTCTGTTCCTGCTACTTCTTCTATTGACCTGGCCCCTGGTTGCACCTCTCCTGTGCTTCCCCCATGTGGCCCCAGAGGTGTTTTTCTGTACTTACACTCACCCCTCCCCTACTCACAGCTCTCCTATGCCTCCCTAGTACCCACCAGAAGAAGGCCCTGCTGTTTCCACCCTGTTTATAGGCCCTGCATGATCTGACCTGCACAGTCTGAACTCCACACTCCTCCTTCAGTCTTACCCTTTGTGATATAATCTTTCTGACCTATTTCACTGATGCTGCTTTATACTTCACCAAAACTATGCTGAACTAGTCAAACATGAAGTTAACTGTCTAGCATGCTCTTTCTTAGTACTCAAGACTCAGCTCTTTTGTGAGCTTGAACAAGTCTTCTCTGAGCCCCACCCCTCCCTAGGCTGAGGTCATCACAGCGCCTGGTGCGCTCTGACAGCCTCTTGCACTGGTGCTTGTCATTCTCCCAGCAGGCCTGGATGTCCCTGAGAGCAGGGGTTTCTCTCCTGGCCCCTGACATTTAGGTCTCTACCTGCCGCTCAGGAGGCCTCAGAGGAAGCTGGAGTAATGCGCACGTCTTCTTTCTTCCCCAGAGCGGGCAGTACCCGGGCGTCTGCTGAAGACACGGGCGATGCGGGAGATGTACCGGAGCTATGTGGAGATGTTGGTGAGCACAGCACTCGACCCTGACATGATCCAGGCCCTGGAGGATACACATGGTGAGCTGAAGCCTGGGGAGGGGCTGAGTGCCTGGTCTTTCCTGCGCCTGGGGAGGAAGGGCTGTGGGCCTGGATTCCCAGGTCTGAGGGAGGTAATGCTGGGACTTACCGGTATGAGGGAGGAGAGAGCTGGGGACTGGGAACCCAGATACCTACTCTCCTTTGCTCCCGTACATTGTGGGACTCAGGCTCTTCTGATGCCCACTCCTCATCTTTCAGATGAGCTGTACCTCCCACCCATGCGGAAGATCGACGGCCTCCTAAATGAGCACAAGAAGAAAGTCCTGAAGCGGCTGTCGCTGAGCCCAGCTCTGCAGGTGCTTGGGGGGCCTGGGTAGGGGTGAGTGGGGCCTGGCGGTCAAGCCTGAAGGAAATGTGCTCATGTCAGCCATGGCCACAGGCCCTAGAGCCTCAGACTCAGTGGAGCTGTACCTTCCTGGGCTTGGCCAGGAGAGGTGTGAGGGGCAGGTGGTTTGGAGGGGACTGCTGTGTTTCTGGCAGTCCTTCAGTAGATGGAGGGGTGCGGGTCTGTGTAGGGGTCTGGAGCAGACTGTGGAATGAAGGTTTAGGGACAGATGTGGCGCCAGGGCTTGCTCGGGCGCAGTGGTGAGATTCTGATGGTTTCTCCATGGCAGATATTGCAGGCTTCTGCGGTTCCGGCTGCGGGACTAATCCATCTGCAGAATTCCCCTCTGCCATGGCCAAGTGGTCTGGGCTGCAGGATCCAGGCAGTTCTGAGCATTCTGGGACAGAATATTCATCTGGCTCTGAGAATTCCAAAGGGATGTTAGTCTGGCCCTGAAAATTCTGGGTGGGATATGGATCCAGTTCCGAGAATTCTGGAATGGATTTTAGGCCGGCTCTGGAAATTCTGAGTGGATGTTAGTCAACTCCGGAAATGGGATGAAATGCCGCTCGGGTTCTGGAAGCCCGAGTGGGATGTTAGCGGGACTGAGAATTCTGGGATTGGCTACTGGACAGGCTGTGAGAGTCTGAGTAGAGCGTGAAGCTAGGGTGAGACCTGCCTAGAGCACCAGGCTGAGAACTGCAGACGGGATGTGAGTCTGGATTTAGGATTCTGAGCAGTTAGCCTGGCACTGGGGATTTCAGGGTGGATTTTCGGCTGCCTCTCAGAATTCTGCGTGGGATGTTAGCCTGGCGCTCAGAATTCTGGAAGAGAATTCTGGCTGGAGCTGAGCATTCTGGGCGGGACGTTAGTGTGGCTGAGAATTCTGGGGTTTGATCTTAGGTTGCCTCTGATAGGCGCGGGTGGGTATCAGTCTGGTACTGAGAATTGGGGGTGAAACACTAGGTGTCTGAGCATCCTGGGCCTGGCCATAGAGCACATTTCGATGCAGACTTGGACCCTCCTGTCCTTTGAGGTGGCCTTGACGCCCGAGCATCTGTCCCATCTGCAGCCTGGAGGGAAACAGAGGCACCCAAGGTGTCTGAGAACTGGGTGTTGGGTCTGGGGTGTGCGGGTCCAGGGAGGTGTCCCACTGACCCATTGGCTTCCCGCAGGACGCTCTGCACACGTTCCCCCAGCTGCAGGTGGAGCAGAGTGGGGAGGGCTCCCCCGAGGATGGGGCCGTGCGGCTGCGGCCAGCCGGGGAACCCTACAACCGTAAGACGCTCAGCAAGCTCAAGAGGAGCGTGGTCCGAGCCCAGGTGGGGCCGGGCAGTGGCTGGCGGGGGGCAGGGGGAGGGGCTGCTGGTGCCCGCTGGGGCTGAGTCTCTCCACTCTGCCCGCCCAGGAGTTCAAGGTTGAGCTGGACAAGTCGGGATACTACACGCTCTACCACTCCCTCCACCACTATAAGTACCACACCTTCCTGCGCTGCCGAGATCAGGTGAGCCCACTGCAGCTCGCACCGCCCCGGGATCGCCCCCTCCCAGCTCTGGCTGTGTCCGGAGGCCCGGACCCCAGCCCCTCTCCTCCTGCAAGAACCCGGGCTGAGAGTCTCTCCTCGGAAAGACTTAAGAGTTCAGCCCCCAGCCCCCACCCCTGCTTCCCCGAGAGACCGACCCCCTGGCCAGCCCTCCACGCCCGTCCACCGCCCCAGCTGCACGTCTCCCCCCTGCAGACCCTGGCCATCGAGGGCGGCGCTGAGGACCTGGGCCAGGAGGAGGTGGTCCAGCAGTGCATGCGGAATCAGCCGTGGCTGGAACAGCTCTTCGACTCCTTCAGCGACCTGCTGGCCCAAGCACAGGCCCACAGCCGCTGCGGGTGACCCCACTCAGCCTGGGGGACCACTGCCTCCATGAACCGAGAATTGGGACAGAACTGTGTCCTCAGGCGCTATCCCCTGGGCCCTGGGCCTGGGAAGGGGGGGGTGTCATTGGTCAGGGTGTGTCCATGCTGCCCCCACAGGGCAGAGTTCAAAGGTCGACTCCCCCCTCTCCTGAGCCCTCTCCACTCCCTTCCCGGTCCTCCCACTGTCCTGTGTACAGAGAAATTATTTATATATATGTATAAATGTCTATTTAGTAACGGTTTCCCTCCCCCCGCCCAATCCCCCCCTCCACGGCCATAGCCCCAGCCCCCTCCACCTTGTACATAATGTATAGGAAAAGTCTATGTATGGTTGAGGGGGGGGCGGCTTCAGAGAGCTGGGGGTCCCCCTCCCCCCAAGTCCCTCCTCCAGGCCAAGATCTTTGCTAAAGGCCATTCCCTCCCCAGGGCATTCAGCATCGGGTGGGAGGGGGAAAACGCATCTTGTTAATTATTTTTAATCTTATTTATTGTACATACCTGGGGCGGGGGCAGGGGAGGTGGAGGGGGGAGAAAGGTCCCCTCCTGTTGCCCCTCCTTTTCTACTGCGATTTGTCTGTGTCTGCCCCCCACCCCAGACCCTCCCCTTGTTGTCTGGATGTGGTTCTATTTTTTATGGGTCTCCTTTCCCCTCCTCTCTAACCCACTCTGCTCCCCCCCGCCCCGCCTCCGACCCCTACCTCCCCCCTCGTCTCTCGCTCTTTCTTGGGCTTCTGTACAACTCAACTTGTATACACCGTGTACACACAACCAGCCAAACGAAAACCCAACGGCAAACACTTTACCGGCCGGCTGCAGTGCCTCTGTCCTGCGCGCGGGGCGGGGCTGGGCAGAGGGGCTGGGCTCCCGGTGTCCGTTGGTCTCACAAATTGGCCCGGTCTGAAATGTCGTGACTTCACAGACATATCGCACGGTTTGGGAGGATCAGGAATCGGGGCGCAGGCTAGCTGGGCTGTGCAGTCAGGTCAGCGGCCTGATGAGTCGGTGTCGAGGATTCCAGTGTTGACTTGCTGTGCTTAGAAGGTGACTCCGATGGTGGAGCCGTCGGTTCCCGGCCACAGGTCCTCGCCTGGCGGTGGCTGGCAGTGAGCTCAAGGAGGAAGCCACAGGCTTTATGTCCTGATCTTGGACGTCACACTGTTCATTGGGTGTCAGGAAGCGATATGCGTTCAGGGAGAGGACAGGATCTTTGCTCCGAGAAGGCAGCAGTAGCCAGCTTTGAACATCAGTACAGGCAATTCTGTGTTGGGAGTTAGCCAGCCTTCTCTGGGCTCCCTAATGTGAACTGGGGTGCGTCTCTGCCTTCTTGAGCCCTGTAACAACAAGGTCTGGAGTGGACGGCAGCTGGAAGTCCAGCCTGCAGAGCTGTGGATGGAGGCCTGAGTTCTTGAGACCAAGTGCTTGACGTGCTATGAGCCACCACGACCCCTGGGCTTGGTTCCCTTGGGAAGTGGTAGGTGCGCATGATCTCAAGGCGCGCCTGAGATTCTCTGAGTTGCTGACTCAGAACCAACCCGCTTTTTAATAAAAGCCTGAGTGGATGCTACTGGACACTCAAGTTTGAGGAACAACGGACCACAATAAGCAGTAAGCAGTTGGAAGTCAACTGTGGTATTCCAGAGCCCAGCTCACAATGCCACAAGTCAGCTGTTACCACTGGATCCTGGCCAAGCTTATGGTCAAGATGGACTTCAGGCGTTCTAGAGCTGGATCCACTGAAGATGGGTTGGCCACAGGCTGGATGGAGCCCCAGTGTGAGATGTAAAGATGGACTGTTGGCATTCTGGATCAAGACAGAGACCCTTGGGAACCTTGGATATTTTCTGGACTCCCACCCTGGTTCTAGAGCCCAGGTTTTGCTGAATGGAGGGTGATACTGCGTTGGAGAGCAGGTGGGAGTGAGGAATGGACCCAAGACTTCGAGAATCCTGTGGTGACTTGGATTGAGTCTGGGTCGCACTCGTGTTCCAGTGGTGTCCTGTAGCACTTTGGGGGTACAGCCTCAGGCAGTTGGTGGTGTGGACTGAGACATCACATCCGTACCAAAAAGTTCCAGGCTGGTCATTGTCCCAGGCCACAGGTCTGGGATGGAAACTGGACTTTGTTCCAAAGATTGGTGGGGCAGTATCATCCTCCTTGGTGGAAGAATAACTGAGGTTGGCCTTAGAGATCCAATTATTGCCCAAATTGGTATCCAGTTCCAACACTAACTGGGGAACTGAGTCACAGCCCACCTTGTCAGTTTTATCATTTGCAAAGTGGGCTTTTGGCAAGGTGGAGGAAAACCCGATGCTTTAGCTCCTGTTGCTCAAAGCAGGCCAATCAAAAGACTTGGAGGGGGTGAAAGAGATGAGGAGACAAAGATGGGCAGTGAGCAGACCAGAGTGATTTAGGGTCACTGGGTGGCCGAGGCCAGGGGTGGGAGCAAAAGTAAGGACATCCTGGCCAAGAAGGCCCAGTTGGACATTGCAGGGGTCCATCAGCGGCTGGCTCGGGGTAAGAGAAGTCTGCACAGCACCCCACTTGGGCTTGTTGAGTTCCTCACTGGGCTGGGGCAAAGGTGCCGGGTTTTGTCAGGCGGGGGTGGGCGCTGCAGCGGGTTCCGGCGGGGGCGGGGCCTCGGCACAATGCGGCGGAGCCGCGCTCGTTCCCAGGGCGGCGGGTTGGTCGCCGGCCAAGGATTCTGTGATAATGAAACCCGGAAAGGGATATTTAGCTAATCATTGTTCTAATCTGGAATACAGAGGGACATTCATGGTTCTGGGTCGGGAAAACAGTGGGGCAAGGTCACCGATGCCGAGTTTTCAGTAGGCACCGGGCTCTGCTCAGGCTGGCCCCTGACGGTTGCCTTCCCTGGGAGGTGGCTCTGCAGCCCCCCCACTTCACAGCCTAGGAGACAGGCTGCGGGGCCGGATGGGAACCAGGCAGTCTGGGGGGCAGGGCAGCACAGCACAGGGCTTTCACGGAATCGGGTTCTGTGGTGGGGAGTTGTGGCTTCAGGGAACCAGAGAATGTCAAACGTTAGACCTCTTGAGGTGGTACCCCAAGTTTCAGGTGGGAATATCTAGGTCAGGGTTTCTGGCCTGAATTGATGACTAAATACTGGGGTTCAAAGACAGGCCAAAGGGACTGGGGGTTGTGAGTGTGGTGGTTCTTCCAGATTAGTAATTGGGGTGCATTAGGGTCCTGGGTTGAATCTGGGGAGATCTAAGGGCTCCCAGGCTGAGGTATATTGGCGACTTGTTTAGGGGTGTGATGTCTTGAGATGCCCTCACATTAGCCCCACCCAGGAGAGACTGAGATGGGGTGTGCCCACACTGGCCTTAAGTTGGACTCAAGGTACAGACTCATGTCCAATTAGGAACCTTCTGGAACTGAGAACTTGCCAGTGGCTTCTGAGACACCACTCCACCCACCTGTCCCTTCTCCAGCAGAAAGGTCTAACTCATACAGGGAGGGGGGGTTGGTTGGGGGCAGGCAAGGCTTATAGCAGTTACTGCCTGTCTCCAAGATACCAGAACCTTCCAGAATGCTACTGCCTGAGAGCCCTTTCTGCAACAAAGTGCTATCTTTTTGCCTTGTCCATTAGGGTAACTATTAACACACGTGAACATTGCGCTCTTGAAATGTGACCAGTGCTGTGAACCAAATTTAAATTTCACTTAACTATCCAGGTGTGGCCTTTCACTGCCATACTGGGTAGTGATGTTCTGGACATTCCAGAAAAAGAAATTTAGACATTAAACCTTATCCCACCAAAACAGAACCCAGTGGGATTGCCCTGTTATGAGTGTCCACTTCAGACGCTGGACTCAGCCTGTTCTCTCTCCCTCATAGGGTTCTAGACTCCATAGTTCCAGGTGGAGCAGGTCTGGTGGGTGTGCCCCAAGTTCACCCACCCCCACCAACCCTGGGAGCCCTCCATCTTTCAGAAGCATCTCCCAACTTTGGCAGTGGCATTTATTTCTCTGGATAATGAGAGTTATATACAGCAGTGACCCGAACGCCTGGGAGCTCCTTACCCCGACTAGGGGTTCGGGTGGGGAACAGAAGTGTTGCAGAAGGCACACAGTGGCGGAGGCCCAGAGACGGCCAGGAATCAAGGGAGGGTGTAGTGTATCCTGGGAGACCCAGACGGAGAAACTGAGGTTCGGCGAGGGCAGCTGGTCCCGAGAGCTTGTGCTGGTTGCTCTTCACGCCCGTTACAGGAGGACACAGGGACAGCCTCCGTCCTTCTTCCTGGGGGCACTGGGCGGGCTGGGTGGGAGCTCTTGCTCCTGGTACTTACTGTAGGGAGAAGCTGGTGCATTAGGCTGCAGGGCTGGAGCTGGGGCTCAGGGCAGCTGAGAAGGGGGCTCTGCTTACCGCACGGCCCGCACCAGCTGCTCGAAGGCCTCGTCCACGTTGAGGCGCAGTTTGGCCGAGGCCTCGAAGTAAGTCACGTGATGGGACGCGCTGAAGGCACTGGCTTCAGATCGAGAGACCTGGGTGAGGGGATGCACAGGAGGGGGGATCATATTCTTACACTCGGCTTTCCCTGCCAGGGAAGCAGAGGGACACACGGTGCCAATGGGGGTTACAGATAGTGGGGACTCCAGAAGGAAAATTCCAGAAAGATGGTGGGGAAGGTTGGGGGAGGGGAGTCAGTACATTCCTTGGGCAAAGAAATGAGATTTTCAGGGAGAGGACTGAGCAAAGTGTGGACGTTTGGAAATCCCCGCAGGCTTCATCTAAAAGATGAGTTCTGGAGGGAAATCACGGGACTGCATGTCTGTGGGCGGCGAGAGTAGAGAAAAGGGGGATCATGCTGGTACCACAAAGAGCTGGGGGGTGCTAGGGAGCAAAGAAGGGACTAGAAGCAGGGGAGAGGTAAGGGCAGAGGAGGGGGCCAAGTGGAGGGCTGACTGGAGGGCAGAGGTTGCAAGGCTGGGAGGAGCATCCAAGTGGGAACAAGAGGCAGGGACAGGGCAGACAGTTGGGGCTGGTGGCAGGGTAGGAGGTGGCACGTTTCCTTTTTACCACCCAGCCACCTCTCCTGGGGTCCTGTATGCAAGGCAGGGGACCCTGAAGGTCCGATGTGGGGTCGGACAACACCTCTAGTGAGCCCATGGGACTACAGGAGCAGTCAGAGGAGGATCCTGGCGTGGGAAGGCATCCCCCAGGCCGACCTGGGGTGAGGGTGGGGTACCCCAGACCTGACGCTGTGCCTCCAGATCAGCCTTGTTCCCGATCAACACGATGGGAAAATCATCCCGGTCCTTGACGCGGAGGATCTGTGTGAAGAGCTTGCCCACCTCATTGAAACTGCGGGGCAAGCAGGGGAAGCGGGTGAGGTCTGGCAAGCCCCAGGCCCTGTCCCGCTCGCTTCACCTCTGCTGCCCCTGTCACCTCTGCCTGTCGTTGATGGCAAACACCAGCAGGAAGCCGTGGCCGGCACGCATGTATTGCTCCCGCATGGCACCAAACTCCTCCTGGCCGGCGGTGTCCAGGACTGCAGAGACCGGGAGAGGGGCTGCCTTGGGGACCAGGTCCCCACCACCCACCCTCAGGAGCCCTGTGGGTGCTGCCACCACCGCCACCCCCCACCCACTCCCTGCCGCCCTCACTGTCCAGCCGGGCTGGGATGCCATCCACAGTGCAAATCTTGGTGTAGGAGTCTTCGATGGTGGGGTCGTAGTCAGACACAAAGTAAGACTGGCGGGGTGGGAAGAGGAGAGTGTTACCACAGCACCCTGAACCCCACCTTTCTCTGCCCCCTCTCTGCCCGCCTTGGTCCTCTCTTGGTAGAAAGCACATCTCCCACAGTGTGGGGAGGTCCTGGCTGTGTGACATTGAACAAATCACTTCCCTTCTCCGAAACTGTTTCCTCATTTGGAAAAGGAGGATAAAAATAGCACCTCACTTCATCCAGCATTTGTGCGATTCAGGGAAAATTCCCGCTATGTGTTGCACACTCTGCCTGGACGGAGTAGGTGCAGTTACTGGGAACACTGGTCCAGCGTATTTCCAGTCTAGTCCCTCCCTCCTTTTCCCCCTCCCGCCTCCCCCCGCCCCCCTCCCCAGGAGGCTTACAGTGTCTCCTCCCAGGGGAAGGACCTGGTTCCAATCCTGTTGTGGAGAAACTGCCCCACCAGCTGGCCGGGCCCCTCCCTTCCTGCTTGGGTCCCGCCCCGCCTCCAGCCAGGCCTTTGGCCAGCTCTGGTCAGCCCCTGGGTGCGGGGGCCCAGGGCTGGGGCTTTCCCCTGCACAGGCAGGGGCTCCCATCGAGGCACTGGCGGGCATCTCTTGAGGGGTCCGGGGCCCAGGGGCCTCCATAGCAGCATCTTGGGGGTGGCTGCCTTTCTAGGGTTTCCCTAAAGTGAGTGGGTTTCCCTTGTGAAGGAGGAGACCTTTCCTGGGCAGGGTTGGCTTTTCGGGAGAGAAGGGGCGACTTAGCAGCTGGGGGTGCTGAGGGCTGCATCTGTCTGTTTAGAGGAGTCCTTGGTGAGGGCTTGTACTAGAGGAAGGGTGTAGGGGCCAGGCTCTGGGGGGATTAGGGGTGTGACGTCTGAGCACATGGGGAAGCTCAGGAGTGAGAACTGGGACAGCCTTGAGGTGACTTGGGCGCTCTTGGGAGGTCTGTCATAGAACATAGGTGTGTATCTGGAGAGCCTTAAACACCCCAAACACATTTACAAGATTTGAGACACTCCCATGGAGTGCGTTGGGGCGGGGGGGTCAAGAATCTGGGGGTTTCTTTCACAGAGATGATCTGCGGGCTAGCCAGGGTTTTTGAAAGGAGTTCAGAGACTTGTGGAGGAAAACTCAATGTTTTCCTTGGGGAAGGTCTGGGTCTGGTGGAATGGGGGGAATTCCAGACTCAGGGTCTTGTAGTGCTCTGGAATGGCTAAGGGCAGGATCTTACTAAAATCTCTTGGGTATCAGGGAGCCTCTCAGGACTGGGTAGTCAGGGGCAAAGACGGGACGGGGGGCACAGGCATTCTCTCCGCTAGACTCTGAGAGGCTCAGAGAGAAGCTGGGGTCTGGGATGAGGGGAGATGGGACAGCCGGTGGGGGCAGGTGGAACCTCGTGGGGTGGGAGCCCATGAGAGGGCTTAGGGGCTGAGCGGGCTGACTCTTCTGGACTGAAGTGCTCCCAGGAGGTGCTCAGGGTTAGGTGAGAGGGGAGCGGGGATTTGGACACTGCTGGGAGGGGAGGTGGGGCTCAGGGTGTGGGCATAAGGAAGGATTGCTCCTGTAGCCAGCCGGTGGAGGTCCTTGGGGACTCGGGTCACAATCTGAGAGGAATTTTTTAGACGAGAGGGCCTCCGAAGAGGGTCTCAGTGATGGATCGAGGGAAAATCGGGGTCTCAAGGAGTCCCCCAAAGGGCTGGCTCTGGGTCCCGGGGACACCCTCCCGGGTGAGGGCCCACTACCTGGATGAACTGGATGGTCAGCGCGCTCTTGCCCACGCCGCCGCCGCCCACGACCACCAACTTGTGTGTCTCGCTGGGTGGGGGGTCCCCGGGCCCAGGCCCCCCGCCCCGGGGCCGCCCCCGCCCTGTCCCGGACGCCGCCCCGCTGCTCATGTCGCCAGCCGCCGCCGCCTCTACCGCCTGGGGGGGAGCCGGGCGGGGCCTCGGGCGGGCGCGTTAATGAGGCACTGCATATTCATGAGCTCGGGCTCGCGGGCTGCCGTCTCGGGGCACTCACAGGAGGCCGGGCGGGGAGGAGGAGGAGCTATGCTAATAAGGGCCCGGGAACTGCGTTCGCGGCGCGGGGGAATTCCGAATGGGGCGGGAATATGCTAATGAGAGAACTTCGCTCTCCCCGCACCGCGCCACGCGCTCTCGGCGGGCTGGCCGCCTGGGGGCGGGGCTATGCTAATGACCCTCTCATTCTTTCCGCGGACGGTCGGGGAAGCTCCTTAGGGGAGGGGCAACGCCGAAGAGCCGCGCTCTGGAAGCCGGGGGCCCCCAGGCCACCAACCCCGAGGTCTCGTCCCACGGGGCGGGGCGCGCGGCTCGCGCGCGGCCGTATATAGGCGCGCTCTGCGCGCGGAGCGGGTCCGGAGGGGAGGCTCCACCTCCCTCCCGGGATCCCAGCCAAGCTCCGGGCCCGGGCGTCTGGGCTGGATACTGGAGTCTCCTCCCGCTGAGGGACCCAGGCTTCCGGTTCCCGCCGTCCCCGCCAAGCGGAAGGCAGTCATGGGGCCCTGGCTGGGGAGAGCCGGGCAACGGGGCAGGGAGGGGCCGTGAGATCACTGCATTCCTAGTCCATGAGCCAGCTCGCCCTAGCCGGGACCCTGGGTCATGAAGGGCCTAGGGCCAGGATCGCCAGGTCTGGGGAAGGACGAGGAACAGGGTCCCGAGGAGAGACTGGGGCGGAGGCCGGGACCCCTGGGTGCCCGGCAGGAGGGGCTTCTCGCTATTAGGTTCCGAAAGGAGGGGGTGGGCGGCGCGGGCCCTTGGCTCCCGGGGCTAGGGGGTTAGAGGGACACGGAATTCTGGATCCGAGGGAATCGGAATGGAGAACTGGAACGTTTGTGTTGGTGTAATGTGCGAGCCTGACGCCAGACATGGTCTGAGGGAGGAAGATGAAGACGTCTGATTCCGAGCGAAGAGGAAAATGGGAGTCCTAACGCCTCTGCTCCGAGAGGAATTGGTGTTTGAATTTCTCTGTCCTAAATGAGCAGGCTGTAGGGCGAGATCTCCGGTGCTAAATTTAGAGGGGACGGGGGATCTGGATTCTGGGATCCCCAGAATGTGGGCGGGGCCGCTCACAGCCAGACCTGCCTCCCCCCCACCCCCCTCCATTGCCCACTCGCCCGAACTACAATTCCCTAGCATGTCAGGCTGAGCGCCTAACGTCACTTCCGGATCCGTCGCACTTTCCGCGCGCGCGCAGGGCACTGTGGGGCCTCATCGCGGGCTATCGCAATCCCACCGACTTCACCTCTCACCCCCTTGCTGTCCCCGCGGGACGGAGGCGACGCGCGGACTACGCCTCCCGGCGTGCGTCGCGCTCACCCCCGCGCGTGTGCCCCGCTGGCTGCTGGGAAACCGAGTCCGGAGCCTTCCCACCAGCCTTCACGCTCCCGTGCTCGGTACTTGAAGTCCCGGCAAGCTCGGCGGCGTCTTAGCTCCGCCCCTCCCCTCCCTCTCTCACGAGCCCCGCCCCAGCCCGCCCCGCCCCGCGCCGGGGCCGGAGCCGCAGCCCGAGCGGCGGGGTAAGATGGCGGCGGCGGCCCGGGCCGCGGGGCTCGGGCCTATTGGGGTGGGCGGGGCGGAGTCGGGTCGCTAGTTGTCCCGGGGTCCTTCCTACACGCCGAGGGGCCTGGGGGGTTTAGCGGGGCGGCCTCGGACCCGGCATCGGCGGCGGAACCTGGCTCCGAGTGGGGGGCCTTCTCAAGGCCCGGGGACGCGTCTGTGGGTGCCGGGGGGCATCTGCGGGGCATCCCCGAGAGAACTGGGGGCGTCTACAGGGCCTGGACCGAGACTGGAGCCTACCTTCCATCACAGAGCTGGCCTGGGTTGTTTCTGTGGGCACTGTTGATCGTCGTTATGGGCTGACCGGAGGCTAGGGTCTGTTTAGTGGGTTCTGGGGCCATCTTGAGATCTGGAGATATGTCCCAGGGGTGAAGAAGGTCTGCAAGACCTGAGGAATATCTGCAGAGCCATCCATAGCGCTTGGGGTATGTCTGTTAGGGCAGGGAAGTGTCTGCATGGCTTGACCTGAGGATGCGACTCACTTACATGGGTCTGGGGCCATTTAGCAGACCTGGAAGAACTGTTCCAGCACTAGAAAGTCTATGAGGGCCACCCAGAGGGATGGGATGTGCCCACCAAGGAAGAGAGGCAAATGTTGAGATGTGCGGAGAGGTCATCTGGATGGGTCTTCTGTGTGGGAGTATCTAAGCTGGGTGACAGGAAGGCTGGGGGTGGTTCCAAGGACCTGGAACCATCTAGGTGGCATGGAGGGTGACTGCAAGAGCGTAGTCTTAATGCTCGGACCAAATGCAAATGCCTTTTGGAGCCGGGTAATCGCATGGAGACTGAGACAAAGAAGAGTACTGGAAAATTTGTCCAGCTCAGATGCACTTGCCCTCTAGATAGTAATTCAGAGGAAGGCGTCTTCAAGTTCTGCATTGCTCTGGGGTGATAGAATTAGAATGAGTCCACATTGATCTGGCAAGTTTATGGGGTCATCTGGACTCATCTAGCACAGCGCTTTTCAAGCTCTCTTGACCTTGATCTACAGTAAGAAAAACATTGCCGTTGAGACCCACTACATTCCGACATACCTATTTAACTAATACCCAAGCCCCTTGAATTAATGCTTCCTCTCACTTGTGTTGTACTGTGAAGAATTTTCTACCATGTTTGATTTGCTTTTTATACCAAGCTATCTGTGAAACACTAAACTGCTATCATACTGTAGTTTGGGAAACACAGATCTGGAGGAGAAACCTAGCAGTGTCTGCAGAGCTTTCTTGTGTCCAAACTCTAAGGAGCCCCGGGTGTGTCTGCAAAGCCTGCGGCATGTCTGAATGAGCAGAGGAGCCACTTTCTACCCACAGAGGCTTTAGAGACCTGGGGGTCTGCAGCGAGCAGATATCTGTTAAGCTTCTATTTTGTGGCAGTCACTGTTAACACTTGCTTCCCCCTGGAGGTGCTGGAGAGCAGCTCCCGGGCTTGGAACTGGGCGATCGGGTCGGATCTGGCTGTGGAAGTTGGCTAGATCTGCCACCTCTTGGAGAGGGAAGTGGCCTATGGGAGCTTAGGCAGAGCATGAAAATCTGTGGTAGGAGGGAGACCATCACCATGGTCTGTTCTTTGCAGGGGTGCAGCGGGGTGAGTGAGGGCCACAGATTGGGAAAACCTGGCATTAAAGGCTAACAAGTGTTGTGAGTGTTGAGTGCATGGGGCGGAAGCCAGTCCAGTTTTCACAGCCCATCTCGGGATAGATCCTGTGGTGCCCACTTACAGATAAGCACACAGAGCTGGAGTTGGGGGTTAGGGATTTTGAGCCCTTGTAGGAATTTTGAGACTGGATATGGTTATCTGTGTAGTGGATTTGACAGTCATGGGGAAATTTCTCACAGCACCGTTGTTTTCCGAAGCCCGCTTCAAAACACCCACCCGTCTGAAGGACGATCGTTCGGCATTAGGATGATATAAGAATTTCTGTGACGTTGCCTGTGCATCCAGACACTGGACAGATGGGCAGTCGGCGATGCCCCTTTTGGGGCCTGGGGCATGTTCTGCCTTCCTGAACTAGGGCCCTGTTTCATTCTGAGAGTGGCATGTTGGTTTTGTGGTTCATTCTATCATAGTTCTAAGTTAGGTATAGAAGTAAGTGTTTGGGGTCCCTCGACATGGAGGAAAGTCGGTGCTTTTAGGAATGTGTCTGGTGTTGAGGCGCACACTGGCACATCCCTGGCCTGGGGAGGCTGAGTTCCTGCGACTCTGGAACACAGTATTTGAAATCACAGTTTGATCAAAACCAATCTTGGCATGGGGTTGGCTTCCCTGAGCATGAGCAATGGGGTCTTAAAATTTTGGGGGAAGCTGTGGGAACTGGGTGTGGGGTGCTTAAACAGGAGGTGGGGAAAGCTCCCTCAGACGAAGGAGGCAACTGGAACCCAGATGAGGGAAGAGAATCGCTCTTGTCCCTGGCAGGTCTGCTGTGGGCCTGGTGCTGGCCCTGAGACTGGGGTGAGCTGGAAGAGAGATTGTTGGCGCCCGTGGGGTCTCTGTGTCCATGCCCTGCGTCACCCCCTCTCCCCCAGGTGAACATGGAGGAAGAAGATGAGTCCCGAGGGAAAGCAGAGGAGTCAGGCGAGGACCGGGCTGACGGGCCGCCTGACAGAGACCCCACGCTTCCTCCTTCTGCCTTTATCCTGGTGAGGCTGCCAGAGACCTGGGCTGAGGGAGGCTGGGTTGGGAGTGAGCAATCCTGGGTCCCAGGCAGACACCGGGCCCCAAGGGGAAGGCTGGCTTCTCTGAAGGGTTGGAGTCTGGTGATCGAATGTCCGAGAAGTCCGTCCCTCATGAGCCGAGCTGGCCCCTGTTTGCATGTCCCCCCTGATGCCTCTCTCTCACCTCTCTGCCCCCCCCCCTTTTTCTTAGCGGGCCATTCAGCAGGCCGTGGGGAGCTCCCTGCAGGGGGACCTGCCAAACGACAAAGGTATGGTGGACCCTGCTTCCTCTGAGCCCCAGCTCTGCTTCTTCAGCCTCTTCATTCACATCCACTTTGTGGAGGCTTCATGGGGAGCCCGCGATGGGGGGACCCCGTAGTTGCCTGGGAGGGGCTCACAGTCAGGTGGAGGGGAGACGTCACATCACACGGGTGGCCCGAGGCACTGTGAGAGGGCAGCCCAGCTGAGCAAGCGTGGAGGGAGGTGGGGCCTAGAAGGGCTTCCTAGAGAAGGTGACGGCCCTTAGAACTGGGTCTCTAAGGACATCCTGGGTTGTCTGGCGTAGAGGAAAGCCCAACAGGCAGAAGCTGAGGCAGACACCAGCACAGCGGCGGGGTCAGGACTCAGGAGGCGCTTCTTCGGGACTGAGGGTGCGAGCGGGAGGGACTAGGTTACAGTCAGGCTCGGATGCCAGGTTGGCTGGTCTGCACCTCACCTTGAGGGCAGTTCAGAGGACAAATGGGGCGAGAGCTGGTACCTCAGAAAGGTGTGGGGAAGTCCCTCTGGGGCTCAGTTGGGTGATAGTGTGGGGCGGCTGAGGCGCAGGCAGGGGCTTGTTCCCTGTCAGGAGCCAGGGCGGGCTCCTCTCTCCTCTGCGTCTGGTGCAGGTCTCCAGCCCCCATGCACGTCTCTCCCCAGATGGTTCTCGCTGTCATGGCCTTCGATGGAGGCGCTGCCGCAGCCCACGGTCAGAGCCCCGTTCCCAGGAATCAGGGGGGACTGACACAGCTACTGTGAGTAAGAAGAGGGGACTGTGGGCCCGGACTTGTGGGGCTAGGGGAGGAAAATCACTGGACCCTTGAGGGGGGGCTTGGGGCCTGGATTTCTGGGGTTGGGGTTGGATTTCAGGGGCGACGTTGAAGGGCCTGGGGGTCTGATCCCTGGGTATGAAGATGGGGTCCTGCGAGTGTTCTGGATGATGGAATTGATAGATCCCCTTGTCTCCTTGGCATCTCAGATGTCTGGGTTCCTGAGAGGTTAGGGCCTGGGCAAATGGGACTGGGGGCTTGGCATCAGCAGGACAGGGTGGAGCCCTCCTGGCCTCTTCTAGGTGTTGGACATGGCCGCAGACAGCTTCCTTGCGGGGCTGGTGAGCGTCCTGGATCCCCCAGACACCTGGGTTCCCAGCCACCTGGACTTGCGGCCTGGCGAGTGAGTAGTGGGGCAGCTGGAAGCTGGAGTGGGAGCGGTTCCCCCGGCCTGGGAGCCAGAAGCACCTCTGAGACTCACTCACCCCTTCTGCCTTGCAGAAGCGAGGATATGCTGGAGCTGGTGGCTGAGGTCCGGATCGGGGACCGGGATCCGATCCCTCTGCCCGTACCCAGCCTGCTGCCCCGTCTCAGGGCCTGGAGGAGAGGCAAAACGGGTATGTGGGGGCAGGACAGAGCTGGGCAGCGGGGCGTGGAGTCGTGTGGTGGTCAGTTCTTAGAAGTGGCGGTAGCGACGATCCCTGTGTTTAGAGACAATCTCAACCGTGACGTTTTCTGTCAGACGGCGGTATGGCCCACATGTGCGTGCACACACGGGTACAGTGCAAGCTGACGTGAGCATGAGGACGCTGCAGCTGTTAGTGTGTGTGAGGGCCCTGGTGTTAAGGGCTCTTTGTCTGCCAGACAAAGGAGGGTGGCTCTGAACACCTTCACCTTCCAGAGGAGAAAAGGAAAGAGGGAGGCCCTGGCTCGGGGAGGCACAGCCAGTTGTGCAGGGGTGCTGCAGGGGTGCCGCTGGGCCCCCGCCCAGGTCCGCCTGGGTCTGCGCTGTGCACCTGCCGGGTGAAAGTGCTCCCTGGTCTGCCTGGTGGTCCCGCGAGTAGGTCATGGTCCTCAGACATGATGGGCCTCACAGACAAGGGGGACATGGATTGCCCAGGTCACCAGGCCTGTTGCCAGGTCTGGCACGGGGCCTGAGAATGTGCATTACTCACCAGCGTCCAGGTGATGCCGTTGCTGCTCAGCCCTTGGGCCCTGATGAGCCCCAGGTTCGGACTCCCTTCTGTTTGCATGTTTTTGGCAGGGGTGGGCCGGGGAGAGCATAGTCAGCCTTGGACAGCACCAGGTCTGCCAGGCCTGCCCCTCACCAGCGCTAGGGCCGCCCTGCCCGTGACCAGGGACACTTGCCTAGGCCCCTGGCTGGGAGGGACTTTTCTTTTAGAATTGGAAGCCCTAGAGGATCAGTAAACAAGGGGTGGGAGGGGGGTGGGCTGGTGCAGACAGGACCAGGCAGCTCGGAGTCAAGGGGTGGCGGGGGTGGGGGGGGTGAGGGGGGGTGTGTTCCAGTGATTGTTCATTTTCAAATGCAGCAGGCAGGTCCCGATAATGTGGATGTACCTTGAACTGCTCAGTTGTTTTGTGGGGGTTCTGGGGTTGTGTGTCTCCAGGTCTTACTCTAGGCTCCATCTGGGAAGCATTTAGAATGTTGGAAAAAGAAAACTTGGCCATAACCCTACCCCATGTGAAAATTATACGGCAGTTGTCTCTGTCCCCAGACCGCTGCGGCCTGGAGCATTTTACGGCCTGCGGTGCTGACAGTGCCCGGGGTGAGCGCCTGCCCCCAGTCCTGTCACAGTAGCTGCTGTCCTTTCTGTGTGGCGCTCGCCACTTGAGGGCCGAGTGGTCTCCTCATTGTTCCCCCTGGAGCCCCCGGAAGCTGACGGGCTTCGCTCAGCCTCTCCCCACTCGCGCGTGAACTCCTTGAAATCAGGGTCTTGGTCAGTCTGGAGACCATTCCGGTCTCCATGTCCTGAATGGCGTTGACACGGATAGGCGATTGAAGAGTGAATGAACGAGTGCTGAGTGCACGCATGAGGCCCGTCTTGCTCGTGTTATAGCGGAACCGAGGCAGACAGAGGTTGAGTCACTTGTCTGAGGGCACATCTCAGGTGAGGTCTGGGATCTGGGTCAGGATGCAGCTCCCCCGCCACCCCCTGACTCCCCGCTGCCTGACCCTGTCTGCACCAGCCCACAGACTCTTCGCAGACGAGTGCTTGGGAGACAGCCTCCGGACCCTGACGGTGGTGTCTGTGTGTGTGACTGTGGCCTTGAGGCTGTTGTGCTTGGCAGGGTCTCAGGGAGGGAGTGGCGTGGTTGTTGCTGTCACTGGGCACTGGTGTCTCCCAGTCCTGAGCAGAGGCAGCCCTTGGATGGGCCCCCAGGGCCATCAGGGCTCACCTGCAGTCGCTCCCTGGCTCTGGGAGGGACGGTCACCTTCTCAAGTCTCATGTGAACCGTCTACAAAAGGGATAAGTTCCTCAGGAGACAGCTAAGGTAGCTTTTGCTTTGCAGCTGCACTAAGGCGTGGCCCCCGCTCTTCCGCCCCAGCCTGGCCACCATTTTGGGTCAGGGCTTCAGTGCAGTGTAGGTCTCCAGATATGGGAGTGCACACTTGGGGGCCAAATAGGCTTCTCCCCCCTGACTGTGTCCTTGGGGCAGCTGCTGCAATGCCTGTGCCTCAGTTTTCTCCTAGGCCCGGGAGTCGTAGTACCTCCTGCGCGCGGCTGTCGGAGCGTCCGATGAGCTGACGTACAGTGCACTGGGCCCAGTGCCTGCTGGGGCAGGAGGGCAGCTGAGCGAGGAGGGCCTGGCTCAGGGCATGCTGGTCTGTCCTCAGCCCCCTCTGCTGGGTGCGGGGTGGGAGGAAGGAGCGTGCACCTGAGCCCGGCTCTGTCCCCCACTTCCTTTGCAGTTTCTCCACAGTCTCACTCTTCTCGACCTGCCTGTGCCCGTCACCTCCTCACCTTGGGCACTGGAGATGGGGGCCCCGCCCCGCCCCCTGCCCCCTCTTCTGCATCTTCTTCCCCTTCCCCTTCCCCTTCATCGTCCTCTCCTTCCCCTCCGCCCCCTCCACCCCCTCCAGCCCCTCCAGCCCCACCTGCCCCCCGGTTTGACATCTATGACCCCTTCCACCCCACCGACGAGGCCTACTCCCCACCGCCGGCTCCGGAGCAGAAGTACGACCCCTTCGAGCCCACTGGCTCCAACCCCAGCTCATCGGCGGGGACCCCTTCGCCGGAGGAGGAGGAGGAAGAGGAGGAGGAGGAAGAGGAGGAGGAGGAGGAGGAAGGCCTGTCTCAGAGCATCAGCCGCATCTCGGAGACGCTGGCGGGCATCTATGATGACAACAGCCTGAGCCAGGACTTCCCAGGTGACGAGAGCCCCTGCCAGGACCCCCAGCCCCCGCAGCCGGCTCCGGCTCCTGGGACCCCGCCCCAGGCGGACTCCACACGGGTAGAAGGAGCCACCCGCCGGCGTGTCTTTGTGGTGGGGACCGAGGCAGAAGCCTGTCGGGAAGGCAAGGTCTCGGTGGAGGTGGTGACTGCAGGGGGAGCCTCTCTCCCGCCGCCCCTGCTGGCGCCTGGCGACTCGGAGATCGAGGAGGGCGAGATCGTCCAGCCGGAGGAGGAGCCCCGGGTGGCCGTGTCCCTCTTCCGGGCGGGGGGCCGCGCCGCCCGCCCCGCTCCGGCCGCCCCCGCCACCCCCGCGGCCCAGCCCCCGCCGCCCGCCCCCCGGGCCCCGGAGGGCGACGACTTCTTGTCCCTGCACGCGGAGTCGGATGGGGAGGGCGCGCTGCAGGTGGACCTGGGGGAGCCGGCGCCCGCCCCGCCGGCCGCGGACACGCGCTGGGGCGGCCTGGACCTGCGCCGCAAGATCCTCACCCAGCGGCGCGAGCGCTACCGCCAGCGCTCCCCGTCCCCCGCCGCGGCCGCGCCCGCCCCCGCCGGCCCGCCCGCGCGCAAGAAGTCCCGGCGCGAGCGCAAGAGGAGCGGCGGCGGCGAGCCCAAGGAGGCGGCCTCCTCGTCCTGCGGCGCGCAGCCCGCGGCGCCGGCGCCCGCCTCCCCCTGGGACTCCAAGAAGCACCGCTCCCGGGACCGCAAGCCCGGCGCGCACGCCTCGGCCTCCGCCCGCCGCCGCTCCCGCTCGCGCTCGCGCTCGCGCTCCCGCTCCGCGCGCCGCCGCTCCCGCAGCACCGACCGCCGCCGCGGGGGCAGCCGCCGCTCGCGCTCCCGGGAGAAGCGCAGGCGGCGGCGGCGCTCGGCCTCGCCGCCCCCCGCCACCTCCTCGTCGTCGTCCTCCCGGCGGGAGCGGCACCGCGGCAAGCACCGGGACGGCGGCGGCAGCAAGAAGAAGAAGAAGCGCTCCCGGTCCCGGGGCGAGAAGCGGTCGGGGGACAGCGAGAAGGCCCCGGCCGCGGCCGCGCCGCCCCCCGGCTCCGTGTCCTTGGCGGGGGAGCGGGACAGCCGCCGCCGGGGGCCGTGCCGCCCTCCATCCAGGACCTCACGGACCACGACCTCTTCGCCATCAAGCGGACCATCACCGTGGGCCGGCCCGACAAGCCGGACCCCCGCGGCGCCTCCCCGGCCCCGGCCGCGTCGCCCAAGCGCGAGGTCCTGTACGACTCCGAGGGGCTGAGCGCCGAGGAGCGGGGCGGCAAGAGCAGCGAGAAGGACCGGCGCCGCTCGGGGGCCGCCTCCTCGTCCTCCCGGGAAAAGGGATCGCGGCGGAAAGCGCTGGATGGGGGGGACCGGGACAGGGACCGGGACCGGGACCGGGACAGGTCGTCCAAGAAGGCCCGGCCGCCCAAGGACTCGGTGCCCTCGGGGCCCCCGCCCAAGCCCGCGGTCAGCAGCGGCTCGGGCTCCTCGTCCTCGTCGTCGTCGTCGTCCTCCCGGAAGGTGAAGCTGCAGTCCAAGGTGGCGGTGCTGATCCGCGAGGGCGTCAGCAGCACCACGCCGGCCAAGGAGGCCGCGTCCGCCGGCCTGGGCTCCATCGGGGTCAAGTTCAGCCGTGACCGGGAGAGCCGCTCCCCCTTCCTCAAGCCGGATGAGCGGGCCCCTGCTGAGGTGGCCAAAGCGGCGCCGGGCAGCACCAAGCCCAAAAAGACCAAGGTCAAGGCCAAGGCCGGGGCCAAGAAAGCTAAGGGGACCAAGGGGAAGACCAAGCCATCCAAGACCAGGAAGAAGGTCCGCGGCGGCGCGGGCGGCGGGGGTGGCGGGGGCCCCGTGACGCTCAAGAAGTCCAAGGCAGACAGCTGCAGCCAGCCCGCTGGGGCCAAGGGCGCCGAGGAGACTTCCTGGTCCGGGGAAGAGCGGGCGGCCAAGGCCCCTAGCACCCCGCCCCCCAAGGCCGCCCCCCCAGCCCCTGCGCTCACGCCGGACTCGCAGACTGTGGACAGCAGCTGTAAGACCCCCGAAGTCTCCTTCTTGCCCGAAGAGGCCACCGAGGAGGCGGGGGGCCGAGGTGGGGCTGAGGAGGAGGAGGAGGAGGAAGAGGAGGAGGAAGAGGAGGAGGAGGAGGAGGAACAGCAGCCGGCCACCACCACGGCCACCAGCACAGCTGCAGCCGCCCCAAGTGCTGCCCCGAGCGCAGGGTCCACGGCTGGTGACTCGGGGGCAGAGGACGGACCGGCCACTCGGGTCTCTCAGCTGCCCACGCTGCCCCCACCCATGCCGTGGAGCCTGCCTGCTGGTGTGGACTGCACCACCAGTGGCGTCCTGGCCTGTGAGTGTCCCTCCGGGGGGCTGGGCAGGCCGGGGTAGAGAGAAAGGTCTGGGGAGGATGCAGCCATGGGGAGACAGACTTGGCAGCAGTGGGGCCACCTCGAGTAGGTCTGTAGTGACCTGGACCCGGAGGACCTCAGGTGGGTGTGGCCTGGTTGGGATCCGTGCAGAGGCGCCTAGATGGAGGTGAGCCGGGAGCAGTGGCAGCCAGCCCCACACAGGCAGCCACGCGTCTGGGGTCTGCCTAGAGATGGGCCAGGATAGGCTCGGTGGAGGAACCAGAAAGAATGGGGTGAGCAGGCAGGGATGACCTGTAGGGGGCGGCGGTAGGCTTCCGGGGGCTCAGGAGACATGCTGCCATCACGACTTGGGCTTTGAGTGACCCTGGTCCCCAGCCCAGCACACACCTGGAGCCCCAAGCACTTGTGGAGTGACGGGGTTGGGTGGCCGAGGCCCCTGTTCCCCAGTTCTGAGGCCGTTTGGCCAGTCCTGGCGCCCCAGGTGGGAGGCAGCCGGTGGCTCGTGAGGCTCACTGTCTTCTCTTGTGTCGACCCCCCGTCTCCCTGTCGTCACCTCTCCGCCTGCTGCAGTGACTGCACTTCTCTTCAAGATGGAGGAAGCCAATCTGGCGAGCAGAGTGAAGGCCCAGGAGCTGATCCAGGCCACCAACCAGGTGGGCTTCCCTGGGGAAAAGCCCTGTAGGTCCTTCTTTTGTCTCTGCTTAGGCTTAGATGAGGAACTACAATTCCCTGCAGGCTTTGGGACAAGTTACCAGCCCGAAGAAGAGGAGCCTGTTGCTCCTGGGACTGTTGGGACATCAGAATGGGAATGATAGAGGCGCGCGTTCTGCCTCCCAAGTTTGCTCATCCTCCCGCCGTCTCTCTTCTCACAGATCCTCAGCCACAGAAAGCCACCCTCAAGTCTGGGGGTGACACCAGCTCCTATGCCCACCTCTCTGGGTCTGCCCCCTGGCCCTTCCAGCTACCTGCTCCCCGGAAGCCTCCCCCTGGGGGGCTGTGGCTCTACCCCCCCCACCCCCACCGGGCTGGCTGCAGCATCTGACAAGAGGGAAGGCAGCAGCAGCTCTGAGGGACGAGGGGACACAGACAAGGTGAGCGGGGCCTGGGGCAGGTGGCTTGGTGGTGACGGCTTTGCAGACGGAACGGGTGCAGAGAGGCAGGGCCGAGGAGCATGGCAGAGGCTGTGCCAGCAGCTGGGGACTCGATTATGGCAGATCAGCCGTAGGGGCCAAACCTGCACTGACTGGAGAAGTGGGGGGCAGCACCCTTGTCAGTGCCTACCCACCTCTGCTCCTCCTACCTACCTGCCTGTTCTTTAACGTGCCCAGCTAGCGACACCTGCGCATTTGCGCACATCCCCACGGTCTACCCCAGGTTCCCCGTCTCTGGGGGTGAGGGTAGGTGGCTTACAGGAAAAACCTAGGATCCATTGCTCCACGCAGGAAGGAAGCATGGAAAGGTGGGCACAGGGCAAATGCAAACCGGTCGGCCCAGCTTCTGCCCCTGTTCCTGTTTTCAGGCCTCAAGTCAGTTCTGGTCCCTTTGTTAGTACTGGTCAGTTTTTGTTGTGATTTGATAACCAGTTCCCAGAAGATGACCTTGCTTGCCCCTCACACACCCTGGTGCAGTGTGGGGGTCAAGCCAAATAACCCCTCCTAAAAAAGGCCCCACGAGAGTTATCATTTTAATGCTCACTTGTGCACAGTGAGGCCCCGTGACGAGAGAGGCTGCCCTCTGCCGCCACCCACTTTGCCTCGTCTGTGGTGGTGGTGTGGGACATGGCCTTTGTCTGGCCACGTCTCTTTAAAAACCCACTTTCTTCTGGGCCCCAGGAGCCTCAAGATTGTAGCTCATGGGGCCCCCAAAATGCTCACTAGCGCTTCAGCTGGCTCCGGTTACCTCACCTGTCAGATGCCCTACCCTTCTGGCCTAGTTTGCCGTCCTGTCTCCCCTCAGCCTGGTCCTAGGGAATCATGAGCTGACTCGGGTAGGCGGCCTCCTCAGGAGTTGCTTCTCAGGCGACTCCCTCACAGTGGGGCAGGTGCCATGATGGGGCCGGGCTCTGGCCTCAGTTCATCCTCCTGCTGGCTATTTCCTTTCTGTTAGCTTTAGTGAAAATCTCACTGGAAGCAGGGAGTGCCGCCATTCCAGCACAGCAGGCCTGGGGCCTCTTAGCTTCTCCCTGTCCTGTCCCTTGTGCTCGTCCCCATGGCCATCACGCTCAGAACAGCCACAGCCCCCCTGTCGGCTCACTGCTGTGACCTCCACGCATATTGCCGCCGGCCTCCCGGCAGGTATTGTCCCTGTTTCACAAGTGGGCCACCAGGGGCTTCATTCCCCACCCAAGTCGTGGAGGGGTCAGCCCAGGGGTCCGGTGTGCACGTGCCCTCTGCCCCCCACCTGCCCCCTGGATTTCAGCCTCACAGAGCTCGGCTCCGACCTGGTGCCGGCACCTGTGCCCCCAGCCCCACAGGCTGTGCAGGGCAGTGTCGTGAGAGCCGTGGCGCCTCCCCACGCCCCACTGGAGGGCCGCACGGCTCCCCTGTGGTTAGAACGAACCCCATGGTATCTAATGGGCGTCGTCAAAGTTGCTCAGCTAGTGTCTGTCTCCCTGCCAGACCGTGAACTTGCCAGGGCAGGGGGCATGTGTTCTGGTCCCGGCCGCCTGCGGCAGCCTGGGCACCTCTGCCTGGAGGACACGCTCAGTGTCCTTCATAGGACCTGCCCGGGCAGTGGTTTGGGGTGACCACAGACACGCACCGAGGGCAGACCCTCCGCAGAACTTGTCTCAGGGCGTGGCAGGGGTGGGGGGGGGGCTGGCAGGTAGTGGGGTGGAAGCCAGGCTTCCGGGGAACTCACTCCACTGTCCCTCCCTGCCCCGTGCCGCCGCCAGTACCTGAAGAAGCTGCACACGCAGGAGCGGGCGGTGGAGGAGGTAAAGCTGGCCATCAAGCCCTACTACCAGAAGAAGGACATCACCAAGGAGGAGTACAAGGACATTCTGAGGAAGGCCGTCCACAAGGTGGGCCGGAGGGAGACGGGCGGCGGTGGGGCGAGGTGGCCGCCTCCGGCCAGATGTCAGGGCGCACATGTACGGAGGGGGCGACTGAGGAGTGTGGTGAGCGTCCTGTAGCCCCCAGGCCTGTCCTGCTGACCTCCAGGAAAGCCGGGCCGCCGGCCTGGGGAACAGTTCTTCCCCATCCCAGGCTTCGTGGGTCGGGAGGCTGGGGTGACCACAGCTGCCCCTCGCTCCCCAGATCTGCCACAGCAAAAGCGGGGAGATCAACCCGGTGAAGGTGAGCAACCTGGTGCGGGCCTACGTCCAACGCTACCGCTACTTCCGCAAGCACGGCCGCAAGCCAGGGGACCCCCCAGGCCCCCCACGGCCGCCCAAGGAGCCGGGGCCCCCCGACAAGGGTGGCCCGGGTCTACCCCTGCCCCCTCTCTGAGACCCCTGGCCACCCCTGCCCTCCGTTGCCTCAGAATTCTGGACGTATTTATGGCTCCGCCTCCCCACTTCCCTCCCCCGCCAGTGGGATGAGTGGGGGAGGGCTGCTGCTGGACTAGGAGAGCCCCCTGCCCGGCCCAGCCCCGCCCCGCCCCCTTCCCCAGACCTGTCCCTGCCGCCCCTCCCTTTCGTGCCCCCAGTTTCATTAAAGATTTCATGAAATGTTACCCTTGAGCCCCAAGAGCAGCCCTTGTTTTCGGAGACCAGTTTAGAAAAGGAGGGCAGGGGTCCCGGGGGGCAGTCTCGGGGAGACCAGCCTTGGACTTGGGGCCAGCCTTCCCCATGTGGGCCCTGTGCCCTGTCTGTGAAGCGGGTGTGGGGTGAGGCAGGCCACGCCCCCACTGCCTAGAAGCCCTGCTGGCACCCCGAAGCCTGCCGTGTGGTGCTGTGTCACAGTGAGGGGGGCAGAGGCCCCTGTACCTTCTGGGCACCCAGGTGCTGCTCATTTACCTTGGACTCGCCCTGGGAACCAGACCTTTGTCCCTAGTAACTCGGGTTCTCTTTTTATCGGTCCTGAGAGACTGGAGTGATCAAATTCACTCCCCTGAGGTGGAGAGGGAAACTGAGGCACAGAGCAGCAAGGGCTGCATGGTACGTCTGGGTTCTGCCAGCCTGTCCTCATTGCCCAGAAGCTGGGTGCAGGAAGGAGCGGTGGGGTCTTGCGGCAGGTGGGCTGCAGGGATGGGGTGCAAAGCAAGCTCCTTCACACCCACCCGTTGGAACCCCAAATGGAGGGAAGAGAGTGTCCACAGCTCAGGAGGTTGAACTTGGATGCAGTCACCCAGGAGTTGGCAGGGGACTCAGTGTCCCCAGGCTGGTCCAGACAAAAGGCTCCCTGCTTACTAGACGTTGGTCCAGACCGTAGGCGAGACTGGGGTTCTGGATTCAGCCCCAGGCCCCTAGAGCAGCAGCCCCGAGGTCCCCCTGGATTCTGATCTGTCTTTCCTTCTCGCGTCCTTTGCACCTCCTTGTCCTGGTCTGTAAGATGGGGTGACCAGTCCCTCCTCACCTAATCCCTGGGATGAGGTTGGGGGTAACAGACAGCACAGCTCGGGGCCCGCCTGCAGCGAGCTGCTGGGGTGTGGGGGGCTTGCACAAATGGGGAACCGAGGACCTCGAAAGGACTACTGCTCGGGCGGGCCTGGGGACAGCAAGTGTCAGACATGGTGGTGGCGCAGCTAAAGGCAGTTTATTAGTCACGCTGTGCGGCCGGGGCCTGCACCCCCAGCCTAGAGCTCCATGTCCTCGAGCAGGTCCTGGAGGCAGGTCTTGTACTGGTCCGAGGAGAGGGAGAGCGTGTGGCCATTGGAGATGTGCAGGTCCACGCTGTTTTCGAGGGACGAGGCACCCCCAGATCGTGCCATCTCTAGCAGGATCTTGAGGCACATGGGAACCACCTACAGGGGGTGGAGAAACTCGGGTCAGGGAGTCTGCCCCCTAAGCTGCCCACTGGGGTTAATGGACTACTGCTCCCTACAGTCGCAGCCCCCCGAGATGAAGCACCAGGCCTGGCACTGCGGGAGCTATAGGCACTCCATAGGACAGTCAAGGGGCTGGGGAGGTGCCAAGGGCTGAGGCTGCTGGAACGGGTCCCTGAAGCAGGACCTCTGAGAGCTGCTAGGACACATGGTCCCCTAAGGAGCTCAAAACAGGCTCAGGGGTGAGGCCATGAGAGGGACACCCAGAAACTCCTGGGGACGAGAAACTGGTGGTTGCCGAGACTTGAAAGTTGGAGCTTCTCAGGCTTCTGGGAGGTGTTCTGGGAGCAGCCCCAGCTGCGGGAGAGCCACCCCCCCCCCCCCCAGTCCCTGGGGCTCAGCCGGCAGGCACCTTGACCATCATGAGTCTCTTGGTCCAAGGCTGATCCTGAGGCCACGACTCCCCCACACAGAACCAGAGGGTGTAGCGTGGTGCGTGTCGGCTTCCGTCAATGAAGGCGATCAGATCTGGGGGCCCAGGAGCCCATCAGCGTGGGAAGAAGGCCCTTTCCCCACCACCCCTCAGCCTAAGCAACACCCTTACCTTTCCCGTGACCTACAGCCGCACCACTGTCACGGGGGCTGCTGGGACAAAAGCCTGCATCCCGCCCTCCCGCCTCCCATCCCAGGGGGGCCAGACCTGCTGCCTTTCCTGCCCTAGCGCTCCCCCCCTGCCTTTTGGGAAGGGGAAACCAGCTGCAAGAAGTCCACCCCCCCCCCCAAGCATGTGCAGTGATTCCCGGGTAGAGGGCTCACTGCTCTTTCATGCCCTAAGAGCAGCTCCTGATAGCAGCCCGCGCCCACGGGTGGCCATTTTACCTCCAGTCATTAAGTAAAATACAGCAAATGAAGCCTGGCTTCCTCAGCTAAGGGCCCCACGGCTAGCCCCTGCCGCTGGCTACTGGGTGCTGCTCTGTGCCTCTGCCCTGGGCTCCCCCTGAAAGGCGCAGCAGCAGGGGCTGAGGCCATCCCGCGCCACCTGACCCCAGCCTTCCAGCCGGCTCTGTCTCACCTGCCACGAAGGGCCTCAGGTCCAGCACGCTTCCTTCCCGGTCCTTCGGGACCTCGCCGTCGTGCCCGTGGCCGCTGTCGGGGAGGAGCTCCTCGCCCACCGCCCAGTACGTGCGGCAGTGCCCCAGTCTCTGGGCGTAGAGCTGCTGGCCGGCCCTCCACAGAGCCAGGCCCCCGCCCAGGTAGCTCAGCACGCGCTGCACCAGGTCTTTCACACCCCTGTCTGTGAGGAAGGCCTCGGGGTCTGGCAGTATGACCGGCTGCCCAGGGAATGTCCCGGCCTCTGCGGCTGAGCCCACCAGCCGCAGGCCCCCCTGGCTGAAAACGGTCTGCTGGAAGACTTGGCGGCCCCGGTAGAAGGCGGTCACCTCGAATTCCCACTCTGAGCCACGGAAGCAGCGACGTGAAGTGGGGGAGAGACGGAAAGTGTCAGGGGGCCTGCTGCTGCGGTGCTGCCCCCCCCCCCCGCCCCCCGCCCCTGTGGCTGGCACTCACCTCCTTCGGGCTCCAGCAGCGGCCTCAGTGAGTTTTCAGGGGGTTCCATGCTCGGGCTAAGTGCAGGGGTATCTAAGTTGGGGCTCAACAAGTGCGGAGGGGGGTGTTCAGGGGCTTCGGCTAGCTTGGGAGATGGAGCCAAGAGCATGTCCTTCAGTAATTCCTCCAGAATGTCTTCCTGGAGAGGGGGAAGAGATGCTGGCATTTCCACAGCCTTTTCTGGGAAGTCCGCATTCATCAGGCCAGAGCTCTGCAATGCGGGGGCCCAGCTAAGAAAGGGGCTTCCTGTCTGAGCAAGGGAAGGCCTTGGAACAGAGCAACGTCCATGCTTGGCTCCGCGCCAGGGGCTGCCAGCCCAAGGGTCCGGCTCTGTGCTCCAGGCTGGGTGGAGTCTGGGGGGACTCGCTCTGGCACAGACATCAGCAAGATCAAGGGTAGGGAGGGTCTCAGTTCCCAAGAGGCTGAGGGTGTCCAGTCAAGCCAGGAAAGGTAGGACACCAAACGCCTGTTGACAACTGAAGATGCTGGGGACCACGGGTGGGCTGTGAGCAGGGGGCCCTCTCTGGGTCAGGTGGGGGGCAGACTGTAAGGGTGAGAAGAGGTCGATGTGGCTGAGGTAATGGTCCAGGGAGAACATGAGGCCTGAATGCGGGGGGTGGCCGGCGCGGTCGGGCGCGTGCTTACCTGGGTGTCAGAGGTGTTGCCTGTGTCACTGGTGTCTGGGGAGGTGTCCAGCTCCGGCAGGCTCCCCCCTCCTGTGGAGAAAGGTGGTGAGTGGAATGAGGGTGCTGGCGGCCCTGGAACACCCAGCCCTCCACTCAGAGCCCACTTCTGGCACACCTGGGGTCGCAAACTCGAAGACCTTGTGTGGGTCTTGGGGATCCTTGCTCCGGTCCTCAACTAACCGCACCACTTCCTTCCGGTTCAGGGCAGCCCGGAAATTCCTCTTCCAGGTGGGTAGGTCCGGCTTATCCTTCCCAGTCTTGTAGGAGCCGCTGGCCTCAGCCCAGCCCTGTGGGACAGGTAACAGGGTGGCGGGGAGGGTAACTGAGACTCGGCCCCGGGGTTCCAGCCCTGCTGCTTCTCAGCCAGCATGGGCCTCTCCTCCCGCCCAGTCCTAGCTCGGCAAGGGTCCAGCCCCAAGCTCTCCAAACTCTGCTTCCCAAGTCCCCAGCCACCTCCTTTCAGGCCTCCGCTTTCTTTTCTTTCTTTTTTTTTTTTTAATACAAGAACCAGGGTACAGGCCAGGTGCGCGAGAGGGTGAGAGGATTTACCAGAGAGAGAGCGGGGAACAGAACAGGCAGACTGAGGAAATACACTGCTGAGGGGAGCTTTGGGCGCGGCAGGAGAGGTCTGCCGCGTCATGTGGGTCCCTCGCCCGCCGGCGGGGATCGAACCTTTGCTGCAGAGGCTGCAGACAGCTTCCCAGCGCCGCGCTCAACCGCCTGCGCCACCAGGGCCTCCGCTTTCTAAGGCGGACTTCCAAGTGCTGCTGGGCGTCTAACCTTGCCCCAGCTTGCCCCAGAGACCCTCTAGCAGCCCCGCCCCTCGAGCTCCAACTCGCTCTACCACTGGGGTGTCCTCGAGATTTGATGCTAAGTAACCTAACTTCGGGGCTCAGTCTCAACCATTCAAGACCCGCCTCCAGAATTCTGAGGCCCAGGACCCCGCCCCCGGCGAGCACTGAAGGTCAGGGTGCATTTCCGTTGCTTTCTCGCCCTGTTTCCCGGTTCCACCTGGCAGCTCCAACCCGACTGCTCCGCCAAGCCAGGGTGCCACCTGCTAGCCCCGCCCCACCAGCGCCATCCCCGCCGCCCCCGGGCGCTCGCCCCCTTCTGAGACCCCCTGCCCCGCGCCGCTCAGGGTTTCCCGCGTCCCAGGCGCGCACGCACCCGAAAGATACCGAAATCCTCCTGCTGGGCATCCTGCCGCAAGCCATGCTTCCAAGGGATGCGGAAGCGCGTGCGGTTCTCGTCCAGCCAGGCCACGCCCTCATAGTGCCCCCGGTCCAGCATCGACACCAGCCAGGGCAGGATCCGAGGCTTTGGGGTTCCCATCGTCCGGTCTGCGCGCAGGGAGCAGTTCCTGGCTGTAGGCGACGACCAGCCGGCCCGAGGTGTCCACACCCAGCCCTCCCTCTCACGGGGCCGCGGCATAGGTCCCACACCCATGTCGTCTTGGGGTACGCGGAGACCTCCCGTTCGCCAGAGAGGCTCCCCAGTTCCGCTGAGACTCCCTGTCAATCTACTTGAGACCACCCTCTCCCCAGGTTCTGTGCTGACCCTCTACCTCCTCAATTCCGCCCCTGTAGACCCTGCATCTTCCACCGTAAACCCCGCCTCCCGTACACCTCCCAATGCAGGTACCCCTGTTTCTGAGGGAGCGCCTTCCCTCCAGTTACTTCAGACGCTTTTCGGGTGTACACCTCTACCTCCTGCACTTACCGCAAAGTAGACCGTCTTCCACAGCTCCCCCAGGGACGCTCCCCTCACCGCTTTCCACAGCGCTGTGCTTACCCCTTGTGCCCCCAGGGAGGCCCCCTCCCGCATTTCCAGCGCAGACCTTTCACAACCCCGCTCCCCACCCCCCCCCCCGCCCCAACCCTCAGCCGCCACCCTCCAGGGCGCGCGCCCACTTTCCGAGACTGGACTGTTCCCATCTGCAGAGTTCACCCTTCTCTTGCCTAGACCCTGTAAGGGGACCCCTTCTCTTTCCCCATCCCCCCTGTTTTTTCTAAGTTGTGCTCTCACAGCAGACCTCCAGCGCCGGCTATTGCTTTGCTCTGGCCCCGGTCCTTGCTTCACTTTCCGGAGCGCACACAACCCCCCTCTGCACTCGCGAGCGGACCCATTCTTTCCGCCGCTCCTCACGCCCGGATATCCTCGGCTCTTCCGTGTTACCTAGGCAGAGGGTCGGGGCGCGCAGGGTTTGGGGGCCCACCCGGGTCTTTAGGTTCCGGTAGCTCTCGGACTCGAAGCTGCACGCCCCTTCCTGTCCAGCCGGGCTTTAGAGCGGCGGAGCTTTCTCTACTATCGATTTCTCGAAATAAAAACAACTTTCTTATTTGGGTGACAAACACCAGACCCAAAGGGGCGGTTCCCTCGAGCGCGAACTGTCGCCCCCATGTCCTTTTTAGGTCTTCCGGCTAGGGCATGCTGGGAACGGCGCATGTAAATGACGTTAGCAGCCAGTGCCCCGCCCCTTCTAAGGGAGGGCCGGCACCGATCCGGCCCAGTGCGCAGGCGCGGGAAAGTTGAACTGGAAAAAAGAAGTTGAAACTTGTTCAGGGGTGGGGGTGGCGGCGGCGGTGGCGGCGGCGGTGGCGGCGGGGCCCTGGACCAGGTGAGTGGAGCATGAGCGAGGCCTAGGGTGGGGAAAGGACAGGACGATGCCGGGAGCGGGTATCCGGCTCCGACAGCCAGGCGCCCCCCGTCTCCGAGGCCAGCCTCGGATGCTGAACTACATCTCCCAGCATGCTGCGCGGCGAAAAAAGTGTGGGCCGAGGGGACTGTTTGATTTGAAGCCGGCTGGGATTTGTAGTTCCGAATCCTCTGTGGGTTTGAATAGTTTGGCTTTTGCTTTCAGAATCTGGAAGTCGGGGCCTCAGCCCTCCTCTCCCTCAGGGAGCCAAGGGTCCCCATTTCTGACACTCAGGAGTTCAAACCCCCAGCTCCCTCTTCCCTTAGACCTTAGAATCCGTGTCCCCAGCCGCCTTCTGTCCCAGGATCGCCTTCTTCATCCTCATACCTCTTCTTCCTCCGGGGACTAGGAGTCTGGGACGTCACACTCCAGCTATGCTAAAGGATGTAGGAGCCCAGCCCCTCAGCCGCTTCATCCCTCGGGAACTCACCAGTCCTGGCCCTCATTCAAGAACTAGGAGTTTGGGTCCCAAGCCTTCCCGCTGAACCTTGGAGTCCATCCCCAGCCCCCTCTTTCACAGGTGCCTCCATGGCCGGCTCTGAAGAGCTGGGGCTCCGGGAGGACACACTGAGGGTCCTAGCTGCCTTCCTCAGGCGGGGTGAGGCTGCCACAGGTCCCATTACCCCACCCAGGTAAGAGAAGTTGCCTTCCTTCCTCAGGGCCTTCCATTTGGGGTGGGACCCTCTCAGGGTCGTGCCTCTGGGCTCAGTCAATCTCTTTCCCCCTTTCTCTATCTGGCTTTATTCCTTGTTTCTGGGGTTGCATGGAGAGACCTTCGGTGGGAAGAGAAGGGGACTACTTGCAAGGGGTTACATTGTAAGGTCCCCTTCACCAGGAGCGCCACCCAGGAGGAGCCAGCAGACTTCCTGAGCCGCCTTCGAAGATGTCTTCCCTGTCCCCTGGGGCGAGGAGCAGTTCCCCCGGAGTCCCCTCGGCCTTGCTCCCTGCCCCTCCGCCACTGCTATGGTTCAGAGCCTGGTAAGAGATTTCCCTAGGTCATCCATGAACTGGCAGGAACCTTGATTCTTAAGGCATAGGCTGGGTAAAGTCCCAGTTCAAGATCACTCAGGGTTGCTCTGTGGAGTCTCCAGCGCCAACCCTCTCCATTATGTACCCCACCACCACCACCACCACACACACCTGCCTAGTAGCTTGCTGTCTATTGTGAGCTGGCTTCTGGAAGGGGTTTGGTTCCTTTCTATTTGTCATCACTGTCCTTCCATTCATGCGTCCCTGCTCTAGAACTTTAGTAACCCTCAGTACCCCCACCCCCAATAGGGAGGCTGGGGGCCTGATTTTCAATCACAACTCCCTGGTGGTTTAGTTACATGACTCTAGGGAAATCCTGTTCTTCCCTGCTGCCATCTTTCTCCAGTAGCCAAGTAGGAATGGGGTGGCTGTTGGACTTGATCGAGAGTGACCAACAGGACTCGTATCGCCTATGTAAGCCTGGATAAACTACTGGGAATGCTAACTTGGAAAGGATTTTGCAGCTGGGGAGAATTTTGTGATCAATCGATGATGCCTGAAATGGAAAGGACTAGCAGGGCCACCGTGGCTGGTGCCTCCTTGGGTGGGAACGTCCAATTCAGTGCTAACATCCACCAGTTTGGAAGACATGATAAAAATGGAAAGTTTTTTTTTTTTTTTTTACCAAGTTCACTTCAATGAATGTCATTCTAAAATGAAAATCATTGCTACCTGACGAGATTTTGGGGAGGAGAGAGTCTGTTAGGTCCTAGTGTCCTGGAGACCTATCATCCCAGGCCTCTTTCCATCCCAGGCCCTGCTACTCCAGACTTCTATGCCCTGGTGGCCGAGCGGCTGGAACAACTGGTCCAAGAGCAACTGAGATCCCCACCTAGCCCAGGTGAGGTGCAGAGGGGCCCTGGAGAAGGTGGAAAGTAGAGGGTAGGCAGGGTTCTGAGGCCCCAGCCACATTCTCTTCTGCTCTCCAGAGTTGCAAGGCTCCCCGCCTACAGAGAAGGAAGCCCTGCTGCGGAGGCTGGTGGCCTTGCTGGAGGAGGAAGCAGAAGTCATCAACCAGAAGGTGATGGACAGTCTGTTCCACCCCTTAGCTAGAACAGGCATTGCAGGATGCGTGGGCACCGGGTTCAGAAGCTGGGTCTGTGTTCTTCCAGGATGTCCAGTTGGGGAGAGGGTGGGACAAGGCTTCCGTGGAGGGTTGAGTGACACGGGGATGCCCAGTTCAGTAATTTAACTTTCAGAGCTCCCTCGAGGGGCATGCCCTACCGGTAGGGCGTGTGGCCACCGAAGTATATCTAGGAGAAATATTGAGGTGAAATAAAGTTTGGGAATTATGTTAGGGGCCAGTGGGTCTGGTAGGAGTTGTCCAAAATCTGAACCCGATTGGGACGGACTGCTGGAGGGGTGTGGCTTGTGACAGTCCAGAATCTGAGGCTTGTGACAGTCAGAATCTGATTGACTCGGGAGCATGGGCAAAGTTCATGCACCATTACCCTAGAATATTAAATTGTACGGCAGAAGGCTAGATGGTGGTAGACCCTCGCCTGGCCTCGGGGACTCTCTGGAAACCCGTGGGGATGTGGCCAGCAGATTAGCTTTCTAGTATTCTCCTAAAGTAGGATTTAGCCGACCATCTTGGCTTCTAGCCCCTCCTCCTTCCTTCGAGTCTTTTGGCAGAGACCACGGAGTCCGGCTTATGATTGGCTGATGTGGTGGGTAGGGCGTGGCTTAGAACACTTCCCAGCCTCCTATTGGCTGGGCATGACTGAGGCGGGGCCTGCCTCTTTCCCTCCCTTCCCCACAGCTCGCCTCGGACCCCGCCCTGCGCCGCAAGCTGGCCCGGCTCTCGGCTGGCTCCTTCGCCCGCCTGGTAGAGCTTTTCTCCAGCCGGGAGGGCAGCCCTGGCCCGGGCCGTGCCCGGCAGTCCTTGCCGTGTCCCGGTCCCCCGCCGCCCTCCCCGGAGCCCCTGGCCCGCCTGGCCCTGGCCATGGAGCTGAGCCGACGCGTGGCAGGGCTGGGAGGCACCCTTGCTGGGCTCAGCGTGGAGCACGTGCACAGCTTCGCACCCTGGATCCAGGCCCACGGGGGCTGGGTGAGCTGCCAGGGCCCCTCAGGGCCTCCCTTGAACCATCTGGCATTGTGTGTGGAGGTGGTGTGGCTCCTTTCTGACGTACGAGTTCTAGCAGGTGCCCACGGGAGCCCCCAGTTAGGTGTTAACTGAGCATCTGCTGTGCACCAGGCACGGCGCTGATCAGTGCAGACGCGATGCCCAGTTAAACCTCTGGCGCACTCTGACACTAACAGTTGGAAACCAGCGCTAGCCCTTCCCAGGCGGGGTAGGTCCCCCTGCCTGGCTTCCTCTGATTCTCTAGTCCCCTTAGGTATCACCTCCAGTGAGGCCTTCCCTGGTCCCCATTTAGGACCACAGCCGCCTCCACACTCTGCCACCCTCTCCCCTTCCCTCTTCACTGCTTTGCTTCCTTCCATTCTCCACACCTGTGTCACAGATGGTCGCAATGACTTGTTTTCCTTCTTATGTTTTTGTTAGCTGTCTTCTTCCGACCCTGATATATCAGAACAAGGAGTCTGTACCTTGCTCGGTCCCTCCCTGCTTTAAATCCAGCACCTGGCTCAGCGCGCGTTTCGGCTCCCGTGATGTGATGTGACCTTGGCCACTGGCCCCACAGTCCAGATCACCAGCCTGCTACCCCCCGCCCCCTACATTAGGCACCTGCTCACTTACCTGCCTCTTGCCCATGGGGATTTAGTGAGAGAAGGACACATGCCAGGCTCTGACTGTAACTGTTGCCTCACAGATGGCGAGTGCTGGCCAGATGTTTGAGGGGTGGGAAGGAAGAGGGAAAGAGGACTGGAGCGAGGTGAGGGGGAGCGGAGAGCAACAGGAGAGGCCAGATCACACAGAACCTAGTGGAAGCTGAACTTTGATTGGGGTGAGCCTAGCGCCAGACAGACCTGATGGACATTCAGTGTTAACCAGCGCCCTCTGCGGGCCGCCGGGGAAACACAGGGCGAGGGCGGAAGCAGAGAACCGGGAGGAGGGGACCGCTCTGGTCCAGAGTTGAGGATGGATCCCGCCGGGCTGGGGGTAGTAAAGGATTCTGCATTTAATTAGGAGGTAGGACTGACAGTTTTTTCTAGTGGACTGAATGTGGGGACTGAGTGGAAGGGGTCAAGGTTAAGGCCAGGGGCTCCATCTCATGTTCCCCAGATGGGGAACTGGGGCTGGAGGGCGCAGTTTCAGAAAGAGTCAGAGATGATTCGAGGCGATCTAATCACCCTTCAGACAGCGCTGCTGATGAAACGTCTCCCGAGAGGAGGGCAGAGTGGACTTAAGTGGAGTTCAGCGGAGCAGCGCTTTTATCTGGAAAATTGTTTTTTACAATGATAAATAAACCGCACAGCCTTACGGGACTCGGTTATGATCCCTTCTTAAGGGGGCTAAGAGGGGATGGGAGCCCCGATGTTGACACACCGGGGCTATAAATCGTTAATGCACCTGTCCTCTGGCCCCCCTTTTCTGTGTCTGTACCTCCAGTCTCTAGAGTCTCTGTCCCCTCCCCCTCTGCCTTCCCCATCTCTGTGCTCAGTGGTGCGGACCCACTGTGAGGACAGACTCCTCCCTGATCACGGACTCTGCCTTTTTCTCCTCAGGCGGGCATCTTAGCTGTTTCCCCCGTGGACTTGAACTTACCCCTGGACTGAGATCTTCCTCAGAAGCTGCTACCGATTGGACCTCATGTTCCTATGCTTCTATCCCACTCAGGGCTGTGGGGGAGTAGCCATCCTCCCCGTGTTTGCCAAAAAGAAACCAATTTCATATGTTTTCATATTAAATACTATTTCAAGTATGGAGTGTTTGCCTTTCACTCGAGAACCAACATTCTAAGTCGGGGATATTTGTTCAGAAACCTCTGGTTTATGGAAGAAGGGAAGAACTCATTCATTCATTCTAGAATTTTTTATTGAGATCATCTACAAGTGTCTGTCGCCTGGACACACAGCATTATTTGAGGTGTTAAAAACACAATTTAGGGCCTCCCTGGTGGCGCAGGGGTTAAGTCTCAGCGCTATCAAGCTATGGCCAGCCACTGCGGCGTGAGCCCGATCCCCGGCCAGGGAGCTCCCCACATGGCGCAGAGACCTCTCCTGTCTCCCCGCTGCTCCCTCAGCAGTGGATTCCAGTGGATCTGTCTTGTTCTGCTCCCCACCCTGTTGAGTCCTCTCACCCCCTGCACCTCTGGCCTGCACCCCCAGTTCTGTGCATTAAAAAAATAAAATAAATGCCCAGAAGCCTGCGTCCTACCCCTGCCATGCCTCGGGATCCCTGACAATCCTGCTCTTTGGGTTTCTCCTTGCTTCAGGTTTCCCCTTAGGTAAATGGGCACAAGCTTTCTCGCGGCTCCTGAGCACCTCGCTGCGGGGGGAATTTACCTAATGGACGATGAGTGACAGTTTCCTTGAGCCAATCGTGGGAAGGGAAAGCCGGGCTTTCCTCCTCTCATAGTCCAGTCGCCGCGTTCTCCTTGAGTCCGCCGGGCGAGGGCTGGCCAAGAGCCTCGTGACGTCCTTTTTTGGATAAACCAATAGCAGCTGTTCAGGGGCGGGTCGTTTAGGTGATGGACAGCTCTCTTTCAAGATGTCCGCCTAGCGCGGGGCCCGCCGGGAAGCTTTGAGGCGGTGCTGCGGGGGAATGGGCGGGAGGTCATGGTTGACTTTATCCAATCAGTAGCCTCAATTCTTGCGATAGACGGCCAGTCTTTCCCATCCCAGTCGACTCGAGGGGGCGGGGCTCGACACGCCAGACTGGGCGGGTCCCTACGCTTTAATGGGCGTCTACTTCCCCCAATTACCAAACGATCCTCCCGGACGGACCGCCTCCCCTGCCAATGAGATCTCTTGGCGGGGTTGCGGTGGGCGGGCCGTGGACCCTCCGGTATAAAGCAGTCCCGGGGGAGTGCGGAGAAAGGGGGGGGTCTCGGCGGCCGGAGGAGGAGTAGGTGCGGGTGAAGATGGCGGCAGCCGAGGCCGCGAACTGCATCATGGAGGTGAGCTCCTGGAGTGCCGCCGGGGGTGGGGGGTGGTGTGGGGTCGGTATTTTAAGACTCCGTCGTGGGAAAGGGTCTCGGAGTCGACCGATTGGGGCTGGAGGCCACCAGGCGTGCGGAGGGGCCGCCGCCTGCTCCGGATCTGGGGTTCCGCTTGGGATGCGGATTACCTCGTTTTCGGGGCCTGCGGCATCCTGTCGAGCCGAGGGTCTCGTGCCCCCTCCCGCGTGGAGGAGGGCTGGGGGCGCTTCCGGCCTGGCCCCCACGTGGCCGCGGCGCGGTAGTTGGGGAGGGGGTGTGCCGTGCCGGTGGCCCCGTGGGCTCCACGTGCGGGACAAAGGCCCCGCCCCGGCCGGGGGAGGGGCGCCCCGGGGGGGCGGGGAGGAGGCTCCGACCCTCCCTCAGAGGCCCCCAGCCCTGCTCCCTGGGGCCCGCGACGCACACTGAGGGGTGGGGCTGACTTGGGGCCCTCAGCGGAGGAAGGAGTGCCTTGGGAGGGGCAGTGTCGGCCGACCCTCTAGAACCCCGATCTGGGGCCCGAAGCATCTGCTTAGGCATCGGTCCAGGTTTCGTGCACTCTTGGGTGGGGATTGGAAGAAGACGAAGAATTGGTTCCCGGCGGGCCCCTTAGTTTCCTGTCCCTGGATTCTCCTCCGCCCGGGGCTTCAGAACCTGGGGGATGGGGCATGCCCCTGTGACCTCCCTCTGGGTGTTGGGGGGGCATCTCTCGCTGAAGGAGATCCTTCCCGATAAGGTGCCGTGCACCCCCTTGTGGCCGTTTCTGGGTGTGTGGGAGGGACATCTTTTCATGGGGCGTGTCTCAAAGCCCCCCCTCCCCTCCATGGAGTCCTCATGGGCGAGGGGAGGGAGAGTCGGCTGGAGAGGGGATGTGATGGGATTTGGGCTGAGAGCGTGAGTCCCCACTGGAGTCTTTTCTCTCCTCCGCGCATTAATGAGGGTGGGGGATGATCCCCCCCTGCTGCTGCCTGAAATGGTTTCCAGTGAGGTTTGGTTCTTGTACAGGCTTGTGGGGGTGGCTCCCATGCTGTAGGTCAAGCCCTCCCTGGGGCATGTCGGGCGCTGGATCATGGAACTGAGCAAAGGCCCCAGTGGGAAATCCCCCTTACCCGCGGCCCTGCTTCATGGGCCTCCTGAGTGACTTGGGAGGGTGGGGGGTGGGGCTCCGGGCCTAGTGGATGGATCATGCCCGTGACTTCCTGCTTCTTGGCTCCCAGAGCGTGGGCACATCTGGAGGAGATGTAATCTGATGGTGCCAGCAGTCCCCCAAGCCCTCCCCTTACCTCGTCACCTCCTCTGGAGTGGGAGGTCCGCTGCCCCCAAGCTGCCTACTGTGCTCAGCTCCTGGGGTCACTCCCATCCCCCTTGGCTCTCTCCTGGACCAAGGCCTGTAGGGGTTGAGGAAATGTTCCCCAGAGGTTGCCTCAGGACGAGGCCCCGCACCCAGGGTGCTGCAGGCCTGGATGGATGGGCCTCTGCGTCAGGGATAGGAGAGCCGAGGCCCAGAAACTCACAGTCCTCTGTCTTCCTGGCTAGAGGGGCAGAAGCGAGGGTGTCGGTACCAACTGGATAGCTAGGTACTTGAGAACCCAAGACAGGAGCTAGAGGCTGGGGTTCCACCTCTGGGGGGTGTGCTGTGTGTCACACCTCTTTTCTGGCATTCTCTCGGGCTGGAGAGTGGTTTGCAGGGGTGGCAGAGGCCTGGTGGGTACACCCTGCCAGCCTCCCTCCCCCAGCTCATGGCACCCCAGGATGGAGAAGTGTGTCAGGAAGTGTCACCTAATCTGGGGGGATTAGATGATGAAGGGGAGCGACAGCTGGCAGTGCCATGTGCCCTGAGAGTGCCAGTGCCTCTGACCTGGATAGGGGAGGTGTGTGGTCAGGTGCCTGGCCAGAGGGGCAATGTGGGGTGGGCCACCATCTCTCCAGGCTCAGCTGGGACAGACCCCCCTTTCCTTCTCTCCCCCACTTCTACCCCTTTGAAAAACAGCCCTGCCTCCTCACTCCGCTCCCTGCCACCACCCCCACCAAGGAAAAAGAAAACTGCAAGAAACACACCACCTGCCCTCCCCCCAAGAGCCCAGGTCCTGGCCGGGCCCTCCCCTGGCGCTCACAGTAGCTAATCCTTTCTCCCTGTTACTCTCTCCTAGAATTTTGTAGCCACCTTGGCTAATGGGATGAGCCTCCAGCCGCCTCTTGAAGAAGTAAATATCCTTTTGTGAGACCCTCCCCACATAAACATATCTTGCCACACATCAGGCCCTTTCTAGCCTCTGACGTGATCCCTCCCTCTTGCTTCAAACCAGTTGACCACTGCCCCCCGAAACTCCTGGTACAGCGCCCTCCAGCTTTGTGGCCCCCATCTGGCCTCCCCCACTGCTGTGGCTACTTCCTTAACTCCATCTCCAGCCCCCCTGGCCCGTCCCCGTGTCTGCCCCAGTTCTGCCTTCCCCTCCCCTCCCCAGCTGTGGGCTGAGCTAGTGACGGGGGCAGAGAAACTGGAGAGATGGTAGGCGTGGCTGAGGTATCTGGAAACTGCCCTGGATGGTGTTCTGGGGGGGTCCTGTATGAGGAAAATGGGGTTACGATGTTTTGGGGTTCCTCAGGGAGGTAAGATGGCAGGCGGGCCGTAGGGGTGCCATGGTATGGTCTGGAGGGAGGGTCTAGACTCTCCTAGGAGATGTAGGGCCTGAGGTGCAGAGGCTGTGGGGAGCCCCCCTTTGACCCACGCTCCCATCCAACCCCTTCCAGGTCTCCTGTGGCCAGGCAGAAAGCACGGAGAAGCCCAACGCCGAGGACATGACGTCCAAAGATTACTACTTCGACTCCTATGCTCACTTCGGCATCCACGAGGTGAGTGTGCACAAGGTTGAGGAATCCAGGGGGCTTTTATGTTGGGGAGGGAGGGGCTGTGCTGGATTTCCCACGCATGCGCACTGCCTTGCACTGCTTTCCCCTGCAGCCAGCCTGCTGCCCCTCTCTGCTGGCAAGGGGAGGTATACACGCTGGGGTCACCTCTCCGTGCTGGTTGCCTTGGAGACCGAGGTTAGCCTAGCAGGTCTGCGGGGCCACTCTGGGGAGGCAGGAGTGGCAGCGCGCATGCGTTTGGAGACTTCTGCCCGCATGCGTGGTTGCTCGGTCTCTGCTGCCCTCTAGTGACCGGCGGTGGCACTACCCCTCGTGCCTGGTGTGCAGATGTTTCTGGACTTTCGTACCTGGAGGAGGTCCCAGGCAGCGGTTGGGGTGGAATCCTGACCTTCTTTTTTAACATGTAAAATATACATAGCATAAAACTTAACCACTTTTAGGTGCACCTAAAGTGGCATTAGTTATTGTGGACTCTTGAAAGGGATCACAGAGGCTTGGAAGACAGTGATGGGACCTGGCCCGGAAGGAGATTTAGTTTGAACAGTCCAGTGTTACAGAATAGGGGGGCGGGTGCATAGAAGGGAAGTCACTTGTTCCGGGGGACGAGAAAGCAGGTAGACAGCCAAGCGCTGGTGCTGCAAACAGTGGGTGACAGGAGCTCGCTTTCTGCTGCGGGCGTGGGCCCCCTCATGTTACCTTTGTCCTGTGTCCCTCCTCCCCCAGGAGATGCTGAAAGATGAGGTACGCACCCTCACGTACCGCAATTCCATGTTTCACAACCGGCACCTCTTCAAAGACAAGGTGGTGCTGGACGTGGGCTCGGGCACAGGGATTCTCTGCATGTTTGCCGCCAAGGCTGGTGCCCGCAAGGTCATTGGGGTGAGTCTTCTGGGCAGCCAGGCGGGCTTTGGACTTTGGCCTGGAGGTTGGAGAGGGGCTCCCTGGGGGCTCAGGGACTGGATGGAGGGGGAGGGGGTTGGGGGCTAAGTGGCCTGGGGGTGCGTTCTCACCCTTCTTCCTTGGA